CGGCAGAGATGCCGGGATCAAACGAAGGTGGTGTCGCGATGCGGCCGGCAGAGATGCCGGGATCAAACGAAGGTGGTGTCGCGATGCGGCCGGCAATGAGTGCCAGGATCAAACGATGGTGTCGTCGTGATGCGACCGGCAGAGATGCCAGGATCGAACGAGCGTGGGGGTGTCTCTCTCATGGTTTGGTTTCGTGATGCGTCCAGCATTGATTGCCGGGATCGAACGAGTGTGGTGGTGTTTTTGGTTTTGAATGCTTTGGTTTCGTGATGCGGCCGGCGATGAATGCCGGGATCGAACGAGTGTGGTATCGTGATGCGTCCAGCATTTGTTGCCGGGAATCGAAAGAGTGGTGCCTCCGTGCCGACCGAGCAGAGCCGCTGTATGTCGTGGATGCCTTGATCGAGCGAGGGTGGCGGTGATGTTTTTGGGTTTGCAATGGTTTTGGTTTCGTGATGCGTCCAGCTTGAAGTGCCGGGAATCGAACGAGTCACAGTGGCGTCGTGATGCGTCCAGCTTTGAGTGCCGGGATCGAACGAGCGTGGTGGTGATGTTTTTGTGGGTTTGCTTGGATTGGTTTCGTGATGCGGCCGGCGATGATTGCCGGGATCGAACGAGGGTGGCAGTGGTTCTGCTGGGTTGGAAAGATGGTCCAGTTTTTTTGCGGATTTTGATTTTCCGGAGGTCGAACTCGCTTCCTCACAAAAGAGTGTGATGTTCGTCAAAAGGAGGTGCCGTGAGCGAGTGACAACTGGTATCCCCAGCAGTGTGATCGAGACATGGTCGTCAATTTGTTTTCGCAGTTTTCCTCCGATTTTTCTGCGGGTCGTCACTTTTGTTTCGCAGTTTTCCTCCGATTTCTCTGCGGGTCGTCAATTTGGTTTCGCAGTTTTCCTCCGATTTTTCTGCGGGTCGTCACTTTGGTTTCGCAGTTTTCCTCCGATTTCTCTGCGGGTCGTCACTTTGTTTTCCCAGTTTTTTCCGATTTCTCTGGGTGGCATGCGGGAGAGTCACTCCCTACATGCAGCTCAGCTTGGCGAGGCCGCGCTTGAGCTTTTGGAACTGTGGTGCGATCTCGTCAGCGATGGGTGCCATGGAGGTGTGATGAGAGAGCGTGAAGAGCGCAGAGTTGAGGAGAAGAAAGGCGGAGATGGTGCAGATGGCCAGGCAGATTGCGACGGGGTTGGGCAAGGTGCGATGTGGGCGCAGATTGCGACGAGGCCGGCAAAATGTAGGAGGTCGGGCAAGGTGCGACTGGAACGCAATTGCGATGAGGCCGGCAAAATGCGATGGAAGCGCAGATTGCGGCGAAGTCGAGCAGATTGCGACCGTGCAGATTGCGACGAGGCCAGGCGGCGGAGGTGGCGGATCTCAGCGGCGGTGCAGAATGTGAAGGAAATGGAGACTTGGAGATGAGATGAAATTGCCACAAGGTAAGGCGGAGAGCATGAAGGCATATGATGAGAGTGGCGAGAGCAGAGTACAAAAGGAACTCTGGTCACCAACAACAACGACCACCAGCGCGCCCGATCCTCCGGTCTTCAGGACGGAGCGGCGCCCGCTGCCCGGCCTGTGGTGGCAGAAGTTCAAGCGAGGCAGAGGGTGAAGACACAGAAACAATCAGAAGAAAGAAACAGCTGAAATGAACACTCACCCAAAGGCCGGGGAGGTGCCGTTTTTTGGGCACGAAGATTGGAGGGTCTCTGAAAGTCGACAGTCATGAGCAAGTGGCGGTGAATGCATGTGAGATCAGGAGAACGTACGGCGCATCCTATGCGTCCATAGGTCCGTCCTCGGACCCCCAGAATCGGCCGATGGGCTGTGAAAGCACAAGTGAGCATGTGAGCGAGGAGTGAGACTGTCAGCAGAACGTACTTGTGCGCGCACGCGCACGTGGCAACGCCAACTGTCACCAGTTGCGCTGGTGACAGCAAAGCCGTACGGCTCAAGAAGAGGCATCTTGTGATTGACAAGAAGATGCGTGTGATCGATGGTGAAAATTTGATTGATCAGAAGATGATTTGGCAGAGGCTGCTGATCGAAAAAAGTTTGCTTGTGAATGTTGAAGAAAAGGAGAAGATCAGAAGAAGAGCGAGAAACTTATACCCGCCTCTCTCTTTTGCCAAGATCTTCTAATCGCTGGGCAAGAGATCAGATCGATGAGACCCACCGTCAGGTTCTTCTCGCTGACCCACAGTTGACGAGATGTGCCCCACCGGCGCGGAAACGCCGGAAATACGTGCAGAAACGCTGGAGAGCTCGGGAAAAAGGGGAAATGGAAAACGTCCTCGAACTTACTTTGTCCGGCGGTTTTGGACGATCTCAGGGCGGTACTCGACAGAGCATCGTGTCGTGAACGTGCTGGCGAGGTGTGAGGGCTGGGATTTGGGTGGCGAGGTGGCTGGCTGGCCGGCTGGGCCTGGCCGGCGCAGCTTATTCGGCTGGCTGCCCGCGCTCTTCGACTTTTCACCCTCTCCACTCCCAGCCCCCTACCACCGATTCATTTTCTCGGCAATCGCAATCCACGATCTGGCTCGATTCTTTTGCCACACCTGGAAATAAGGTTGCTCACAATGACGAAGGTCGTCCGAAAAGGTATAAGTCTCGGAGAGCCCTCGGAGAACGGTTTTCAGGCCAGCCGATTTTGGGGCTCGGAAGACCGGCCCATGGACGCGTGGGACGCCCCCGATCCATGGACGCGTGGGACGCGCCAGACCGGAGGGCGGCCCCATGGGCGCACGGGATGCTCCTGACGTTCTCAGAAGATGAGCACAGAGATCAGGCGCCAACTTGGTGATCACAAGGTTGCCCCGATCGGAAAGTCGATGATGTGGCCTGATTCGTCGCGTAGCTCGCTTGTGAAGTCGGCTGTTGCATCTGCCATAAATCATCTTCTGGCATCAAATCTTCACTTCGACCACACGCATCTCGCATCAACCACGAGATGCCGTACCTCGAACCGTACGGATTTGTCACGAGCGCCGTACGCGGGGATTCGTGCCGATTTGTCGCATCCCGAAGTCGTATTTTCGTAAGAGTGCCGTGATGTGATCTCCAAGTAGTTTTCCAGATACATGTAGATTTCCTCATCGAAATGATCCGAAGCCGGCAGGCATCTTGCTCTTGCTCACCTTCGTTTTGGTCTCGAAGACTCGGCCGATTTGTCGCATCTCGCCACCAATTTTGCGGACGAGTGCCTCGATGAGATCATCAGGTATCTCCCAGACCATAACAGCTCACCGAAATGATCCAACCCGGCAGCCTTTCTCACCTTCCTCGCCTCATCCGGCACACGGCGAATTTCGCCCATCTCCATCACCCCCCGAGCCCAAAACGTCAATCTGACGTCATACAGTCCATTACCCCCCAGCAGAGACCCAAACGAGCCAGAGAAAGCGACACAACAACCCTCACACAGAGAAATACAGCTCCCAAGAGAGAAAAGAAGAAAGACGAAAGCAAAGGTGAGGTCGTCTTTAGCGCGCCCGATTTTCATGCACGTTGCGGATCGCGGGCCGTTTTTTGGCAGGTGGAGCGGTCGGCCGATCATTCTCCAGAACCCTAAAAATCCTCCGTGGCTTGGTTGGTGTTGCTTAGGGTTGAGGTTGGCTTTGGTCCGACGATGGTGGTATTTGGAGATATTCAGGAGGTTTGTAGGTCTTTTTGACGTTGTGGCGATGTTGAGGTCGATCGAGATGAATTATTGCGATTTTATTTGGGGTTCATACGCTTGTTCTACTTCGCTCGTTGGCAGTTTGATGTTTTCGCGCTGCGAATTACTTCCCAAGTCCGCAGCCACGACGAGATGTAGATATGAGTGCGCTACGTTTCACAGCTCTCCCGGGCACTAAACAAATGCCCTGTTCTGTAACGACATACTTCGGCAATGCCATCAACTCCGATTTGGTGTCACAATTGAAAGCATGGAAGTAATTCGTTGACATCACAGCGAGCTGCTTGCAAGCAGCCGGCCGCTCTGCATTATAGCGCAACAAGACAGCGCACACTACGTCCCTGCCTTATCTGCACCGCTTCATGGGTATACATGCACTCCAACCCAAGCGCCTCGCTAAAGACAGTATTCAACACAGCACAAAACCCCAGCCCGCACCCAAACCTTCCCCACCCCCTCACATCCTCGTCGGCGACAAAGGCCGATTGAACCCCCCCGTCCGATTCATATACTGCCTATACTCCGTCTTCTTCACCTTATGCACGCCATAATTCTTCTCGTTCCCGGGGACCTTCGTATCCTTCGTCGTGCGAAAATCCTTGAACCCCATAATGCGCTGCATCTCCTTCTCGCTGTCCTCGTCCGCCTCCCCACCGCCGACGCCGTTGTGCATGTGTGTATCTTGCTGTTGGCGAGCGGTGCTTTTTGTGTTGGTGTTTGTGTGAGGGGCTGATGGTGCTTGGCGGGATCTGTTGTCGCCGCCTGCTTTGCGAGAGGGTAGGGGTGGGGTTGCGGAGTCGCGGCCTCGGCGGGGGTCGCGGTCGCGATCTGTGCGAGGGCCAGGAGGCGGTGGTCTGGCTGGGTTGCGGGGAGGAGAGCGATCTCTTCGGCGGTCGTCGCGGCGTTCTCGTGCTGGTGGAGAGCGGGAGCGCTCTCGTTCTGGGGGCGTATTAGCTGTGTTCTTGCGACGAAAAGAAGAAGGAAGCTGACCGTATCGTTGTTTGTGGTCTCGCGGGTCATCTCGCCGTCGGCGGTCGTCTCTTCGTTGATCCCGCTCCATGTTGGCTTGGATGTGAGAAAGTCGAAAGTTGCAAGTCGCGAAGCTTTGCGCTTTGGACAAATTCACGCCAAGACTTCCGCGGGTCGGCGGTGCACGTGATGAAAGGCAATGAGAGACAATATTGAAAGCATGCCAATATTAAATTGGCTCTCATATCTCATCCTCCTCCTCGTCAAAGTCATCTTCACTCCCCATGTCATACAATATCCGTCCGCCGTCTCCACCACCCTTCTGAGCATCGAAGTAGGGCAGTACGACCCCCTCTCTGTCCCGTCTTTGCTTCTCCGTCAAACCCAGCTCGAATGTAGACTCCGTCCGACTGTCTGAATCGGCCGCCGCTGTATTATCGACAGGCAGGTAGCTCGAATGGTCCTCCAGGAGTGACAAGGTTGCGCGAGAGTGCTCTGACGGATCGCCACTGGTAGGAGTCATGCAATACCACTCCCGCACACCTCTGCCGCTTTTCCGTCTATGCTCCATTTCAAGCACGACGCCATCTACTCCATTCGCACCCAGACTTTGAATGCCGCCTTCGACGCCTTCCTGAAGCCCGAAGACCGGCTCGGCGTGGCTGCGGTCTCTAGCTGCTTTCCGGGCGAGGACGTGATGCAGAGAGTGTGCTGTGAAGATGGTAGTGGCGAGGTACTTTAACAGTGTTATTGTGCTGGGAGAGTAGGCATCGTCGTGTGTGTTTGAGGCCAGGGTGGGGACGTCTTGGTGGTAGACGGCGAGCAGGGAGGTTGATGGGGTGATGAAGGACGATAGCAGGGCGGGAAGGCTGGCTGCTTCGATCGCCGCCAATGAGTTCAAGCAGTCGATTATGAGCAGTTTTCCTGTGGCGGTTAGTTCGCCGTGATTCGAGAGCATTCGTGACGGGCGTACTTTGAGTCGGCTCAGCTTTCAGCGCATCTACCACCTCTTTGCGCCATTCCGCTGGTGTCTTCCCCCATGCGCGGATAAAAACATCAACATGCCGAGAAGGCCTCAAGGTCTCCAATGATACAAAAATTGTCTGCACCTTGGCAGCCTATCAAGTGGTTAGCATGCGTCGGAGGCCAACCTGCACCCTAAGGGTTGGGGTTCACCTTTGCCCGGCTCAAGAACTCCGCCAGCAATGGCCTCCCGCTTTGCTCCAAGCTGTCGAGAATAAGCGTGAACGGTGAAGAAGCATCGCGTTGATTCAAGAGCTTCGAGATGAGGAGGATATTGTGGGTGCGGCGGTGTTGTAGTGACGTTGGTGCCATGCAGGTCGAAAGCCTGGATTCTGGAAATTTAGAAGTTTGAAGTTTGGAGCCTCACCTTTGGAATGGCAGCCTCCCCCACACTCCATCACCTCTCCATCCCCTTCAACTCGCGACCAAACGCTCGAACGATGAAGACGTCATCGACTTAAGTGGATCGGTCGACTGCATGAGTACAAGAGGCTCCCAGTACGTTCTTACATTCCTCCTCACGACATTCGCTAAGGTTGATCAGTTGAGCTTCCCATCGCCTACCAGTCTTCCAGGCCGGTGAATGTCCTCAGCCACAACCTTCACCACACACAGCAAAGGGGTGCCAAAGCACTGCGTGCGCGTGTACCAAATAAGCGCAAACCAGACTCATCACCACCCGACATCAACCTCCCACCCTTCGTGAACCATCCCAACCCAACTCAAAATCCACAATGTCCTCAACCCAAACCCGCCTCCTCACAGCCCCCACCTCCAAACTAACCAAACAAAACCTCGTCGCCATCCTCCGCAAAGACGCTGCCTGGCTCACCCTCCCCCCGGAAACGCGCGCACATCTCTACGCCCTGCTGCCTGCGCCGCGCGAAGGCGAGCCCCCGCACGACGCCGACGTGCACCCCCTGCACAACACGGCCTACAAGCCGTACATTGAGGAGGCGTTGCGCCGTTTTGGCGCGGATTTGAGGGAGGGGAGGGAGGTGGGGAAGTGGAGGGTTGAGGCTATGGTTGCGGGGCGGGAGAGGAGGGAGGGGAAGTTTGAGGAGTGGAGGGAGGTTTTGAGGGAGGAGTATTGGGGGAGGCGGGGGGAGGGGGAGGAAAGTGGGAAGGGGGAGGGGGAGGTGAATGGGCATGGTGATGGAGATGAGGCTAAGGTGGAGATCAAGGACAGTGAGGGCGATGAGTAATGGCCGACTGTTTTGAGGCTCGGTGGTTGTGCTATGACGACGACCATGATGAAGCAGCACGGCAGTTTCCAACATCTTCGTCTTGAACAGTGACAGGTGTGTACACTCATGAAGAACACGACTCGTTTCTCTTGTCTAAACATGACATATATATACGCTCGGTGCATGGGCGACAACCCCACCAATCTCAAACCACCTCCTTCTCCCCCACCATCGTATTCTCCTTCCCGTGCATCCGCCTCGACACATCAGTCGTGAACTTCGCATCGGGATTCGGCGAAATCAGCGCCCCCAAAATCGCAAGCACCCCAAACGCAATACTAATAAGATACACAATCTGCACAGCCTTGGAGAAGGCAGTCTGATACGCGATCGTAACGGTGGCCAGAATCTTGGGCGTCAAGCCGGGCACGTTGGCGAAGGAGCCGGTGCTGAATCCCGCTAGCAGCGAGGGGATGGCGGCGGGTTTGATGCCTGCGTTCTCGGCGGCGGGGACGACAATCGACTGCGTGAATTGCGCGATTTTGTTCGCTTGCACGGTGGAGTAGATTGCGAGGGCGATGCAGGCGATTGTGGTGCGGCCGGAGATGAGGACGCCAATGGAGGCGCCGATGTCCTTTTCTTTTTGCGTGAAGGGGACGAGGGTGTTGGCTACGTTTTCCACGTAGCCCAGGGAGAAGCTGCCGAGGAAGCACAGCGCTTCGGCGGTGTGCAGGGTGTTGCGGTTGGTGGCGGCCATGGCTGCGAAGGAGTTAGTATGTGTGAGGAGGCGAGGGAGGGGAGTCCGACGTACCTCCGATGAACGCTGTCATGGTCGTGCAAGCTGTGACGAACTGCCACTTTGCCTTGCCGTGGCTGATCAACACGCCAGCGAAGACTTGTCCGGTCAGCGTGCCGCCGCCCAAGATGCACGACAGCCAGCCGATTCGGAGCGGCTCGGTTGCCCACAGGGTGGAGATTTGCTGCGGCCAAAAGACGTTTAGAGGGTAGAAGACGGCAGACGCGGCACCGGCGGCCATGACGATGCCACCGAACGGCAGGTTGGCAAGGAAGTGCGGGGGCAGCAGAGGATCTTTGGCGCCGTAGATTTCTGCAAAGGAGCGCATTAGTCAGATGATCGCGCGCTTCGAGCTGGGAGTACTCACCCCATAGGAAGAAGCCAACGAGCATCGCCAGGCCGACGAGCAACGTGCCAAGTGTGTGCCCACTCGCCCAGGGGTAAATAACGCCTCCCCAGCTTAGGCCGATTAGGAAGAGGACGAGGCCTCCGACGAAGAGGAGAATGCCGACGTAATCCAAGTTCTTGAGCACCTTGAGTTTCGATGCTCGCGTGTGCAGCTGCTCAAAGACGGGGGGATGATAGAACACAATGGCGAGGATGGTGGCCAGGCCAGAGATGATGAGGTTGATGTAGTAAGACCAGCGCCAGCCGGCACTGGTATTGGCAATGAAGTTTCGGGCGATGATGGGGCCAAAGGTGGAAAATGGCACGGCCATGAAGAACAAGAGGGCGTTGTTGTACCCACGCCACTTGTTGGGGATCAGCTCTGCCAAACAAATGGAAAAGCTGAGCTGCGCCGGTAAGGCGAGACCGATAAAGACCTGCGCGAAGACGAGGGTGATGATGTTCTGCGCCGCGGCGCCCATGATGCTGCCCAGCAGTGCCATGATGTTGCCGCCGATGAAGAAGTATCGACGGCCGAACACATCACTGAGACGGCCCCAGACCAGGGCGCCGGCGGAGGCGGCCAATGTGTATCCGGTGGCGATCCAGACGTAAGTGTTGCTGGGGCCCAATTCCTGGTTGATGATGCCGAGAAGGTTGAATGTCATGACTGTGATAGGAGGACACAGTCAGCACGTCTGATACGCGGGAGCCATCGTAGCAAGTGTTGGCCGGCTGGATGCTTACCGTAACCTGCGTAATTCGACATGTTGGCCAAGCTGAAGGCGAGGACGGTGCCGATGAACGCCGCGCTGGTATAGTAGCCCGGCGGGAGGTTGGCCAATTGCCCTCCTATCGAGGCGTCAGCACATGTGTAGCGGCAACGATGCGTAGAGCCATACCAATAATCTCCGGAGCGATGTCATCGTTAGTCTCTATTGGTTGTAGACGATGGTCATGGCCAACGTCCGTAGACGTGGTATCGACACCAGCCTTCTCAGTCGACATGATGGGCAGGAAAGGAGTGATGCAAGGATGGCCAGCACGGTCATGACGAGGGCGAAGGCAGGAGATTATAAGCACGGGTGGTGGCAAAGCCGACGGCGTCTGGCTCGGCAAACCTGGGGAACCCGGGGAAAGGAAATCGCCGCGTGCTCAGGGACTCTTCACACGTGGGGATCGGCTATGCATCTGCAGGCTGGGGGAAACTTACCAAGCCCGCGGTTATTCGGAGTCCGTGCCGGTCTAGATGCAAGGTCGAGTCAGTGATCTCGCTACAGTACCTACTTTAACGTCCTCGTCATATCCCAGCATACGCGCCGCACATTGAGGCATACAAGTCTACGTGTGACGATTCGCCTGCGCTGCTGCTGTTGAAAGTGCGTGAATCATCGATGTGGAGATTGGATCGCTCGTAGATTCAGGCGGTGCGAAGAAAGGGCTCATCCAGGATCCTACGGGCCAGGTTGATACGCGTAGAGGTGGCAATGCGCCTGGGACCAGGGCTGCCTCGCGCATCCAGGCGGTCAAGGGTCCAGACCTCCCCGCGCTGTGCCATCCAGGAGAGTCATGTCGCAGCCTCGAATGCGGCTCTGTGGGGATGGACTGCATGATGAGCTGAAGGAGAGTTGCCGCGGGCTCGAGACCTCGCGGGGCACTCCGGGTACTGATGAATCTGCAACGCCCTATTCGTGATCCTTGCATTGCGCTTTCCCCTTGACGATGAAGCCCGGACGCCTTTGCTCTCACAGCCGCGCTATTCCCCGCGCGCCTAGGGGTGGGTTAACTTGATATCGGCAACAAATGCCAACAGTCTTGTGTGGCGTTTCTTGACTGGCTCAGCATTGCTTGACTGCACGACTGACTGACTCGCTGGCTGGACGTTTACCCCGCCTTCCCCAAGACCGCATGGGTTTGACTCCGTATTCCCGATACCGCGGGGGTTTAATTCCGTCTTGGCGATGGAGCGTTGTGAATTGAAGGAGATCAAGGGGCGATAGAGTCAGGGTAGAGGAGGCTGAAGAGGCTGTGGCGCGGGCCCTGAAGCTTCAGCCACATGGCATCATGTACATCGGCCCTTCTCCCCATGACCGCCGCCGAAAGTGATGCCGGGAGTTGACGATTTCTTTTTACCACCACATCCTCCCCGTGTCATGAGCAGACCGTAAATGTCTTCCAACCACACCGACGCCAAACCGCCGCGAGAACCGAAATTCCCCACGCACAACGCGCCGCGCGTCTGGTTCATCACCTGCGCCAACAGCCCCATTGGCATCAGCCTGTGCCGACACCTGCTCGCCCATGGCGACTGCGTGACGGCCGGGGTGCAGCCGGTGGAGTTTGAGAAGGAGGAAGCGCGGAGTGCGGATTTCAAGGACTTTTTGAAAGAGGTGGGCACGCAGCAAGACAAGGGAGCATGGCGCGCACGGCTGCGGGTCGTTGCGCTCGACCCGAAGATTATCGGGCAGTGTCAGAGTGCGGTCGCCGAGGCGGTGCTGAGTTTTGGCCGCATTGATATCCTCTTCTGCTGCCATTCGGAGGTGGTGGTGGGCACGGTGGAGGAGTGTAGCCAGAGCCCGCGGGCGCTGTCGCTGGTGACGGATCAGTTTGAGACAAACTTCTTCGGGCCTGTCAATGCGATCAAGGCTACACTTCCCGTCTTTCGGCAAAAAAAGAATGGACACATTGTGCTGCTGACGGCAATTACGGCGCATCTCGGCACACCCGGGCTGAGCTTGTATTGTGCGTCGCAATGGGCTATCGAGGGCTACTGCGACAGTCTGGCATACGAGATTGCCCCCTTCAACATCAAGATGACGATTGTGCAGCCGAATCTGGAGGTGAACGTGCTCACGCACAAGATCACGTCGGTGCCACCCATTGCAGCGTATGCGGAGGAGACGAACCCCGCGCCGCTGTCGCGCAACATTCTTTCGGGCATCCTGGACCGACTGGAAGGGACTGATGAGCCTACATATGGAGATCAATTGCACAGCGAGGAGATTACGAGTCTCTACGCTCCGCTGAGCTCGGGCATGAAAGAAAGCCTGGTGGCGGAGACGGTGCATGCGGTTGCTGCCATTGGCGGCCACGACAACCCTCCCGCGCGACATATTGTGGGCGTTGAGGGCGTTGCATCGGTGAAGGAGAAGCTCAAAACCATGAGTGAAGAGCTGGAGGATTTTGTCGAGTGCAGCAGTGCAGCAGATTTCGACCGGACTGACTGAAGGGCGGGAACCACGAATGTTGGCATTGACTGACTCGTCGCATTTTTCATGCACCAGCCAGGGCATTGACTGGAGTACCCTGCATGCATGAAGGATATCGGAGGAGGGATCTGCCAGCAGTGGCGTGGAACGTGGCTGGTGGGGCCCTCCCCGCACCTCGTCTCGTGTTCCCCGCGGTCCGCCCGTGCACTAACAAGATTCGATCGAGACTCCGTCGAACTCTGCTTATCCTTCCTATCCCTCCTCCGCCACCTCACTCGCCCGACTACCATCCCCACCCCTCGCCAGCCGCATCCCAGACCCCCGCGAAATGCATCGGGAGTGAAGAGATGGCCTACGAAGAAGCACACCTGCCCGGCCCGCCCACCGCCGCCGCCGAGGATGATGCCGCAATAGCCGCGCAGAAGCTATCGCGCCGCGCCTGCGATTGCTGCAGGAAGCGCAAGGTCAAATGCGATGGCGGCAACCCGTGCACTCCGTGTCAAAAGGCCATGCTGCCCTGCGCATACCTGCAGCCGCCGAAGAAGAAGGGCCCGAAGGGCTTGCGGAGCCAACGGGTCTTGCACATGCTGCGTCGCATCGATGACCACATGGCAGCTGGCCTCCCGAGTCCTCCCACGCCTCAGCAGACGTCGGCATTTGGCAATTGGGGATGGCATACGCAGAGTTCCGGCTCCAATGGCGGGGCCATGCCGCCGCCCAATGCGCATGCGCATTCCGAAGACTCGTACGGGCCGCACACCAGCGTTGCTCCAGATCAGCCATACTATCCCCCCTCTCAGTCTTCCATGCCGCCACCACCCCAGCAATCACCGTTTCCGCCTCACTCCATGCGATTTTCTCCGGAAGCGCAATTCGCATCATGGACGAACAAGTCCCCGTCAGTGCCGCCGCCCACAAGCGACCCGTCCAGCACAATGTCGCCCTCGACCTCTTCCTCCCTCCATCTCCGTCTCCCAGCCGAGTGCTTCCTCCCATACATCAAGCTCTTTTTCGACCACATGTTCCCCATCATGCCCGTCATCGACCGCAACATCTACGTCAACCCCAACCTCTACACCGACTCCAGTCTGCTCACCCCGGATGAATACTGCTTTCTCTGCTCCATCTGCGCCGCAACCATGGTCCAATTGGACGACTCCATCTCTCAACCGCCCGCGATACATCCCCCGAAGCGAAATGACGACTTGTTCGCCGAGGAATGCCTGCGCGAGCGAAAAGTTTATGATTTCATTGAGTCGCCTTCAAGACTTAGCGTCATGACTTCTTTCTTTTTGTTTGCGTATTACGGCAACAATGAAAAGCACGACAAGGCCTGGCACTACTTGCAAGAGAGCATCACCTTCGCCCAAACCCTGAACATGGATGACGAAAACGCGTACCGCGATCTCGACCCCACGGAAGCGCAGTGGCGACGACGACTCTACTGGCTACTCTTCATCACCGAGCGGGCGTACGCAGTGCAGCGGAGAAAGCATACGAGATTATACGCGAACGTCAAGCAGCCTTCCATCTTCGACAACGAGGAAGCGCAATTACTGAATGGCTTCGTGAACCTCGCAAACCTCTTCGCCGCCGTGGACGACGATTTCGTGAAGGCGTGGCGGGGCTCACGGAAGCAGAGTCTGTGTGACGAACAGTGGCTGGCCAAGACGCAGTCACAGCTCGACAACGCCGTGCTGGCGTTGGGCAGCGTGAGTGAGACGCAGCAGATGGACATCCGCGTGACGCGAGAGTGGTTGCACATGCTTGCGTGGCAGATGGGCGTCAGCAATGGCTTGATGTGGGGCGAGGGAGAAAGCGATGGCACGCGCCTGTACTACCCCGTCGAGATAGCGAAGCGAGTTGTGGAGATTACATCCGGGGCGAATGCTCTGGCGCTCGATTCGCACGGCATAGGAATGGCAAGTTGCGTTCCCTCAGAAAGCGTATGTCGCCGACTAACATGCCGTCTCCCAGGAGCAAAAACTCTACGACATCGCCGGCTGCCTCGCCGACGTCCTCCGCTGCACCGCCGGCGACCCCTCCGCCACCTACGCCGCCGGCAAAGAATACCTGCACATCCTCTCGCAAAAACTCTCCAGCATCCGCGGCAAGGAAAGCCGCTACCTCAAGCCCCTGCTAGCACGCATGGAGGGGCTAATGGGCTACGAGCTCAACGCCCAACCCCTGCCTCCCCCAACCGCCGCGGGCTTCGACCCCAAATTCCCCCCGGCCAACGCCTACTTCAATACCCCGCGCATGTCCGTCGTCGAGTCGATGAATATGCTGCGCTCGCTGTCCATGACGGGCGGAGGGAGCTTTTCCCTCCCGTCGAGTCTGTCGTCTATGTTGCCTTCGCTGGCGATGATGGAGGATTGGACGCAGCGCAGGCCGAGTGGGAAGGTGTATGATGAGGCGGAGACGGACGCTATGGATCCTTGGGCGTTGAATGAGGTTGTTATACAGCAGCGGCAACGGCAGGCTATTTGATGGGTGGGATGGGATGGGCTTGGGAGGGGAGGGGTTTGTGTGGATAGATTCCTCCTCGACATGAAATCTTTTTCCCTCGCAGGGAATATCTCCGTCATGTGCACGGGAAGCCCTTCAATTCTCGCGTCCTCTACCCCATCTCCACCTTACCCGGTAGGAATCTCCTTCTCCCTATTATCCGGCGCTGCAAACCATCAGCATACCCCATCCCAATAAAACACAAGAAAACAACCAAAAAGATGAGAAAAGGAACCTACTGATCTTCTCCAATACCCCCGTCAACGTCCCCTTCCCCTTCCTCCCCCCGACTTCCTCCGCAGACGATACCTTTGTCTTATTCGCTTTGTGCATCTCCAGCTCATTCTCCATCTTGTCGGCGTCGTACGCTTTGTTGCGCATGGCGGTGGCGCGGTCGGTTTTGGGGCCTATGGGGAGCAACATGAGTTGAGGGAATGGGGGCATCAGGGAAGTTAATCTTACGAACCGCCGTCTGATTGCGCTACTTGCTCTGCTTTTTTGAGGTCGGTGATTTCGGAGGGGGACATTGTTGCTTGTTGCTTGATGGTGGTTGGTTGGGTTGGGTTGGGTTGAAGATGAAAGTCGTGCGACGTTGGGTTGGAGAGCTGAAGCTGGGGGCTGATGGACATGAGGTCAAACAGCATCATGCAAGCGTGACACGAGAGCTGCTGATTAGCGGTACATGGTCAGGGAACATGCACTTTGGTTCCATGCGATGGCTTTTGCTTGGTTTCTTTTGAGCTCTGAGCTCGCGAACACTGGCGTTCGAGGCTAGGGAGCAAGACTAATGTTGTAGCTCATCGGGCTGCATGGCGTCCATTCCAATCCTGGCCGCGGTTTGGACGTCTTCTCGTACTGCTATTCATTCCGGTGAGTCAACACTGACATTACACAACGTCCCTGCTGTGCATGCTGTTTTCTGTCGATCAAGAAACTGCAGGCCGCCCACCAATCGCTGTTCGCTACATTTGTCTTTCATTCGTTACATTTGTCTTTCATTCGTAGAGTTCGCCACGCTAGCAAGGCTGCCTGGCGGCTTGACTGGATGGTATGACAAGATGAGCGTTGGCCACGACATGCAAGGTAGATCAATTCCAAATGATAATATCATTCTCGCGAGTAAGACAGACTGCCTGCTACTATTACCGTGAATGAAGGCCGTACAAGTGTCGTAAGGCACGGATCGCCAGATTAAGTCGAATGTCTCTGCTTCTTCGTTGTCGATTGGATAAAGCCAGCAAAGGGTAGTACGCAGTTCTGGGGAAGGCGAACGCGTCATTCGGTCTTGACTGGCACCGGACTCATTCGGCAGAGGGAGTTGAAAGCACGGAGCACAGCGTCTTCGCGTGAACATTCCCCTCCACGTTCGTCCTGCGTGCCCCTCGACTTGAACAAGCGACCGAGAACAGCATCGGCGAGCTGCCCAGCCATATCGTCTTGATACGGAGGAATGTCTTCGATCTCCTCCTCCGCGAAACCACCACTGTTCCCGAGGGTGGTAATCCTATCACTCTCAGCTCGGAAAGCGTCGCTGACGCTGCGAACCAAAGCGATGGGTACATGCGGACATGCTTCTTCCTCCTCCGACGAGTCCGCCGTGGCTCTCGCACCCACCACAGCAGCAAAGATCGCACGCACAGTAGCGGTGAATACCAATTGTCGGCCGATGGAGTCCTTCGCATCCCCCACGCATGGCTCGCACACGATAATGACGATCGCAGTGGCGTGCTGGACGAAGGTGGAGTGGATCTCGCCAAAACCGGCGTTCACATGGTATGGAACGTGGGAGACGCAGGGATGATTGATGGCGAGTGCTTTGCCGAAAGTCTCGTAGGGGTCTGTCGTGGCGAGATGTGCTGGTCGCGGCGTTTTGGTTGCCGGAACGACGACGGGGGTGAAGAGGACGAGGCGGGGAGTTGGAGGCGGTTGGTCGTGGAACCAGAGCGTGAAGGAGCGGCGTGGTAGGGCCGACTCTTGGTTCGACGAATCTTTGTCCGCATGCTCGTTGGCTACATTATTGGGACTTTGGGAGGTCTTAGACGAGGGTGACATTGTTGTCGATAGTGTTGTTAGCCTGTCGGAAGTCGTTCGAATTGCTGAGGCTCCTCACAGTATGTTTTATGGAGGGGCGGGAGAGAAGGACGAAGGGATGTGCAGGTCGTGCAGATTGGCCTTCGAGTTGCGGAAGAAAGAGAGAAGCAGAAGCGTGAAATCGTGCGGGATCATGGGAAAGGTGGGTTGATCCACCTTGCAATGTTGGGGTTTCTTGAGTAAAGTGCAGTGAATGAAAGAGACCTTTGAGAAGGGGGCCTACGAGATATATGTGAGAAGCAGGTTTTGTCGGACCACGAGAACGAGACGATAACACCAGTGTAGCAGCGTGCAGCACCCGTGCAGCACCGTGCAACAGAATCACGTCCGGATGATCATTCTTGGTGGATGGAATGAGGGGTGTGCGTGGGTGTGGCAGGTCACATCCTCTCCACTCGTTGCACCTTGGACGAGAATAGAGAATGTGAGATGGAAAGGAAGAGAGGGAGTGGACGGATTTATTTGAGAAACTCCGGGCTTGCATACCTTGCCATTTCGCATGAACACCTCACGGCTGCGTTTGGGTCGAGAACCTTGACGCCACGGTCAGTTTTGTTTGTGGGGAGGTTGGGGTTGGGTGCACAGTGTCACCCACGAGTCCAGCCCATGCAGTTGGGAATGCATGACAGTTGGCCCCCAGTTGGCGGCCGCCGTGATACGCAGGAAAGAAAGCAAGGGCCGAGGCATGCATGATTTGCGTAGTGGTCTCCTCGCGACTAATTACCTGCTTCCATATCCCCCCGCAAGACCTCACGTCCCCGTCGCCGGGTTCTTCAAGTTTGCATACGAAATGGTATGGCTCGTCGCATCAAAGTCGATGTAATGACCAGCGAAAAAGGGCTGCCCCACAAGCCATGCCGTAGTGTGCGCCGTCACATTTGAGAGGAAGTTCGTGCCACCGAGAATCGATGTGCAGTTGCCACTCTTGTGCTTCGCCGAGTCCCACACGTCCGGCGAGATATTGAAGATGGTGGCCTTTTGGCCGGGCTTGAGTTGCGATTCGGTGGGGAAGCTGACTACGGTGGAGGTTAGTGATGTTGGAATACATTGCGGGGAATTTGGAGAGAGGTACAGCCTAGAGTTGGAGGCTTGCCACACGGGAAGGAAGCCGTGAGGACACGGTCTGGTTTTCCGCCGAGTTGATCAGACACCCTGAGTTTGGAAGACCATCCAAGGCTTTCGAAGATGGACCTGGTGAGGTCGAGCGGCCTGCATTTCTCTTGTGTCAGAGCAGTGCACTGGCCAACATCATTTGAGGCAGCATACCCTTGGATGTTGTTAGTACCAACGTCCATGATGATCGTCTGGTTCTTTGAGATGATCTTGTTGTCCAAGGTGACGTCGCCCACAGTCACATATTGCTGGTCGACTTCGGAGACTGGAACCACGTCCCCATCAATTAGCGTAGTATCAAGCTTTCCAATCACGATTTGTCCGGTGCCGTTGGTGCCTGTAGGACTAGTCAATCGACTTGCTTGGACATGTAGATGGCGGTCGTCTAGCAAGTGCCACACTCACCAAACGCTAGACCAAACCTGCATTCATCAATGGCCTTTTCCGCGCACAAGCTAAAGAAGAACGGATCGGCCGGGGGCATGAACTGGCTGCCGTCTTTAGGCCCGAAGCCGATGATCCCATTGCGTTCGAGAGCGACGGTCGGAGGTTTGCGGAGGTCGAAGAATTGGAAGGATGTGATGTTGGCAATCGCCTGGTGCTTGACGCTCAGATTGCCAATCGAAACGGTGTCTAGCAGCGCCGTGCCGTTGATCTGGTGGTCGGTGCAATGGTGAACAAGTGTGGCGGTGCGCAAGATGCAGACGGTCTTACATTCTCAAACCCATATCCCGCCTAGAATATTCCAGCATTAGCAGTGGTCTGTTTGCTGGAGTTGCCACCAGGAGTAGCTGCAAGTTTGGCAAACTTCATCTCACCTTGTTCACGCCCTCGTATTCGATTGCGAACTTCGTATTGACGTACGGTAGCTCATTTTTCGAAGGCTTGTACAACCCCGGATCGATGAGAATATCCGACGAGCCAGTGTCGATGAGTAGCGAGAGGGGCCCCGAGTCTCCGACGGAGAAGTTACCAAACCAATACAAAGCTCTGTCTAATCCAGTAGCTTCGATTGCATACTGCCTCTTCCGAAGATGATGGCTATGGGCGTAGTCACGTCGCGCGGCAATGTTGAAAGATTTGTCAGCGCCATGGGCAAGGCTGAAGAGGACAAAGGACAGGAACAGGAACAATCTGGCCATTTTGCTGGATAAAGGCCCGCTGCAATCTGACCGAAATGCTTCTAAGAGTCGTGCTCGGGCGTTGCGGCTATCTTATACGCTGGCGCGTCTGACATCACCAGCAAAGAAGCAGCGCCTTTTACCTCCCAGAGTCCAGCCTAATGATTTTAGGCTTTTACCGTTGTGGGCGATTGTCTCTTGCTGATGTAACCTTGCGGCGGGGTTCGACGTGTAGCACGTAAGCACTCGTAAACTCGGCTTGCCGCCTGCACGCATATACAGTACACCAGCGAATAGGACTGCGCCTGGGAGCGTGGACGGGCCATTGAAAGGAATGTGGGGTGTTATTTGGTTGAGTGGTGGGCGTGGTGAACGTCAAGCAGTTAAGCTGCTTGGAGGCTGAAAGCGGTGCCGTCATTGCGGTGGTGGTTGGAGCGGATGTCGGCGCCCGACCGGCAGGCTGTATGCCAGAAGAAGTAAGATAAGGTACCTTACACTTGAGTGGCTCGCCTATGTTACAAAGAAGTAGGCTGACCTGGCAGAGCTTATGTAGCAACAGTGAATCACTTTAGAAAGCTCCTCTGGCACGTGGAAGTCAGTGATTACATAATCGCCCAGACTCTGACAAAAGTGGTGGCACGCAACAACACGTCAAACGTCGAAGACTCTTGTGTGGTCGCCAATGCCTGCTGTGTTCTTAACAAATCACACTCTCGTCACGCCGCCGTGCCTCGTCTATGCTTCTCCGCATAAACCCAGTCTCCGATCTGGGAGCTGTGAGCTCGTGGCGTGCTACCACCCTCCTTGCGCCGAGGTTCGCAAGGTGGCCGTTCAGGCAGCATGAACCTGACTGTTCGTGTGGCCGGCCGCCAAAGCGGCCGTCAACGGATGCACAATGGTCCGCGTGATCCTCGACCCAGTCTTCAATGGCGAGCGAACCTTGTCAGTCTCTGCTCATCATGCAATGTGTTCGAGATTGACGACTGATTCTTTGCTTCAGACTGGATTGTCACAAGTCCATAACCTGTATTTCGTCGCTTACGGCCCTGATATTCATGTATACGAGCCGCAATATCCAACCCAGGCTGTCTCCAAAAATCCATTACTCTTCTTCACCTCTTCGCCATCAGCTCCTGGATTGGCAGGCTACATAGACCCGACGAACCCACACGCTATCAACAACCTGGTCGTGCAATTTCTCGGAAACGAGGAAGTCGTTGCGGTCGTGCGAGACGATGGAGACGTCGACGCCTTTCTCATTCGCCACGTCGTCGGCGCCATTGCAAGGAGAGCCGAGTCCTCCATGTCATATCCACCATTCGAAGATGGCATTCGACCCTTCTTTCAAGCTAATGTCGAAAAGTCTGCCTGGGGTCTGTCCATTCATGCACAAGCAAGGGTCCTTGCAGTGTCCTCGAATGCGCATGAAGTGAGGGTGTTCAAATTCGGCTTACTTCATGCGCACGACCCAGACTCGAGCGAGCATGAAGACGACGCTGCAACGGCCGACCGGGCGACAGACGTCACCCATCAAATCCTCAACGGCGAGGCCAATATTCCTTACATCTCTTTCTGCAACACCGGCGACGATCCAGAAGGTCGTTGGCTCTTGACCACCGACATCAGCGGCGAGTGCCGAGTGATGGATTTGCGAGCTCTAAAAACCGTGCAACACTTTCGTTTGGGAGGCTCACGGCACTTCCTGTCCTGGTATGATCATAACTTTGATCGGAATCATGCCGGCTGGCTTATCATGTTTCTCGATCGACGCTCGTTCCAGGAGGCCGAGACCGTGAGCGAAGCGCTGGGGTTGATGGCAGGAGAGATGCCACCCAATCTCAAGCGCAATCCGATGATGTGGGATCTGAGCGGCACTGTGCAACACTTACCAGGATATGAGACTCCTCTCATTTACAGTAATGAGTCTACTGACGGACGGAGGAGACGAGATGAAGATCCCAGGCCAGGAAATGACCAGCGTGCTCCTGCATGGGTGCAACTTGTTGACGAAGATGAGAGAGACGACGTTGACAGTGACCAGGAAGCGCCACTAGAGATTGAAATCGAGATCAACGATCCCATGTCAGAAGACGAATCTCAAGAGGAGCCATCGTATACGCTCAATCCGACAGAGGCACAACCTCATGCCACAATTCTAGGCCCCTCCGAATCCCCAACCAGCCCCATGTCATACGAATCAGACAGCGAAGGCAGCCCATCTTCAATCCCCATCATCGACGACGCCTCCGACCCCGACGCCGAACCCGTCGAGGACCCCACCCACATCCCCTACAATGCGCTCTACAACGGCCAAGCAATCTCCTCCAACACCCCCAAGTACGCCATTGATCACGACCAGCCCTTCTGCGCCGACCTACCATGTCCAATCCTCCACGCTTCAGTGCGGGACATCTACCTCCTGCAGCCCTCGCACCAAGCAACCCAGCGCGGCCCGCACGCGCCTCCAACGCTCGGCTTCGCCAATCCGCTCCGCCAACGCATCGACCACCGCATGGCTTTTCTTCTGCATTTCCAGCGACTGAACATGACCGCTTACATCCCAGACTTAGGCGCGGTGATCATTGCGTCCCAAAAGGGGCGAGCGATCGTTCTCGCCCTGACGAAAATCACGGCCGAGACAGAGTGGGAAGAGGAAATGCTCCTCGCATCCTCCTCCACTCCCGGCGCCGCGTCAGGCGGCAGTGTAGGAAAGCAAGGGTCGAAACAGCATCGGCCCCCGCCGTGGACGCAAAAGACCATCTACGCGATGCGCGTGCAGTGCATTCTACCCTTTGCCGAGCAGGAGAAGGCGCATGAGCGGCCTTTTGCGCCGCTGCATGGACTTGCTGCTGCGCCTTTGCAGGGGTGCGAGGCGGGCAGGCAGAGGTGGAGGGTGCTGATGATGTATCAGGATCATTCCGTGCTGAGTTATGAGATTTCGCGGGGTAGGGCGGAGGCTGGTGGTATTGGGGTTGAGGCGGTGGCGGTTTGATGTGGGATGTATGATGATATTGCTATACTTGGTTCACGATTCACGAGTGACGAACGGGCTGGGTTGGGTGGCAATCGTGCCAGTAAAGGTTTTCCAACGCTGTATGGGGTATCTCAAGGTATCCGAATCAAAGTGCAAAAACGGCTCAAGTGGAAGAACTTTCCGGCAGCCCAACCACGCTGCCAATATTGGCCCGACTCTTCTTCCTCCTCGCCCGGTCCCCAGGCCGACTACCCCTCCTGTCCTTCCCGGCGGACGCTGTCTTCGCCTCCGTCATCACAGCCGGCGGCTCAGGCCGCGTCTCCGTCTTCACTGCAGGAGACGTCTTCGATCCCCCGTCTCTCTGCTCCTGCACTTTGGCCGCCAGGGCAGCCGCTTCTTCGTCTGCCGCTTTGCGCTTCTTCACCGCTGCCAGGGAGGAGGTGAAGCTCAGGTTCCCAGGTTCGCCTTGCAGCGCGTTCTCGTCCATGTACTCGTCGTGGAACTCGAGAGCCATGCGGAAGGATTGGGCGAAGAGACGCGCATCGGAGAGTGTGCTGGTTGCGTTGTTGCCGGTGGCGGCGGGATGACTTTCCACAGGCCCGAGGGATGTTGAGCGGAGGGATTGCGAGTCTGCATTGGGGAGTACACTGCCTTCTCGAGAGCGCGCAGGGGAGGCTTGCGTCGATGCCCCGCCCGCTGCAGTGGTGGAAGACTGAGGCAGGTAGCTGTATCCCGCCGTAGCAGAGAAGGACGGCAGTTTGGCAGCCTGGTCGAAGAACTTCGACAGACTCGTGGCGGCAGAGAGCAGGCGGTTCCCCACCACATCCCCCACGCTCGGCGCCTGGTACATATTCTCGCCCACAATGTAATACGAGCCCAACGTCGTCAACTCCTCCGTCATCCTCCCAGTATCCACATCCCGCCTGCGATCGCGATACTGCTTGCGCAAATTCCACACCCCGCTCTTCGACCTCTGCTGCTGCGGCCCCGGCGGCCCAGTGACAACATCCGCCGGCTCGCCGACAATCATGTACTCGCTCCCCACGTGCCGGGCGAGATCCTCCTCGAAGCGCCGCCGGTCTTTCACCAGGTCGAATTCCGCCATGTTCTTCTCGGCTTGCAGGAAGTGCAGCCCGTTCTTGCTCGTGTCGTCGAAGAAGGGCGAGACGGAGAGGTAGCGGTGGATCATGTTTTCGTCCATCGGCTGGCCGCCCATTTGCTCCACCCACCACTGGATGACCTCCGGGCGGCGGAATTGGATCTCGTCCAGTGGTATGTCGGTCGCCATGGTTGTGTTGTGTTGTGTGGAATGAGGTGGAGGTGTGTGGTGGTGTCGAGCGCAAGGCTTGAGGTTTGGAGGCTTGAATCAAGAAAGTGGTGGGACCCGTTCACTCATCCGAAAAGCGCAATCCAACAACACATCACCCTCGCTCTCAACACGTCTGCTCACCCTCGCGAAGCACTTTCACACCATGGCTGCATGTGCACGGCTACCGTCCATCTGGACGACGGTATGTCGGAGCAGCGAGGTCTTGAATCCGGCACTACGAAGAGCGAGAGCGGCGCAGCGCATCCGCCTTTACCACCCCAACCGCCACTTCCAACAGGAGCACATTTCGCAGAGATACGGGACTGCCAATGAGCCTCCACCACACCTCGGCGGTGGAAAAGGTCTTGGTCCCTCAACAGCGAAGGGCGAGCAATCGTCAACAGCGGATACGAAAACCGAGCCGAAAGCGCTGCCGAAGATTGGGGAGAAGCTGCAGCGGGATGGAGAGCAGGAGGTCGAGGCGGAAGGACACGTACTCAGCAGCGAAGCGCAAAAGAAGGAGCCCACAACTGTCGACGGTCAATCTCCGCCGTTGCCGGAGCCCTCGCCTGACGCCAACGATACTATCGCCGCGTCCCGACTCACCACTGCCTCTGTGCCCGACGGTAATCCCCTCCAGACCATCCTCGACAGTGTCCCCGATCCTCAACAACACTCCGAATCGCAACAGAAATCCGACAACACGCCACAAGCAGACGAGCATCCTGATCAAACCTTTGATGAACACAGCCCGCCAATGAAAGCACCGCACATGGAACCCCCGCGCTACATGCACCACTTCGACACTTATGGACTAGTGAAGCGACTCAAAGAAGGCGGATGGGACGAAGACCAGGCCATAACCGTCATGAAAGCCATGCGCGTCATCCTCGGCGACCAGCAAGACTTGGCGAAAGAAGCGCTCGTCAGCAAAAGCCAGCTGGAGAACGAAGCATACCTCTTCAAAGCCGCGTGCGCCGAGCTGAAAACAGAAGTCACGACGCGCCGCAAGAGCGAGCAGGAGAAGATGCGCACCGAGCGCGCCCAACTGCAGCACGAAGTCGATATCATCTCCCAACGCCTGGGGCAAGAGTCGACGAACATGAAGGAGGAATTGAAGGGCCTATTCGACGACCGCAAGATGGCCGTGCGCAACGAGCAGCGCGACATGGAGAGCAAGATCCAACAGCTCGGCTACCAAATCACGGTAAATCTGCAGTCGGACGCCAAGTCGGATATCGAAGGCGTGCGGTGGATCATGACGCGGCGAGTCATTCTGACGCTCGCATTTGTCGTGTTGATGATTGTGGGGAGTTTGAAGGCGGCGGCGAATGCGGAGGAGCAGGCGAAGAGGGCGGCGGCCAAACCGGCTATGATGTCGGGTGGTACGCAGACTGATATGGGGGAGGGTGGGAGGGTCTTTGAGGGCGGGGGTGAGGTGGTGATCAAGGAGGGCGATCATGCGGGTTATGTCAGTTTGGGATGAGCGTTTGGACGGCCATGACTGATGACTAGATTGGATGAAGACTGCTTGTTTGCAAGATACCCATGCGAGGCTGACCATTCGTAGATTCATGACGAAAGATATCCTATCAACTCTCCGTCTCTCCTTGCTGCTGTGCTGCTCCCTCGGCTTCCTGTTCATCCTCGTGCTCTTCACCTTCCCCACTCTGCCCCTGTCCATCGTGCTCCTCATCCTCCACCGCCCCCGAAACCCGCGCGATATCCCCCCTCTCCTCCGCCACCATCTCCCTCCGCTCCTCCGCCCCCTCCACCAACTCCTGCATACTCCCATGCCGCGAATCCGGCACTTTGTCCCCCTCCAGCCTCCACCCCTGCACACAAACAATAATATCAACAGCCATCTCGCCATTCTTGCGCAACGCCTTTTCCCAATGCGGCGGCATGCCGATCCCACCCCCACCTCCTGCACCAGCACCACCAGCATGACTGCCATTCCCGACGACCAGCATGCGCGCCACGCACGACACGAGGAGTTGCCGCATCGGACTCCCCGCCTCAGTATTGGCGTAGATGTATTGCACTCTCCGCAAGCCGGGCCAGGTATCGCTTTCGTAGTACCACGCGCGCACCGTCTCGAGCACCTGCACGACGAGCGCTTTCACGCCCCACTTCTCCGCCATGAGGTACAGATCCAGCAGCGGCGCGAGTTCCTTTTCTTCTTTCGGGGTCGGCAAGGTGTTGGCGTACAACCATGCGACGAAGAGGTTGAAGGGCTCGTCTTCTTCGTCGGGGAGGCCGTAGACTTTGGTGTTGGCGTTGGCGGTGTTGGACGTGGATTTCTTCTTTTTGGCGTAGAAGATGTCGCGGAAGTGTTTGGAGCGGTGGCAGAGGAGTTTTTCGTGCAGGACCCAGTGTGTGTTTTCGGGGCCGACGTAGATGTCTACCATATCGCGGGAGAGGAGTCTGGGGTGGTGTTTCGTTAGTGGGAGGTTGCAAGGGGTGAGGCGAGGAGGTGTACTCGTGGAGGGGTCTTTCCCGTGGCTCGGCCATGTTGCTGAGAGTTGATGCTGAGGTGTGAATTGAATAGGCGAAAAGGAGAGAAAGCTGAGACGGTTAGGAATAGATGGATTGGAAAAAGATCGAAAAATTGAACGCGTTACAATGCTGGTATCGACGGATGCATATATGAGTTGAAGCAGGAGTGCCAGAACCTTTGTCTGCCTTGCGCGTGAAGATCGATACAGCTAGTCGGAAGAGAATGAACAGGCAAGCTCGAGCTTTCCCATTTAACCTACATGCATGGTTGGCCGGTTGAGCGCGGTTGGTAGTTGGCATTCACATGCCCGGTTTGCAGCTTTCCAAGTTTCCCAGGCTCAGGCTGCCGCGTTCATGCATTGATGCTGTTAGCGCGACGTCATTGGAATTGGGGCCAACCCGCGGTGCATGCACTAATGCGGGCGACAAATATACCCCGGATTTGAGATGTGAAGGTAGAGCAGCGGTGTGGTTGTGATTTGTTCATATCTGAGTCCTTCTGCATTCTCGTCGAAGGGAAGAGTCACGTTTATACGTCGAATACCAGCAGTATCGATATTTTCATCGCGCTCTCCGACTGTCGTCTTACCCCAGCATCCTCCCTCAGCCCTTCTTGACAACCTCCACAAGCTTCCCACTAATCAAGTCCTCATCGTAAACGCCTCCGCCATGAATGTTGCGCTGATGGCCACCCATAGCCGGAATGTAGTTCGTGAGCAGCTCGGCCGTAGCGAGGAAGAGCTTGCGCACAGCAGACTCCGGCGTGGGGCAAGGTTCGCTCTCGATGGCGGGAGTGGCGCCGAGCATGATCAGGGCGCGGTACTGTCCTGCGTGCCCCACGACGACCATTTCGAGCTCGGGGTGGTGAGTGGTGGTGGGCGTGTTCTGGGCTGTGGCAGCGCTCGTGGCTTGCAGGGTGGCTTGACAGTCCAGCGAGGGGACGGTGGTGGTTGTAAGCGGGTTGGCGGTGGGAGCTGGTTTGGGGTGGATGAGGGTTTTGGCGTTTGCTGGGGCGTAGTTAGCAGATGTGCAGATGAGTGGTGGGAGGGGGGAAGACATACCCAGGATCTGGATGCGGAGGGCTGGGATGTCTGTTGCCGCCATTCTTGCTGTTTGGCCGTGTTTGATGGGTGTGGTGTGCTGGATGTGGTGAGGGTGTTGGTGGTTGAGAGAAGTAGCAACACCAACGAAGATCGGGGCGGACAGCTGCATGATGCGCTTGCCATCCGTCACTCCCTTGCAGTGAGCGAGGAAGGTGCAACCTTAGTCATCCCGACGATGCAGGCAAGAGCGATACAACTCAAGGTGGTGCTTGTGAATGCGATCGCTCATTCCCATCCACTGCTGGCTGAAAAGTCGTTTCATCATCCTTCACGCCGCCATCGTGCTCCTCCACCTCCTCCTCCTCCCCCGCGCCCTTCTCGTCTGCGAGCTGCTTGTACTTCCGCTTCTTCTTCTTACTCGCACTCGCTTTCTTCGCGCGCGCCCGCTCTGCCTTGATCGCCGCCCGACTGTCACTCCCCTTCTCCAGCTCCTGCAACTTCTCCCCAAGAATCTGGCGAGCGTACTTCCGGTTCTGATCACGACTGCGCGTCGCTTGGCTCTTGACTACAATGCCAGTGGGAAGGTGCTTAAGCTGCACGGCCGACGAGGTCTTGTTGATCTTCTGCCCTCCTGGCCCGCTGCCCTTGAGGAAGGACTCGGTGATCTCATCTTCGGCGATTTGCCTTCGCGGAGGCAGTGCTTTCTCTTGGAGGAGCGCGCTTGTTGTGAACGGTCTCGCCACAGGGAGATGTGTGGAGGAGATGATGCATCGTGCGATTGTCGGCTGTGCCCGGAGCATCCTTTGTCAGATCATCTCGCCTCTGGTCACGCCAAAAGATGACATGCGTCGAGAGGTTGGTGGAGGACTGCCAATCTAAGTAGACTCGGCCGGGCAAGGCGGATAAAATAGTCAGACGCGAGTCATCCGCGAGCCTAAAACGCCCCCAATCAGTTTAGGTTGGCGCGCGGACATGCGCGGCTCCTCAACTCAAATCTCCATTCTTGAAATCGACGTCGTTGACCCTTTAACTTTAAAACGCCCCGTCGCGACACTTCTTCTCCGACGCATCTTTGCTTCATTCCATCGACCTCGCCCAAGTCTTGACGACAATCCACCCGAACACATACACACGTGAGGGCAATTGAGCCCCTCCTCACCTCCCAGTTTCAACGACACGGTTCCCACGATCCCACCGCAAACATGTCAGACTCCTCCTCCTACCAGTACGCCGCCGCCGGCACCCTCCTCCTCGTCCTCCTTGCCTTCGTCCTCTTCCAACCCAACGGCCTCGCCCGCTGGCTGCAAAAGAAAAACTACCAGTACGAAGTGACGTTTGCGCTGTACATGCTTACGCCCACCGAGAAGTTCATCTTCAGTGCGTTGCCGCCCCACCCTCCGCAACGGAACAACTCCATCTGACTGACACCACCGCAGACTCCATCCTCTTCCTCACCCTCTCCATGCTCACCACTGCCTGCTGCGTCTACCTCCCCTCCCACATCCTCCTCATCTCCCGCCGCGCATACTACTACTTCGCCGGCGGCGACGCGACCTTCCTCGGCGCCTCGCGCACCGCTGCGTCGCACTTGGGCGGCACGGCGGCCAAGGCTTCGGAGGCGGTGTATGATGCTACGGCGAATATGGTGGGGGCGGCTTTTGGCGCGGCGGCGAATGCTTCGGCTGCTGCTGGGGAGGAGGTGGCTGGGCAGGTTGCGGATAGTGTTGGTTAAAGGAGTGGGCTGCTTTCTGGGGGTTTATCCGTACTTTGAGCGCGGCGTAGGGCGCTTCTATTTGTTTTGAGGATTCAGGGAGGGTGGAGTAAGGGCTTGGTCTGAGGACTGGGAGTAATTGGGTCCAGAGGAGACCAAGGGCAGATCAACTAGAGGCTTCTCGTGCTTGTATCATAGAGCAACGCGCACTCGGTACCTCAACTATCTACCGAGCCATCAAAATTCATATCCCAGGCCGGGAATTGGTACGACATGTCGTCCAGATTCAGCGGGTAGTTGGGATCCATAAACGTGCCGAAGACATCGTCCATGTTGTCGAACAGCGCAATCCCGTTCTCCGCCGCCTGCGCATTCCCCACCACCGAGCCATCACCCTCCACCACTGCTCCCGGCGTAGCCAGATTCCCGCCTTGCTCCGTCGTAGGTGCCTCCGTTCGCTCCCCAGGTCGAGCACCGAAATCAGCCACACACGCTGAAGGAGGGAGGATCAGATCCCCCGGCGGGGCATCAGCCTCTGCATCATCGCCTCGAACGCCTTGCCCATACGTCCGCGGGACGCGATACGATGCCAAACTAGGCGCGCGATCCAATTGATCGAGCACCTTCTTCGCCAGCGTGGCCATGATATCCGCGGAACTCCACGTGCGCCGCAGTTTGCTCAGTAACGCACAGCAGGTTCGGAAATCCTCGCGGGCGTCGGCTTGCTGGTGCTCGAGTTGGGATTGGCGGAGGTGCTGGTAGGAAACGGAGAGAGCGAGGGAGACAGCGTAGGGCAGGATGGGAAAGGGATGTAGTGCCGTGGGAGGAGAAGTAGAAGATGCCGGGCCGGTGAGGAGGCGCACGACTTCGATTGCGCAGAGGCGTTGGCGGATGCTGGAGCCGATTCCTCGGGGCACGGCGCGGAAGCCGCGCGTGCGGTGCGAGAGGATGCCGACGCTGAGGTAGAAGAGGTGGATGGTGGCGAGGATGGAGGCGCTGAGGCCCCAGCCGCCGACTTCGTCGATTATCTCTTCCAGGCCTGGGTAGTCGCCTTCCCAGCCTGTGGCGTCTGTGTCGCTTGTTGGACGGTAGAAGTCGATGACTTTGTTGAGGAGTTGCGCCACGCGTAGCCACGCTTCGAATGCAGGGAATCCGCTCGAGCCTGGTGGGAAGTCTTCGATGGCAATGTCGCGGTCGCCCATGATGACTGGACGACTATTGGTCACGGCATTAGTGCGATCCATAGCCCATAGACACCAGAAGAGGCGTTTCATCTCCGCTTCTTTGCCCACAGAGCCGGTGATGGCAAGGTGCAGGCCGAGGGTCTGCGCGTGATGCATGGCTTGGGCAATATGCATCGACGCTTCTTCTTGGCCATCCGGGCCTTGCGTGTGCAGAGAGGTGAGAGCGAGAATGCGGATGAGGGTGATTTTGTTGGTTGGCGGTGTACTTTTGAGGGCTTTAGTGATGGTGTGGTGAAGCGTGTTGCTGAAGCGGCGCGCGGATACGGTGGTGCTGGTTGAAGAGGAGTTGGCGGAGTCCGTGAGTTTGAGGTGCGGCACGGCGCTGGTGTCTTTGGCTGCGACGAGACACATGGCGTTGATGAGGATCTCAGGAGCAGTGTTGTTTTTCCACTCGCGCCGAAAGTCCTGCTCGGAGAGCAAAGGCAGGATAGGATGGATTTTAGTAAAGTAGATCTCGATCAAAGGCGGGATGACGGTGGGATGCGGCTTTTGCGTGCGTTGCGACACGGCTTCTGCAGGAGAAGTGAGGGCCTCCCATTCTTTGCGGTCAATCCAAAGGCCAATATCATCGTTGGGTTGTCGGCGGCGGAGATCTGCATTCGGCACAGGACGGTCGAGGAGCGTGGACTCGGGCGCGAGGTCACTGACAAAACGTGCTCGACCGCTCCCTGATGCAGATTGCGTGTGATTCAAAGGCTCATCAGTACTCGACGGCGCTTTCGTGATGTCGTCCGGAGCCGAGGCGACTGAAAAGCGAGAGGATCTCCTTCGCCAGCTGGTCGAGGAGTGCCTGCGGTCCCCGTTTCGAGACTCGTCCTGCTCAATCTGTGTGGTCTCAGGCTCCGAGTCGTCCGAGCCCATCGCGTCCGTCGTGTGTATACATCGTTTCTGCGCGTCACAATTAGCATACATCTCTTCTGTTTAACAGGCGCAGGCGTCCATGTACCTTCCGTTGTCGGCAAAAAGAGCACGCCTGCGCCAGACGTCTGCGCTTCGGCGCATCGCCAGCATATTGGTTGACGAATGTCAACTCCATGTCTCATTCGATGTTAAGTGGTGCATTGACAGCCCACGACAGGGGTCGCGTGTCTAGGCGGCTCAGAAATGCATTGATTGTGACGAGTTGGTAAGGCGTGGAGTACCGTCGGACGGTTAGACTTTGAGGTTGCATGCGCGTGCCGGAAATCCGGCCGGCGAGTGGGAGGATTGGAACCCGCGAGGCAAGCACGACAGATCACCCAGGCGGTCAAGATAAAGGACAGTCTTTTCTTCCTTTACAACAAGCAATGGCCTCTGCCATCTCCTCTTCCTTTCAGAGAGCGACATCAACACCACCGACACCATGACAGCCGCACACAAAACACAAAACATCCTCATCTTCGGCGCCACGGGTTTAATCGGGCGACACATCACCAATGCCATCCTCGACAACGCCGCTTCCTTCGCCGGCCGCATCGCAATCTTCACCTCCTCCAACACCCTCTGGACGAAATCCGACGAGATCGACGCCCTCAAAGCCCGCGGAGTGGAGATTATAGGCGGCGACATCACGTCCGCCGACGCCGTCAACGAGGCCTACACCGGCTTCGACACCGTCGTCTCCTGCGTCGGGCGTCCCGTGATTCAAAACCAGCTGCTCCTCATTCAACTCGCTGAGAGACATCCGGATGTGAAACGCTTCTTCCCCTCCGAGTACGGCACGGATATCGACTACGATGCATCGTCCGCGAGCGAGAAGCCGCATCAGCAGAAACTCAAGGTCCGCGCTGCCCTTGCCCGCGTCTCCAAGCTGCAGTACACCTACGTCGTCACTGGGCCGTACGGCGACGGCGACAGCGTGCTCTACCTCGCCGCTTCAGGGCCGGAGAACGAAGCTCGAGGGACTTTTGATGTCAAGCGGAAGCGCGCTGTATTGCTGGGCGACGGCAATGGAAGGATAAGTCTGACGACGATGAGAGATGTGGGGAAGCTGGTCGTCGCGGCGCTCCAGCATCCAGAAGAAGCACGCAATCGTGCTTTACGAGTCAACTCGTTCACCGCGACGCCCAAGGAGATTTTGGCAGAGTTCGAGCGGCAGACGGGTGGCCAGCCGTGGAGTGTGGCGTTCACGAGTCTGGCGCAGCTGGAGGAGTTGGAGCGGGAGGCGTGGGCAAAGAGCGATCCTAAAGCTGGGGGGCTCACGCTTCGGAGAATCTGGACGTCGGGAAGGACGTTGTACGACGCTAGAGACAATGGTCTCATCGGGATGGAGGATGGGGTGGAGACGCTCGAAAGTGCCGTCCGACAGGCTATCAAAGTGCAGACGGAAGTAGAGGATGAAGAATAGACGCCAGCGCTCATGTCCAAGTCGTTCAATGCGATTCGTAGCGTCATGCTACTCCTCTTTTAGATTGAGGAGTAGGTGAATCAAACTGATTGAATTTGCCGTCGGTTTCCTCGCGTACACCGCCGAACCCTCCGCCAGTGTCCAGCGGGTCTTGACAGAAGATCGACAGCAACTTGTCCGCAACATCCCTGACGGCGTCTGTCAAGGGCTGCAACGCCTTGTCCGCGATTGAAGCTCGGAAAGCGAAGCAAGTGCCTTTGTACACCTGGTGGTATATGAGCTTGAACTCCTCGTCGTTCTTGCGAGTGGCTTCGCGTTCCTCAAACGTCGTGTCTACGGCAGGCGAAGAAGCTGTAGAGTCGCTTCGTGATCTCCGACCTTTGCTCTGCGAAAGCCCGTACAGACGCATGCCTGCCATGACAATGCGGGAAATGGCATCTTTGTTCTTGCTTTCGATGTCGGTGGTAGCATCGTGCAGATTGTTCACACTTTGTACACGCGAGAGTGTGGACTTCTTCGGTGCGGGCTGGGCAGCTGTTGCAGGTCTGGACGGTCCCAGGCTCGGAGACCGCGAGTGGGGCCTCGACTGCAGGGAAATGCTGCCAGAACGCCGATGCTGTAGAGTTGGAATCTGTGAATCGGTTGTTCGATTGGCGGCGGCGGCAGAGACACCTTCTCCTCCCTTTCGTCGAGCCTTCTTCCGCCGTTCATTGGCTTCGTCGAAGACGTCGTTAGCGCTTTTCCGCTTGCGAACTGGTGGTTGATGGACAGGTGCTTCGACGGGCGCGAACGCTGGAGGCAGGAACTTTGCCTCAATCTCAGTCTTCTCGGCAGTGGGCGATGCTGGCGGTGACGGACCATCCTCAGGAGGGCGGTAAAGTAGATCGGAGGAGAGCGGTAAAGCGAATAGTTTCAGTTCACTACCAGGCCGTGGCTTCCCTTCGTCGACAGCTGTAATGGAAGGGGAGGAGGGTGGCGGAGTGGGTGGACATTGTCGAGCCTCCACGTTAGACACATAGAAGAGAAGTTCCGTCACTCGAGGCGCCTTGGGCTGGCCATCATCATCAATTTGAGGCACAGCGACCAGAATCCCTGGTGGAGAGTCCGTTGATACCACTTCCCACCATGGACGGGTTGGATCATCGGGTTGTGTCCGTAGAAGTGCATCGCGGAACCAAGTTTGCGTCTCCTCGTGTGATGTATACACCCGGGACGGACTGCCTAATGCGATGTGCAAAGGAATGCGCTGGATGTCCACGACCGAGAGGAAGCGTAAGGATATATCGTGCTGAAGAAGGCCTCCAAGCCCCAGTTTCGCCTTGGGAGCGCCGATAGTAATGCCTGAGTCGGGTGTCAGTAGCGCAGTAGTGGAGAGGTGAGCAACACATACCATCGATCTTCGCTCCGTCGTCTAGTATTATTCTGCAGTCCGACTCCATGATGACATGGAATTGGGTTCCAATCGTCGTTCCTCGTACGCGGTTGGAAGACGCGCTGAGTTGGTCCGTGCGTCGCGGTCGTGACTAAGCCTTTCTCATCTTCCGCCGCTCAACTTGCTGCCTCACCTACTGCTCTGATTCAGTATTGGATCAAGACTCTGTCGCAAAATCTTGTACTTCGTTGCAAGCGCAGGCACCAAGGTCGGGTCGCAAGATCGTTCCATCCGCCTGGGTCGGCACATGTGACATCGCGCCGTCAATCCGGACATAAACCACCCAAGACAGCCAGAACACCACCACTCATCCGTGATTACTACTGGGCCTTTCAGGCATTGACATTTTCGCCGGCATGCGATTGCGCTTTGAATAAAATCCACGATGGAGGCGAATGGCCGATCCCCTTCTGGCCAGCTGGTGCCGATTGCTTCGGCATCTCCCAGCAATCCGTCCGGAAGTGCAGCTGGCAGTTGGACGTCCAACAAGACCCCGTCGACGATGCCTTACACTTGCCAGAACTGCGCAAAACGGAAGATCAAATGCGACAAGATTGCGCCGATATGCTCCAGCTGCCGCAAGGGCAGGCTCGACTGCTTCTACCAGGCTCCTCCGCCGCGAAGACGAAAGCGCAAGCTTAGCGACGACATTAACGAAAAGGTCGCGCGTTACGAGCGCATCCTCTCAGAAAATGGACTGCTGCCGGACGATGGCGATGCTTCACCTGGACGGCGAGAGCCGGAGCGAACGACTTCCATCATGCAAGGGACCGATTTCAAAACGCCTGGCACACTCCTCTCCAAACAGGGCAAATCGCGGTACTACGACAGCAACTTCTGGCGACATATAAGGCCAGACGACATCGAGCCTGACTCCGATGAAGAAGATGAAGAAAACGAGCGGGGATTTGACGCCCAGGGAGGCGATTACTTCTCCGACCCCCTCACCGCCGCCTTCTTGGGCAGTCAGCAGCAAAACCTGCGACCATACCATCCAACATACCAAGAAGCTATGACTATGTGGAAAGCATACGTCGATAACGTGGAGCCGCTGCAGAAGATCCTGCACGTTCCGTCCACCCTCGAGCGGCTGCAAGTCATCGCACAGCAACCCGACATTGCCACAAAGGCTGACGAATCTTTGATGTTTGCCATCTACCACTTTGCCATCATCTCCCTGCCGGAAGACGACTGTGAACGGACATTTGGCCAGTCAAAAGATGCGTTGACGCAACGATACCGTGTTGCATGTCGACAGGCACTTGTGAATGCGTCCTTCTTGAAGACAAGCGAGTTGCCTGTACTTCAAGCCTTCACCCTGTACCTGATTGCGTGCAAACGCTACTATGACCCTCACACCCTGTTCGTACTGACTGGAGCGATGATGCGGATAGCGCAGCGCATGGGCATCCACCGAGATGGCAAAGGGCTCGGCTTGCCACCCTTCGAAGCGGAGATACGGCGGCGCACGTTCTATGTATGCGTGCCGTTGGAAGGCACCGCCAGTCAGATGGCGGGAAGTGAGATGGCTATTCTACCGGACAGTGCGGATGTCGACAAGCCCATGAATATCAACGACGATCAGCTGTGGCCGGGAATGACGGAGCTACCTAAGGAGCAAAGCGGTGCAACCGACATGATTGTAAGTCTTTCTTCTGCCTCCAACCTTGAGGCCTGACTTGCTGATGGCGAAGCAGTATTGTTTGACTCGAGCCACACTCGGAAGAGCGTACGTAGGACTGAGCACCGCGGCTTCGTTGCAGACCGTCGCTGCACACATCGACGCCGTGGAGCGCGAGGTGGAGGAAAAGTACATTCGCTACTGCGACATCCTCAACCCTCTCCACTTCCTCACGGTCAGCTTCGCGAGGGCTGCCATCTGCGCCATGCGCATGCGATCCCAGCTGTCCCAATTGAAGGGCTCGATCATCCCCACCGAGACGATCCAAGAATTAATACCCCTCGCCCTTCGCATCCTCGACACCGATGCAGCAGCTCACGAGACTGTGAACCTCAAAAACTTCTTCTGGCACATTGGCTCCTTCTTCGTATGGGGAAGCTTTGACTCCATCGTGTTCATCCTAACCACCCTCCGCCGCCCCGACGTCCTTTCCCGCAAGCAGATCGACGACGCATGGGACCGAATGATCCGCGCGTACAAGCATCACGACGAGCTCCTCGAGACCAAACGAGCAGTGCAGGTTGCCATTGGCCGTCTCACGCTCCGGGCGTGGAAGAGCAACCCGCCAACCAATAATTTGCCCGAGCCGGCCTTCATCGCGGCGCTGCGAACGGTGCGCAAAGTGAATCCTGATGCGCCCGTGATGGACCGGAGCAGTAGTGGTACATTGTCGTCGTTGGGCCCCTCGCCTTCGAGCGATGCGAATGCCTTGTTTGGCACGTTTTCAGACGGCACGAATCTCAATCTCGACACGGATTTCAATCTAGATACCGCGGATTGGATGTTTTGGGAGCAGGTGATTAAAGACTATCAGATGCAAGGTGGAGGGCAGCAGTGAGGTCTCGCTGGCGATGGATGTACGGCACTCTCAGGCTCCCGATCGCCAGCCTGACGTTGCGTGTAGTATAGTTTTGAAAGTCTCTCGACTCTTCGCAGGACTCGCATGTAGCATAGACCATGCGCAGGCAACAAGATAATACAGAATTAGTTCACACGCTCATGCGCGTCGTCATCGAAGCGTTGCCGATCAGCAATGTGTAGCGTGGTGCTACTGTATGGCTACCCGTTCAACCGTCAGCCGTCATCGTCCTCATCGCGAATAGAAGCCGGAAATAGAACGAGGTAGCCCTGCCCCGCTTTCCCAATGGTCGCTGGTGGGGTTAGCGCGCGCGCGCCATCCTCACCTCGCCAGGCAACCACATTCAAGCCCGACCTCCGACGCGAGAACATGGTCTCTAAAATCAACCTTATATCAAGCTGGGATTCCCTGATCTTACAAAGCTGATCGGAACTCAACTCCAAATTGTCCCTCCAAGCCTATTGCGACTTTACCCTCCGTCGCTACAATGGACCGCTATTCCGCAGACTCCAAGGCTGGGACCATGCTTAGCAGCACCCTGTCGCGAGGCTTCAGCAATGCTACGCTGCCCTCGGTCTCGGAGACGTCTACGCTTTATGCACCTCCTCCCCAATACTCCAGCAGTAGCAGTACGCGGTACTCGGAAACATACAAGGCGCCTGAGCAGCAGGCAGGATTGGAACCGGCCCGAGAAGCGCAACCAGGATTGGAACACGCTTCACAATCACAACCGGAGCCATCACAATTCCAACCACCACGACCCCAACAGCGAGAATCAAGCTTCCCCGAAGACCTCCCCGCGCGCCCGTACAAGGGCCAATCGCAAAGCTCCCGCGCCCAGCTGCGCAGCTGCTACATCTGCTCCTTCTGGCCCTCCTACAGCCCCCGGCACAACCCCGACAAGAAGACGCGCTGGCGACAAGTCGTCATGATTCTCCTCCTCATCATGGCAACGGCATTCGCGCTCTTCGATACCATGATCCTCGTCTTCAACACGGAAAACCAGGGCTACTTCGCCGCCGCCTTTGTCGTGCTCGATGTGCTTCTTCTCTGGCCGCTCGCCTGGAGCTTGGCGTTGATTGGAGATGCGGTGGGGCCTAGGAAGCTCTTTAGGTTCACGGTGGTGAGTTGCGATTGTCCCTATTCCCTTGCTTGTCGTGTTTTGAAACGGGACGGCTGACTGGCATGTGGCACGCAGGGAAGGAAGTTTTTCGATGCCGTCCTTTTCACTGCCGTCGCGCTTTACGTCCTCTTCTTTATTCTGGTGTGGGTGGCCATTTTCCTTTGGGGCTTTCAAATCGGGTGGTTGGTGATTACGCTTTTGATCATTGCCATGGGGTTCGTTGCGAAAGCGCCGAAGCATTCTCCTGGGGATGTGTGAGGCGTGGACTGGGACGACCGGCAATCACTGATGAGTCTGAGGAAATATTGCTGCTAGTTGTTGCCAATTCATTGTTGAACGACCAAATCAGTGTATCGTCATCGCTGTCGAGATAGCCGCCCGGTATCGTATGTACGTCCGCCCAGATCACGCATCTAGTCGTAATGTAAGAACCAAAAGACACACGTACGCCATTACGCTCAACGCCGTCAAGATGATGACTACATTGCCACTCGTTCGGAATCTGCGTGGTCGTAAACAACTGTCTGAACAACGCTCAAGGGAAGACGTACCGTTTTCTGCTTAGACCATCATCGCCAACTTCACTAAAAAACTGTCGATTCCCCTGCATGCGCCGAAACGCACTGACTCCCAATACCCCCGCGCCGTACACGGCAAACAAAGCGCCTAAATACATCCACTCGTTAGCACGAAGGCATGCCGGCGTGGATGAGTGAATGCCTGCACCCACCAATACTGTAAAATTCACTCGTGAAAATCTTCAGCACAATCAGCGCGAAGCTGAACTGGCTGAGACTGGTGCGGATGTAGGCGCCTTCGAAGGTGCGCTGCGCCGCGCGGATTTCGACGAGTTCGGATGGGCTGAGGATGACGGAGCGGGCGCGGTGGAGGCGTAGACGGTAGCGCGAGGCGGCGCGATGGGTCTGAGAGGTCGTTAGTGAGATGGCAGTGGTGGAGGACGTGGATGGGGTGAGCCTCTACCTCGAACATCGTCTAGGTCATCGTTGGCGCATGGCGCGTGCAATATATAGTGGTGAGGAAGGGGTGCGTTAGGTGTGGAAGAGGTATATCGTGAGCAGAATGTTTGGTTGCAGAGCTTGGCAAGGGAGCTCAAGCAGCTCTCGCCTGGGTTCGATGACCAATTTGCTTGACGGTATTCGTTGCTGGTACAATGAGATTCAAACGGTGGTGACACAAAGCGAGGTGAGGTCGTGAAGGGCGGGCCGGCGCGGTGCGGGGACCCCATCCGGCCGGCGGAGCGTCGAACCCTGGCGTCGTGAGTGCAGACCCCCTCCCCTGCATTCACTCTTTACACGACACCTTACTCCCTCTCTTTCCAGTCTCGACCCATCGACAAAATCACACCGTTTCTAGCTCATCTGTGCACCCGACTGTCCTCGGGATCGCCTTGAGGCTAGCTACCCTCCCTGGCGCACAGAAGGCCCTTGATCTCTCTCCTCTTCTCTCGACTCGGCGCGCTCTCTCTCAACACAACCGGGCATGTTTCACCAGCGACCACAATAACCGCCATGGCTGCCTCAAATGGGCTTTCCGCGCCCAGCGCCAAAACTTCCACCGCCACAAACCCTCTTCATTCTCTCACACAACCCGCAAGCGCAGGAGTCAAACGCAAACGCTCCCCCAAGCTAAACCTCAAATTCTACGCCGTCCGTGTTGGCAAAGCACCCGGCATCTACCACTCCTGGGCCGACTGCCTCGATCAAGTGCGCGGATACCCCAACGCCTCCTTCAAGTCCTTCGCCTCTCTCACCGATGCGGAGGCCTTCCTGAGCAACGGATCTGCCGCTCGGAATGGTAGTCAATCCGGCAACAACGGCAAGTTCTACGCGGTACGAGAAGGCAGGGTACCGGGAGTGTATGGAAGCTGGGCGGAGGTGTTGGAGCAAATTACGGGATGGAGGGCGCCAAAGCATAAAGTCTTCGACAGCAGGGCAGAGGCGGAGTTATTTGTCAAAGAAGGGAGGAATGCGGCCCAACAACCCCTTCCCATGGTGATGAATGGAGATACCGGGCGTTCAGACTCGCCGGATGGACCCAAGTCGAAAAAGGCAAAGACAGTAAGGAAAACCGGCGTAGAAGAGGTCTTGATCGACGGAGGAAACGAGTACGAACCCGGCACCGCGCCCCTGGCCGACGACGTCGAAGACGACTTTGAATCAGGCATCACTCTCGATCGCATCACGGGCACCGCACGCTACAAAACCGCCGCCGAGCTATCCAAAACAAGATACCAAGCCGTCGGCCCTGCTCCCAACGCCCCCATCCGCATCTACACCGACGGCTCCACGCTCTCCAACGGCCGCGTGGACTCCATCGGCGGCGTAGGCGTCTACTTCGGCCCCAAAGACCGGCGCAACATCAGCGAGCCGCTGAGCGGAAGCAAGCAGACGAACCAACGCGCCGAGCTGACCGCCATTCTGCGCGCGCTCGAAGTCGCCCCCCGCGATCGCCGCATCGTCATCCTCTCCGACTCCAACTACGCCATCAAGTGTGTGACGGAGTGGTATCAGAAATGGCGCGGCAACAATTGGGTGAATTCTGCTGGCAGGCCTGTGGAGAATCGTGACTTGACCCAGAAGGTGCTGGATATGCTCGACGAGCGTATGCGGTTGAATAAGCATCGGATGGCGAAGGAGGATTGGGACGGGGTTGGGAGTGGGCTTGGTGGAAAGGGGCCGTGGGAACGAGGTCCGGCGGGGGTGCAATTTACGTGGGTGAAGGGACATGCGAAGGATGAGGGGAATGAGGCTGCGGATGAGTTGGCTACTAGTGGGGCTAGGACTGCCCGAGAACTGGCGGAGGAGGTGGTGCTTGATTAAAGGAAGTTCTATTGGTTATGCCGACCATGATACTTTGATAGCGCGGCGTTGGCGAGCCGGCCGGGGCGCAGGCGATGACACCCGTCTACTATGGGATCTTCTAGGTCGTTAACTATCACGTCGATATCAAAATTCGCCAGACTCTGGCCATCATAGCAGTTTCAAGGTCCTTCCGATACATGCCGTTCCGCCGAACCTGGGACAAGAAAGGGAACCGTCAGCAAAAGAGTATACCTCAAGGGCCTGCTCGGTGAGGGTGGACTTACAGGGCAGTAACTCCAGCGAAGATGATGATCCCCGCATACTCCGATCCATACGCAAACTCCGAACCATGCGAATGCGTGGCCTGCAGCAACTTCTCACTAATCGGACCGGACATCAGCGACGCAATGCCCTTCCCAGTACATAGCAGGGAAATGATCAATCCCGTGTCGAAATTTGTCGAAGGGTTGCGCATAGCTTTCGCGCACCCGCTCCAATTTGCCGCGTACCCGCCGCCAGACACGCCCCAGACGACGGCGAAGACGTACATCATCGCTTGCGTGGACGTGAGGCCCCAGAAGAGAAAGAAAGCAAGTGACGACCCAACCGTCGCGACGAAAATGGCGACGGTAACGTGGAAGCGGTCGACGAGCATTCCTTGCAGAAGGTACCCTGCGCAAGCGCCGATGTTGAGCAGGCACAGGGCCAGCGGGCCGGAGAAGGCGGGGAAGCCTTGGGAGATGGCGAAGGTGGGGAGCCACAGGAGGGGCTGGAAGTAGGAAAGGCCGTTGAGCATGTTGCCTAGTTCGAAGAGCCAGAAGGGGGCGGTGCGCATGAAGGAGAGGTCGAGGGGGCGGAGGCGGCTTGTTGGTGTGATTGGGAGGCGGTTTTTCATCACCCAGGCTGCTGGTGTTGCTGTGAGGACCTGTGGCAGGGGGTCAGTGGATGACTATGGGTGGTGGATGGAAGTGTGTGATTGCCACGTGCCAGAATGACTGCCCAGACTCGCAGCGCGGTGCGGAATCCATATGACGACAACAACCAATGGAGCAGGAAGGGAAACACGGCGCCCGAGACTCCTGTACCCGTCCAGACGACTCCATACGCAATGCCCTTTCGCGCAATGAACCACTCATCAATGACGTACATCGCAGGAAAGTAAAGAGTCAGCCCGCCCACGGCATACAACACTCCTTGAGTCGCCAACAACGTCGCAGTGTTCTGGGCAAATGAAGCCGCAACGAGCGCGGCTGCCGTCACGCCAATCCCCACAAAGCTCGCAGGCCGTCGCAAACGCGGGAAACGTTGGACGAAGAGCGCCACGAGCGGAGAGGAGATGTACATGAGGCCCGAAGCCGTAGTGGAGATGGCGGCAATGCCAGCGGGGTCGGAGGCGAAGGGTTCATGTTGGCGGTAGTAGGCTTGGAAGACACCGAAGGAGTTGGGCAAGCCCCAGACTAGGGCTTCGAGCACGAAGCAGCCGAAGAGGACGAGCCAGGCGTCTTTGCCGCCGTCGGCGCGGGGGAGCGGTGCTTGATGCGTGTCTGGTTCTTGGGTGTCGGCATTTTGGGGGAGACTGGTCAGTTCGTGCGTGTCCTCTTCGCATCGCGAGAGCGTTGTGGTGGACATGATGTTGCACTGTGAGTTGGAGTGATGGAGTACGACGACTGAACACACTTTCCTCCCTTGCGGTCGATATGAAGGACGACGAATTTCGAGTCATCAATACCGTAGGGCGTGCATGTCGTCGGAGTTGGAGGCGTGCTTGGCGACTCCGTCCATCGCCAACTCCGTATCAATTGGTATTCAGTCCACAGACAGTGTCCGCCAGTGGTTCAGGACACAGATGTAAAGCGAACTACCGTCGACGAGGCTGTTGTGTTGTCCCATCTCCCGAGACCTTTCATCACATGCCGTCTCTCCCCCGCACCGCCACATCGGACCCCGGCACCGCCACATTTCCGCCCCGTAAAGCCATTCGAGCTTAATTCCACGCCGCCCTTCATCATTTGCACGCGCAGGGACGACGTCGAGGGTGTACCTTACCACTATTCGGGTCATCTGCGTTTGGGTGAATGTTCTTCCCTAGTATGCTGGTGGGGTTTGTCTTAAGGGATGCGACGCTTGCTTCCCCGATCGCTTTGCCGCGCAGTCGATGCTACAGCTGCGGAGACTTGCCTCTCTCCGATGGAATCGCGAACTCGCACGGCTCAGTAAAGCATCTGAATCTCGACACTCTCCCAAACGACCGGAGGCGGGACGATACCTTATTGCGGCGCCTGATCCGGGGGCCTCGGATTGCTTGCTGTACAGTAATCGATGTACCGTTTCCCTTCTGCACTCTGGCCCGCGGCAACCGACATCCCGGGTCGATGATCATCAAACGTCGATGCACACGACACGCGGTGGCAATCATTGTGCAACTTCCGTGCAGCCTTTCGCACCGTCGGCAGTGTTCGTCGCTGTGAACAAAGTGTCCGATGAGCCGGCGGCATGAATGAAGTCAAATCGGCCAATTAACATGCCCGCTGAATTGCGTGATCTGGCGTCATCAGCTCACCACGCAACATCGCCTTCGCCTACGCACCGCACAGTGGACCCCCAAGACATTCGCTGCGCTGCAACACGTCGCTGATGCATGACAGTGGCGCCTCTCTCGCGGTATCTCACGGCTGTTGCGGCAACATACTTTGCACACGATGTGGAAACTCCGCCATGGCGTGCGAGCCTGGCGGCGCGGCTGCCATGGGCGTTCAATCAACGCCTGCACACCTGCATCCACGACGCCTCGCGTGCGTCTAATCCGCCAAACCCTTGTTCGCCGCAGTGCCGCAGTAGACATTAGCTCCGCGCCGCTACATCATCGTGGTTTGCACGTGTGTTAGTAACAGGGATCGACATCAACGACTTCTTTGCCTTCCACTCTTCTGTCTTTCCTTTCCCTCTCCCCTTTCATTAGACTAGTCTTTGCTGTCAAGATCCTCTTTTATCATGTCGTCACACGACAGCGTCTCGGATGAGTTGGTGGACGAGGTGAAGGTTGATCCTGAAAAGGTCGGCTACAAAGATCATCCCCATCACCAACACCGCCATGAGCACTTCCACAGTGCCTCTGTTGAGGCCGAAAAGGTGCTCGGACAAGGTGGAGGCGACGCCGTCTACTTCGAATCCGGCGGTTTATTCAAACGGGCCGGCCGCGGACCAACATTCGACAATGAGAATATGTCGTCGAGATACGTCAAGCCCATTGAGACCTTCGAAGGCCTGCACCGCTGGGACCCGGACTTCGAGTGGGAGCCCAAAGAAGAGCAACGTCTGGTTCGAAAGATCAATTGGCGCATCTGTCTCTGGGTCTGCATCGCCTTCTTCTCCCTGCAATTGGACCGCGGCAACATCTCGCAAGCGCTGAGCGACAATCTGTTGAAGGACTTGGGCCTTTCCACCAACCAATACAACACTGGCCAGTCGATTTTCTACGTATGCTTTTTGTTTGCTGAGCTGCCTTCTCAGTTGATCTCCAAGAAAGTTGGTATGTGGTTGACATTGCCACTTGGCGCCGAGCGAGAGGCTGATTGATCTAGGCCCGGACAATTGGATTCCCATACAGATGGTTTCTTGGTCCCTCGTGGCCAGCTGTCAAGCATTCATGCAGAACGCCGGCGGATTCTACGCCTGCCGAGCATTCCTTGGTCTTATCGAAGGTATGAATGCTTGTTCCGCCAATGAGTTAGTGTTGGCAGTCTTCGGAGGCACATTTGCTGATCGGACGGCATCGTCGGTATAGGCGGTTTCATCCCCGACAACATTCTCTACTTGAGTTATTGGTACACCGGCGCCGAGCTGCCCATCCGTCTCGCGTTTTTCTGGGTATCCTACCAAGCCACTTCCATCGTCTCCGCTTTCCTCGCCTACGGCATCCTCCATCTCCGGGGATACGACGGCCTGGAAGGCTGGCGATGGCTTTTCGCGCTCGAGGGCACACTCACCGGCGTCATTGGCATCATCACCTACTTCTACCTGCCGCCATCGCCTTACCAGACAGCATCGCGCTTCCGAGGGAAGAATGGCTGGTTTTCAGAGCGCGAAGAGAAGATCATGGCGAATCGTATCCTGCGGGATGATCCGAGCAAGGGAACTATGCACAACCGTCAAGGCTTGTCGCTGAAGATGCTCTGGGAGTGTCTCAAGGACTACCACATGTGGCCCATCTACCTCCTCGGCTTGTCTTGGCTACTTCCCACGGTCCCCATGCAGCAGTAAGTACCGCCATCGATTCAAGGCACGCTTTAGATGCCATACTAACAAGGCGAACAGGTACATCACGCTCAACCTGCGAGCCGTGGGCTTTGGAACCTTCGAGACCAACTTGCTCACTATACCGGCCTACGTGATTTTCATCATCGGGCTTATCGTCTTCTGCTTTGCAACGGAGTACTTCAACGAGCGCTTCTTGATCTCTTCTTTGAGTCAAGTGTGGAGCTTGCCTTTGCTTATCGCTCTCGAAACGCTTCCGCCCAGTCGTTCGCCGTGGTAAGTCTTGATGCGCGACAGACGGGACGGCCGCTCGAATGCTAATTGGAACTCTGCGCAGGGTTACTTGGATCCTGACTGTGCTCGTCTTTGCCCAACCTTACGTCCATCCGGTCATTGTGGCCATCACGAGTCGAAACGCCGGCAGCGTGCGAACACGGACCGTCGCCTCTGCTCTGTATAACATGTAAGCGAAGTTTTGAGACACGACTCAGGAGACAGAAAGTGCTGATATTACGGACTTCTTCAGGATGGTGCAAGCGTCGAACATCTACGGCGCGCAGGTGAGTCTACTCCATGATACGCCATCTGTGACACTCGCGCTGACAAGAATGTCCCCCAGATCTACCGCACGGACGATGCTCCGTTGTACTACACCGGCAACAAAGTCTTGATTGGCATTTGCTGCTACAACTTCTGCTTGTTCATCTTCACCAAATGGTTCTACATTCATGTGAATCGGTAAGCGAATATTCTACCTAGAGTCGTTTGGAAATGTCCATCCATTGCTAACATGCGACCGTAGCAAACGGGAGCGCAAGTGGGGTGCTATGAGTGTGGAGGAGAAGCAGCACTACCTCGACACCACCACGGATCAGGGCAACAAGCGGCTCGATTTCCGCTTTTCTCACTGATTTGCTCCGATGAGTGAGAAGTAGAAGACCTGGCCTTGTTTGACACCATGGGCGGCGCCATTGAGGGATAGAAAGCATTACACTGGCGAATAGAGATGGGCACAAGAGATAGAAAGTCTGTACATCTTGCTGCGCAGCGATGATCGGTGTGACTCCACGCAAATGCAGACTTTGAAGCGAATTGAATCGTTTCCTAATTAGATACTGTAGAACGATGATGCAGGTCCTGCACGTTAATCGCATGGAAGCCGCGTGCTCATCATGCCCGACGTGCTTCTTGGATTCGATGTCGCCATGCGCAGCTCTACGACGACTCCACTTTTCACTCCCGAGGGGGCAAGTACAGACGGCACTTTATCAAGTACCCGAGTATTCCTCACTCATCACACATCTATTCCTTGCAAACCAGCAACGATTCGTTCGATCCGCGACGATGGCCGCGAGTGTGAACGGCCATGCTAATGGCTTGTTCTACCCGTACCCTACGACTCTGGAGCTCGAGGACAAACCAATTGATGAGATTCGGCAACTCAAAGTCGCTGTCATTGGAGCTGGGTTGTCGGGTATCACGGCTGGGATTCTTTTGCCTGCAAAAGTGCCCGGGATTCAGGTTACGATTCTTGAGAAGAATGCGGATGTCGTATGATTTAGGAGCACGTGGATGCAGTGTGGTATGTTTGCTAACGTGGTTTCAGGGTGGCACCTGGTTTGAGAACATCTACCCTGGAGTGAGGTATGTCTTCGGACTACTGTTCAGCCTCTTGGCTCGAGTGTTATGAACTGATCCTGTTCCACAGATGCGACGTTGCGGCGCACACTTACCAATCAACCTTCTCTCCAAACACGCAGTGGAGTGAGGAGTACGCGCAAGGGCCCGAGATTCTAAAGTACTGGCAAGACGTCGCCCGCAAGTACGATGTCTACTCAAAGATCCGATTCAATACGAAAGTAATGGGTGCGTATTGGGAGCCTGACGAAGCGAAGTGGCGGATAGACACCATCACGAGCGACTCGAACGAAAAGTCGAGTGCGAAGTTCGATTTCCTCGTCACCTGCCATGGATTATTCAATGCGTGGAAACTTCCCGATTATCCTGGCATCGAGCTGTACAAGGGCAAACTCATGCACTCATCGAATTGGGATCCGTCTTTCGACCCGAAAGGTAAACGTATTGCGACGATCGGAAACGGCGCGTCTGGCCTTCAAGTGACGCCCGAGGTCCGTAAGGTCGCTGCCCATGTCGACCACTACGCTCGAAGCCGTACCTGGATTGCGGGTAATTTTGGCGCAGGCCCACCTCGCCAGGACAAGCCCATCACTTTCTCCAAGGAGCAACTGGAGGAGTTCAAAGATCCGGAGAGCTATCTCAAGTTTCGAAAAGAGCGGGAAGAAGGATTCTGGCGAAACTACGATGCACAACTGGCCGACACCGAAGCCAGTCAGAAGATGAGAGGAAACTTCATTGAGCTGATGAAGAATCGACTCGAACATCCCGAGCTACTAGACGATCTAATACCCGACTTTCCGCCGCTCTGTAGACGGCTCACTCCGGGACCGGGTTATCTTGAAGCATTGTCCAAGCCGAATCTGACATTTATCCAAACTCCGATAGAGCGATTTACTGAGGACGGCATTGTCACGATGGATGGCGTCCATCGACCTGTGGAGGCGATCATCTGTTCTACGGGTGCCAATACAGACTTCGCTCCGGCATACCCCATTGTCTCTGGCTCTTACGATCTCTCCCGAGACTGGAAGCCGGGCGAACACAGCGCATATGGCTTCCCCTACACATATATCGGCATGACGACACCGCACTTTCCCAACCTGGCATTCGCACTGGGTCCAAATCAGTCCGGCAATACTGGAACACTAGTCTCGACGGTGGAGATGGTCCTGACCTACGTGGCGAAGATACTGCGCAAGATCTCCTCGCAGGGCATCAAGACCATAACTCCCTCTCAAAAAGCAGCAGACGAGTTCCTCGAGTATTGCGACACTTATTTCCCTCGAATGAACCTTAGCCGGAATTGCAGCTCTTGGTCCAACGGCGGCGTAGCTGGCGCACGTATCCATGGACACTGGCCGGGTAGCGCTGCACACGTCAGACTCGTCAGGGCCGAGCCTCGCTGGGAGGACTTCGAGTATACGTATTACCGACCGGAAAATCGCTTCGCATATTTTGGCAATGGCAAGACGAAGAAGGAATACTTGCCGGAGGCGGACATGACGAAGTACCTCCGGCTGCCCGAGCAAGACTTACGAGACCTACACGAGAGATGGTATGAGTACTAGAGACTTTGCTAGAGAGCTGACAGATCCCAATGTCACAGTTCCTTTGTTTATCCCAAGTCTTTGTGGGTGCTGTTCACCTTTCTTTGCTGTGAATTCGCATTGTCTTCTTCCATTCACACAATGGCCATTGTGAAGGTTTCATTGTGTTGCTAGGCACCTTCACCAGGGCCAGTTCAATCTATTCTTGGAGCGGTGAATGGTATTAATGTTGGCCACTTGCGATCATCCTCTGCTCTTCCCTCCCCACCTGGTCCTCACAGTCGGTTGGCAGACCGTCCCATCATCTCTTCAACTTGCAACAAGGCATACCGTCTTGAAGCTTGTTGAAGCGATTGGAACGCCTCCTGTCCACCGCACTCGACCAAGTCAAACCCCCCTTTCCCCTTTCCCCAAACACCTCAAACCCCTAGCATCAACTGAAAAATCATTCCATCATGGCCAGCGGCTACGGTCGTCGTCGCTCATCAGTCGGTGCCGATCCGCCAGATTATCATGCACGAGGCTACGCTAACGTGCTCCAGCGGCAAGGCTCGCACCACTCCCAAGGCGTGAGCCACCATGTCGCCCAACGCGAAGTGTCTGATCACCTCGACTTGCAGACTCCAGACTTTCGCCTTCGAGTGTGGCATCGTGAGCGGCAGCAGGCTGCGCGTCGTCAAGGTTCGCTTCAACAAGAGTCGCAGCATGAGCCTTCGCAGCGTCAAGCCTCGCATCATGAGCCGTCGCAACACCAATCTTCGCGTCGCGCCTCCCATACCGGTCACATTCATCTTCCATCAAATGCCCGCATCGTTGCTATCGGATCTCTTCCATCAAATGCTCGAATTGTTACTCTCGGATCACTCGCTGCTGGCGACTACGAGCCCTCACAAGTCTCTCGTCGCGCTTCGAGCGCCGGCAACAGCCATCATCCGTCAAACGCTCGCCTCATTGAAGCCGGACCACATCAACCCTCACACCACCAAGACTCACGTCGCGCCTCAAACGCCGGCCACAGTCAGCGTCAATCGAATGGCCTCAACGGTGTGGGATCATATGCCCCTGTCAACCACGAGCCGAACAACCAGCTCGCTCGCCGTGCGACAATCACCCCCAGGTTAGCAGGGCGTTGCCTCAGCTCGCTTTTTGCGCGTCCTTCGCACGAAGTCCGCGAGGTCAACGGGCGTTTGGTGCAGGTGCGTCCTTCCGCTGCAAAGAAAGAGGTGAGTCGTCGAGGATCAGCTGCGGCTGGCCCGTCGCAGTACCAGCCTGATCGTGAAGAAACGTACGCTGCCTCTGGCTACCCGCGCTCCAATGCACAGGTTGAACGTCGTTCTTCCAACGCTAGCTCGTATCAACCAAACTCCAAGGCAGCGGTTGTTCGTCGTCCGTCTAACGCTGATGCAGGTCACGGCCTCTCCAAAGGGCTGCTTTCACGTCGCCAATCCAATGCCGGCACCCCCACACATCATGCACCTTCAACCGGTGACAACTCGGGTCTGCTCCAGCGCTTCCGTCGAGCTTCTATCAAAAGCACCGCTCAGGACAATCATTCGAACAAGCGGAGCCGTGAGGAGTACGAGAAACAGTACGGAGCTCCCGCGCCATCGCACAATCATCATGCAAAGCACGAATCGTCGAAGCGCCACAAAGCATCAGCTCCAGCTCCACCATCAGCGCCTCCAAAGCGGCAGCTACGACGCGTGAAGCCATTCACCTACAATGGCCGTCACAGCGACATCAGAGCCCAAAAGCCCAAAATCCCCAGCTTCGATCCAACAGAGGTCTACCCAGGGTACCAGCTCGTCCACAACCTCGAGCACGGCGGGATGAGCGACGCGGTCAAGATCGTGAAGAACCGAGCGGGCAAGGTGTTTGTCGAGAAGCGCATCAAGATGAAGAACGCAGGCACGGTGACGCGCGCGAAACTCGAGATCCGCGTGCTCACTCGCATCACCTCGTCCAACAACCCGAACCTCAACCGCTTGAAAGACGCCCTGTGGGGCCCGCAAGGTTCGCACGTCGCTATGCTCCTCGAGTACTGCGACAAAGGCAACGTCGCCGATTACGTTGCGAGAAAGTACCAAGACAGGGGCAATCGCATCCCGGAGTCCTTCCTCTGGCACGTCCTGCAAGGTATGGCCAACGGCCTCGCATACCTCCACGAAGGCATCGAGAATGCACTCATTAACCCCAAAGCCCCCCGCCCAACCGAGAAGTGGAACACCATTTACCATCTCGACATCAAGACCGAGAACATCTTCCTCTCCTCCAATCCCGCCGCCAACGGACCGTCCGCCAGCTATTACCCTCGCATCGTCATTGGCGATTTCGGGTGCTCCAGCACCGACGGCAAGGGATGGCAAGCGGGCACGCCGGCATGGGATCCCCCCGAAGGCACGGAGAAGTTCGGCAAGCACACCGATACGTGGATGGCGGGCGCGGTGATTCATGCGTGTGCGCTCGGCCTGGTCACGCCGGATCGCAAGATGTTGAAGAAGGACGGAGAGCACCCTGTCGGGTTTGGCTACTCTGACCGCTTGACGACCACGATTCGCGCGGTGACGTACGTGAATTACAAGACGAGGTGGAATGCGGTGCGGATTGTTGATGAGTCGACTCGGGCGCTGACGCACTGGGCTATGTGATGAGGAGAATGCAATGTTGAAGAGAAATGAAGATGGAAGAGAAGATGTACGAAGAAGATGTACGGCGTTATTGCGCTGGGGAATTGAGGAAGAGACTGCACATCGCAGCACATTCTTTGTATCTCGGCGAGCATGGGTCTTTGTTTTCGGCGCAAGGGATGGGCATCGCATCGCATCAACTGTATCGCTTAGCTTGAATAGATTGTGAATTCTTGATTTCTCTGCACACTTCGCGTTTCCCATTTCCTACAGTGATGTATGTCTATCGATGAGTGTTGATGAGTATGGTCCTCATGCTAAAGAGTCGAAGAGCGTACTTCGGCCCTATACTCTTCGATGAGAAGCAGAACCGCTCCTGGAGCATCAAGGACCATCTCAACGCGCCGTAACATGCTCTCGCAAGCGCCAGAGCGACAGCACCATCCCAGCTTCGTTCTTCAGCATCATCTGCTTGGGTAGCCTGAGAGCATTTGCAGATTGAAACATGACTTCATTCCTCTCTGATGACGAGTCCTCCTCAAGTCGGCTCATCCGTCATCTGCTCGTCCCCATTCTTCTCCCCCTCCTCACTTCCCTCCAAACTCGGATGCCGGGAGTCTCCGTCGTCTCCCTCCAACATGTAACCCTCTGTCCGCTCCACCAAACTCCGATAATAGTCCTCCAACACCTCCGGCCTCGGTACAATCTTCCATTGCACCTTTTCCAGAAAATCGAGTTCGAGTGTTGCCAACTCCGTCACTGGAATACCGCCAATCTTTGCGTACGTAGGATTAGTCCAGAAGGAGTCGCTTAAACCTTTGGCAGCCACGGTGGCAGCGGTGATGAGGAAGCGATGGACGGTGAGGGAGTTGATGGTGAAGATGGGGTAGACTTGACAGAGCTTATCAATGTAGTACACCATGCTCAGCAGGATGGGAGGGGAGAGGGTGGCGTGGTGGATGAGACGTTGTAAGTAGTCGCTCACGCTTATGCCCGGGGGAGCGCGAGAGTGGAAGCGAGTGAGACGACCGTCGCGCAACGGTATGCGATCGTTTAGCCGCAGTAATTCCATCAGCATGTTTGCTATCAGCTGGCCAAGCTCTTTCGCGTTGCAGTTCTGGTATAGGAGCGGCATGACCTTGGTATTGCCGGGCTCCGGCTTAGAGCGTTTGGGGTTGGAGGAGTGGCCATGGGTCGAGCGAGCTTCTTGGAGCTCTGTGGGAGCTGGACCTGTGGATGAAGATTGTAGTACGCCGCTTTGTGGGGCAGAAGGATCTCGTCGAACTTCCGGCTCACTTGGGGATGCTGGGCGACCCGATGAGGCAGTGGAGGAGGTGGCGGATGTGCTCATTGAGTGTGGAGGATCGACCTCCTTCCGCTTCTTGCTTGTCGACGGCGAATCGAGGGTAGTTGTCGAGTCCTGCAGGACTGTGACGCGCGATGCAGGATTCCCCTGGTGGCTGTAGGTAGGAGGATAGCCGTCAGGGCTGTACTGTGTGCCTGCATCCACGTATCGCGAACCCTTCTCCTCCGAAGACGACTCGACGTAACGCTCTCTTGGCGCCTTGGCACCGGCGAGGGAAGACGTGGTGGAGGACGAGAGGGCGGACCGCGCATTGAAGGCGCGTCGCGGAGAGGGGGAGCCTGCGGAGATTGGCCACCACGTTTTTGGCGAAGGGCCGGTCGAGGCCGGGGAAGGAGCGGAGTAGGAGGCGGAGGAGCGCTGGATGTGGAAGGATGAGCGCGGAGAGGTGGAAGGAGAGGAGGAGGAGGTCAGGGTGGACATGAAGAGTGTGGTCGATGGAAGAAGTCGTGGTGTTGCGTGTCGAGAAGTGTGACGCCCGAAGTTTCCTGCTTTATCGACCCGTGGTACATGATCCGCAGCGCGAGGAGAGGGGGAGGATGGGGTAGAGGCGATATACGCCGAAGCTTACGGGGAGCAAGAGAGTGTGGGGAGGGTGAGGCGTACGAGGAATGAACGTGTGGCGCTCAGGGAAGCAGAGGAAGTCGAGAGGAAGATGAGGCTGCAGCGGCGGTGGATTGACGACACGAAAGCAGCCCACGTGGAGGCGGCCTTCTTTCCGAGTCGCTTTCCGCCCGCGAGCCGATCCGTGACCCTCGTCGGATTATGTCAGCTTGGAGCTTGGCATCTGTTTAGGGTTGGGCACATGTTAGGGTTAAGTGCGTGAACGTCAGACAAGCAGTTCGCTCTTCCCCGGGTCATCGTTGCCCTTCACCACCACGCCCCTCCTCCATATGGACTGGACGATGCTGACGCATGCAAGTTTGACCGCCTTGACAGATCGTTCAGCCTTCTCCACGCCCCGTCTAGCCCTCATCGATTCATGAAACATGGTTCAAGGCCCGTCGCCCGAGCTCCTCGAATCCATCCGCCATCCTACCAGCCTCGATGCACATATTGCTAGTCTGAAGCAGCTGAAGAACGGGCTCATCGGCCATGACCAAAGGAAAGAGCTCGCCATCAAGAGGGGTGTGGCCGATATTCTCGTGCCCATTCTGACTGCCCCAACAAAAGCCGCTGGCAAGAAGAGGAGTACAAATGGTTCATTATCGGGCGGTCCGCTACAGACTGCTCCACCCGCTTGGACTGCCGAGTATGAGGTCCGACTGCAGGCTACAGTGATTCTGGGAATTCTGGCAAATGGCGGTTCACCATTCGTGCAACCTCTTCTTGCTGCGGGCGCTGGAAATGCTCTGGCACAGATCGTGGCAGAGGATGAACCCCCTCGCCTCGTGACGGCCACGTTGAAGGCGTTGCAACATCTCGCCCGCTCTGCTGCGCTCATAAACCGGCTTCCCTTCGAACCAACAGCGCTCGAGGAAGACCTATTGCCGTCTCTGCTCAAGAGCGCATTGCTCAACACTGCGTGCAAGGAGCAGCAGAAACTGGCGGCGGACATCATAGTTCACCTGGCGGATCAAGACGAAGTCAAAGACACGCTTGCCAAGCATCTCCTCGAGACTCTAGCGCGTCTGCTTGCAGCCAGTGCGATCGCTAATCGGCATGTCGATTACCACCGCCCGCTCTCGTCACACCTCTCCCCGGCCCCGCCAAACACCACCATCCCTTATATTTTAGCCGCTATCATCGGCATCACCACCGGGTCCATCTTCCGCATGCAGTCGTTCATCCACTCCAGCCCCATACGAGACCTTTTTCAAACAGCATGGGCCGAGTCCAATCCAGCCAACTCATCGCTACCGCAGCTGCATGTGCCCGTCTACAAAACCGTCTCCTTCTCTCCCGCCTTCCCCGTCTTGGGCAGCTTGCCGCAAGAGCACGAGCGAGACTCATCCTACGACGGTGCCCAAGCCGGCAGGGATGCGAGCTATGCGAATGCGGTGATTGGCTGGCTCATTGTGCTTGCCAGATCGCTCTCCGGTCGAAATCGGATCGCCGCCCTACTCTTATTGGCGCAGGTGAACCAAGCTATCGATGAAGAGTACAGCAGTACGAAGAGTCGACCCGAGTCTACTCATCGGCATCGAGAACGGGAGAGGCAGCTAGCCACGTTGGCCATTCCCCTTGCTGTTCAGCTAATCCAAGGCACGACACCCGAGGAGCGAACCATGGCGGCGTCGTTACCGACATCAGACACCGAGAGCAGGGAGGTGCAGGGCGATGCGTGCGACGCCCTCGCTATATTAATCGAAGACAGTAAGATCCTGCAAAATGCGGCTGTAGAGGCGGGTGCGATCAAACGCATCTGTCCGATTTTGAAGCAGAGCTTTGATACCATCACACCCGCGAGACCGATGTGGGTCGCACACCCCCCCGGACCGGACGAAGCAGATCTACCGGAATCGTGCAAGCTGGGGATCAGAGGCTTGCCTGCGGAAATTTACCACACCATGCGAATGCGAGCAAGCGCTCTCCAGGCCTTGGCGGCTCTGGCGAGTCGGGAAGACATCCATAAGAAGGTGATTGTGGAGGCGGGCGTGGTCAGCTGCATCATTGATTCCCTGAAGCCATTCACGCCCGAGGTCACCGCGGCCATTGAGGGCAGGAGTAAGCCTCTGCAACAGTTCTCCACCAAGGACGGAAACGGGCCCACCGTGATCCAAGCGGCGTGTCTCGCAGCGAAGTGTATCAGTAGAAGCGTAAGCTTGCTGCGTACCAGTTTGATCGACGCCGGCATCGCCAAGCCCATCTTCGAACTCCTCCAACACACCAAACCAGAAGTACAACTCGCCGCGACGGACGTGTGCTGTAATTTGCTGCTCGATTTCAGCCCCATGCGCGATGACCTCCTTGCCGCCGGCGTTATCAAAACACTCACCGAGCACGCGCGACAATCGGAGATGGGGCTGAGATTGGCGAGCCTGTGGGCTCTGAAACACTTGGTGCAGAACAGTCCTAAAGACGTCAAAATTCAGTGTCTGGACGAGTTGGGCGTCGGCTGGTTAGTGGGTGCCATCCAAGGCGAGCAGGGCAGCGCCGTTGCCGATCCCGCAAGTTTCAGCATGGGAGGCGTCAGTGTGGCGGGAGGAGGGTTTAGCACACCCAACGCCGCAGGAGAGCAGGTTGACCTGCTGAACCCCAACACAAATATGGACATTGACGAGCAGGCGGACGAAGATGAAGCGCTGGACGAGGGGGACGAGGAGGAAGAAGATGAAGACGAGGATGGAGAAGTCATGTACGACGAAGCGGCCGGAATTCACTACCAAGCTTCCCAACTCCGCTCAACCCTGCATCGCTCACCCGATGACGCCTTCGTCCCGAGCGTACCCGAATTCAACTCGGCGCGATATCTCGCGTCAGTGCGGGAGAAGGAGTACAACCCCGTGCTGCAAGCGAAACAAGACGACATCGCCGTACAAGAGCAAGCACTCGATTTCGTGCGCAACCTCCTGCACGGCGAAGACTGCGCCTTCATGTTCGAGCACCTCCTCCGCGCCATCGGGCAAGACAAACTGTTCAGCCTGCTAAACGACAAACTCGCCCCCATCACCGCCCCCTCGCCCCTCCTCTTCCGCGGCGCCCCCCTCCCCCAACCCACCAAACCCCTCTACCAATCCACCGAGCTCATCCTCTCCACCGTCCACGTCCTCACGCACATCGCCAACGCCTCGCCCACGCACAAGCAACTCCTCATGGCGCAAAAGCACCTCCTCGCCCACTGGCTCCCGCACTTCAACCACCCGGACAAGCGCGTGCGCGTCATCTCCGTCTGGGCCGTGAATTCGCTCACGTGGGTGGAGGACGAGGGCGACCGCACGACGGCGCAGCTGCGCGTCAAGGAGCTGCGGTCGTGCGGGATTGAGAATGCGATTCGCGGGCTCGCCAACGATCCGGAATTGGATGTTCGCGAGCGCGTTAAGACTGCTGTGCGCCAGATGGATGGGCTTTAGTATAGTTTGGAGTATGATCGCATTCACAACATTTTGGTCAAGTCGGCGGCGTGGGCGGAGGCGCAGAGAGCCGAGGCGCAGAGAGCCGAGGCTGCAAGGTTGGAGGCGGAAAGGGCGGCGGCGGACATGGCGGAGAATATGGTGTTGTGATGGCCCGCCGACCGTCCTGCATCCTCCACGATCTGGTATGATGGCGCGCGGCTGATCCCGGAGAGGTGTTGCTACCCTTTCTTTTTGGATCTTGCCCTTGACGAGGCTGCGATCGTTGCTGTATCCGCTCGTTGGAGAGCACGCTATTATTGAGAAATGACATACTCCAGGAATCGGGAGGTTGGCCTGATTGGCATTGAACTAGCAAGACTACCTAACGTAGCAATTGAGCAGCCGTCAGGCTTGTTGGAATTGGACTCTGGCTGCTTCTCTTGTATAACTTGTAAATCCGCATCGATAACTTGGGCTTGAGATTGATGACTCGGGCTCGAGGTCCGTTGACTCAGGATTGAGGTCTGTAGCTCAGGATTGCGATCTGTAACTCAGTACTGAAGGTCCGTAACTTGGGCTTCAGGTCTGTAACCTAGAGTCGAGGTTTTAGTATGGTATCGACACTTTGCATAACTTGGAGTCGAGGGTTGGTAACGGGGACATTCGAGCTCGTAACGTAGATATTGAGGTTCGTAACATGGACATTGAGGCTGTAACGTGGACATTGAGGCTGTAACGTGGACAAGGTCTGCAACGTGAGTATATTGAGGCTTTTGAACATCAGACTCGACGATTAGAATTCACACTCTGCGACTGGTCTTTCGAGAATCGAAGTTTGCAGCATAGACCTGAACGTTTTCCAGATGTACTATCTATAGTATACTATTTCTTTTATTCTTTCCCAATTATGATGAGTGAATCTTCCTCTGCCCCTGGCCCGGCGTAATGGGCTTCGGCTTCGGCACGCTCTCCAAAGCAGTGTTGACAGTGGTGAGCCCGACATCCTCGGCCGTGGCGCTCGTCTTGTACTTGCCGCCCGTGAACTCAAACAAGAAGTTCATGGGGAAGCCGAGATCGAAGGGCTCGGCGGCGTCGATCTTGTCGATCTCGTCGTCCGACAGCGAGATGCTCAGCGCCTCGATGTTGCCCTTGAGATGCTCGATTTTGCGGCCGCCGACGATGGGGAAGACGTACGGCGCTTTGTGCATGACGTATGCGAGCGCGATGCTCGTGACGGGGATGTCTTTGCCTTTTGTTTTGGCAATGTCCTCCATCACGCCGGCGATGCGGGCGAAGTGCTCGGGCTGCTCGGAGCCGACGGCGCGGCCTTCTGTGCGGTTCTTGAAGGCCTCGCGCGACTTGAGCTTGCCCTGGCCGAGAGCGCCCCACGGGCACAGGCCCATGCCCTCCTCGTGCACCATGGGGAGGATATCTCTTTCGAAGTCGCGCTCGGCGGCCGACCATTTGCCCTGGTAGACGCAGAACTGGGTGAGGCCGTGGAAGCGAGCGTAGTCGTTGCACTTGACGACCACCCAGGCCGGGGTGTCGGAGATGCCGAGGTAGAGGACCTTACCGGCGGCGACAAGGTGGTGCAGGCTGTTCATGAGCTCGGGGATGCTGGTGGAGAAGTCCCACCAGTGCAGCCAGAGCAGGTCGATGTAGTCGGTGCCGAGCTTCTTGAGACTGGCTTCGACGGAGAGCTTGAGGCTCTTGGCGTGGTTGCCGGAGAAGTTGGACTTGATCTTCTCGTGCGCACCGATGGTGCGGTAGCCGGTGGTGAACTTGGTGGCGAGGACGAGCTCATCGCGGTTGCCGCGCGCCTTGATCCACTCGCCGAGCCATTGCTCGGACTGCTCGCCTTGGTAGTTGTTGGCGGTGTCGATGAAGTTGCCGCCCTGCTCGTAGAAGTAGTCGAGGATGGCGAAGGCGGTCTCCTTGCTGCACTCGCCGGTGAAGGACTCCCAATTGGTGCCGAAGTTCATGGCGCCGAGGCATAGTGGCGATACTCGCACGCCCGCGGTGGGGGAGAGGAGGCGGTGGTAGCCCAACAGGCTGGGGGGTTTGTCGACGGTCTTGAAGATGGACATGATTGCGGGTTGAGACGAGAGTAGTTGGAAAGATGATGAGTTGGATGAATGGGGTAAGGGTTGCGTCAGGAACGTGTTTATATAAGTACCTCGAGGGTCCATCTACGTGATTTTCCAGGAGTGACGTAAATTGCATCACCCAATGCTTAACTCCGACGGCTAAGCCCGCCCGCACCTGCCGCCACATCATGGGCGCATCCGCACTAACCGCATTCGTAAATTCCCCGCCTGTCAAATAAATTTAGAGTTTGAGGCGCGAGCTCCGGCGATGCATCTCCATCACGCCCAACACGAGATACCGCCGAGTGGCTGGGATGGAACTCAGCTCTGCCTGCAGGCAGCTGGCTGGCGTGATCATGTCGTCGCTCTCCTTCCCTCCTCTTCCTCCGCCGTGCAGACCATTCATATTCGTATCCTTAGCATCATCTTACCCCATCTTGGACGCAAGGCTGGCCGAGCATGCACGAATTGCCCAAGACGCTGACCGAGAGCCTTCGTTCCTTTCGAGGGAGCGTGTATGGCTCCCGACGGCGTTCCGGAGATGCAGATGCTGACCTGGAGAAGAGAGGGGTAGAGGAAGAGAACTATGGCGACAGGCAGTTCGAGCGGGCCTTGAACGAAACCGACGCCTCGTCCGCTCATCATTCTCCCCCGATCAGCAGCTACCATCTACCTGCCCAATACCAAGATCATGATCTTGAGAAACAACACCCTGCACTTCCCGCGCAACATGCGGCGCACCAGAACCCCCCAAGTGGACTTCCCAAGCACGCACCGTCCACTCACTCCACGCCCTCCTCGCCCAGAGAAGGCGTGAGAGAGACCGCAGGCCACGGTACAACCACCTACCACCACGGCCTCACGATCCAAGACCTCGATCCCGCCGGCGAGCGCCTCGCGCAGAACCTCACCCCGCTCAGCGTGGAAGACTTCTGCAGTCTCATGGGCCTCGGCATCCCCGCCAACCCCTTCCAAGCCCTCAACAGCGTCCTCCTCCCCGACGGCCTGTACGCCCAAATCCAAGACGACGAGCGCAAGAAGAGCCGCCAGTTCCGCGCGTTCGACTACGCAACGTACGCCCTGCTCATCGTGCAGCTCATGATCTCCGCCGTCTTCATCATCCTCGGCGCCTTGCCGCACGTTGACACTCACATCACTATCGCCATTCTCGGAGCAGTGGCGACGGTCATTGCCGGAAGTTTGGCGTTGATGAAGGGCCAAGGGTTGCCGAATCGCCTTCGGCAGACGCGAGATGGGCTGAAGAATGTATTGTTCGCCGCCGAAGAGCTGTATTGGGATGTGCGTGCGGGAAAGCCGGTGTTGTACAAGGACATCAAGAAGATTCGAGAGGATTATATCAAGGTGTTGAAGGAGGAGCGCGCTAATCATCCCGATGCTTGGACTACCGGGGGCGAAGCGACGACTCTTGAGCATTTTGGCGCCATGAAGGGTACAAAGGGGTGATGCTCGGCTCAATCTGGTGCGTGTGTTGATCTATGTGGTGATTTAATGTTGGTTACTTGTTGCCTCCATGTACAATACCTGTTGGACAATCAAAGTACTTTTGTATCCGCGCACCTCTCACGGCTGGCCCGGCCACACCTCATCCGCAATCGCCCTCACCAACTTCAACTTGTTCCTCATATCCTTCCTCTGCAACGCATTCCCCTCCGCATGCGACGCAAACCCACACTGCGGACTCACACACAGCCTCTGCAACGCCTCTTCCCGACTCGACCCATCGCCCTCCGCCACATAATCCGCCGCCTTGTACACTCGCTCCACCATCTCCCGCTGATCCTCCAACTCCGGGAACTTGGACGTCACCACGCCCAGCACCACATTCTTCTCCTTGGGCAAGTGCTTCAACGGCTCAAACCCCCCCGCGCGCGGCGTGTCATACTCCAAATAGTACGTCGAAACGTTCAAATCGTTAAACAGCTTCGTGGCAATCCGATCATACGCCCCCTCGCTAAAATGCTTCGAGCCCAGGTAATTCCCGCGACACAGGTGAATGCCCAAATGGAAGTCCGCCGGCCGCTGGAAGCAGGCGTTGTAGAAGCGCATGTACGCATCGAACTGCTCGTCGGCCGTCTGGTGGTTCTGGGGATCGGCTTTCCAGCCCTCTAACATCGCTTCGCTGCAAAAGTACGCCAGGTTCGGGTCGTCGACTTGCCCGTTGCGCAGGCCCGCGTCGTACAGGATTTTGAGTTCTGTTTGGTACGCTTTCGCCAGGTCGGCGAAGTACTCGTCGTCATTGGCGTACACGCCTTCGGTGTAGGCGCGCCCGGGGGCGTAGCGGAAATGGTACCACGACGGACTGGTGAGAGTGAGTTTGATGTTAGGCCACTGGTCGCGGGGCAGGATGGATTGCATATATTTCAGCTCCGGGAGGAAAGTGGAGACGCCTGTGTGGGAGATTTTGCCGGTTGCGACGGTCACGGCGTTGGGAATTGTTTTGGCGTGCATGAAGGATTTGACGTCTGGTGATGGATTGTCAATGTTTGCGACTCGACTTTTGGCATGTGATTGATGTGCGGTGATATGCCTTACCTGGCGCATACTGTCGGAAAATGCTCTGGTCATACCCCGAATCTCGCAGATTGATCTCTTCCATGCCGTTCAACGTCTCCATAAAAGTGCCCCAGAACTGGTGCCTCGAATGTTCGCCATTCGTGAGACTGTGAATCCCGCATTCCTGCTGTAGCTTCACAATCTCCTTGATAGACTCCTGCTCAACCGGCACCAGGGAGTCTGCACTTTTCGATCCATCGGCGACTGCGTAGCGATGCTGCACGAGATGATCGGGCCGCAGGAGGGAGCCGATATGCTCTGCTCGGAAGGGCGGGCTGCGTGGTGCGGTGGACATGGTTGAGATGTGACGAGGGGAGTTGATGGAGAAGAGATGGTTTTACTCAGAACGTGGCAATGCTTCTATGCCAATATTTTGTTCATTCTCCACATGCATCATTCTGTCTCGCCGCCCCTCCAAGCAGGTGAAGTCGCAGGGCCCAGCTTTTCGGCAATTGGAAGGGCTCCACTGCCGACGCAGCGTTCGGGAGTTGACTCGGGCATGTCTTGTGCAAATACATATTGATTTCGGTGAGGCAAGCATGTGAGAGATGGAGACAGGAGTGTGCTTTGTTTTAAAGGGCACTTCTTCGTCATGTTGACGTTGACGTGAGGTCGGAACAAAGTTCACCATGTCCATCGGAACAAGAGTACGGAGGACAACCCGAATGGTCAAGCACGACACATCTCTACATTCTCTAGGCCGTCAGGAATCAAGTCCATCACCTCTTCTTCCCCTTCGTCTTATCCACCATCTCCACCCACCGCCTATCAACGCCCCTCTTCGCCAGAGCCTTCAGCACCGCCTCCCCCTGCGGCCCCTGAATCATCACCTCCTCCACCGGCCGCTCATTCTTCTTCGCCGCGCCCGCCAACGCCTCCACGCTCGTGCTGCCCGCGCACACCTTGCGCAACTCGTCGGCCAGCAACTTCGGGTTGACAAAGTACGCTTCCAATCCAGACACTTTGGTCACCGTTTTGTTGCCGGAGCGTGTTTCGAGGGCGATGTGGATTTTCGGCGGGGAGCCGCTTTTCGCTTTTGTGGCGTTGGAGTCGTCGCCGTTGCGGATGATGGCGTAGGAGGGCGCCATGCCGTGGAGCACGCGGTCGATTAGGGCGTCGCGCGGCACGGAGCCCTTGGCGATGACTTCTTTGTCGAGGTTCCCTGTGCCGTCAAACACGTTGTTGGCGAGGGTGGGGTTGAGTTTGACGAGGCGCTTGTTGTTTTCTTGCACCAGCGCTTCGGACTCGATGTAGGCTGTTACGATTTCGCGGACTTCCGGGGGTGTTAGGAGTTGCTTTGTGGTGGTTGTGAAGAGGGGTTGGAGTTTAGTCGTCGGCTTGAAGAATGAGACTAGCTTCAATTGCTGGCCGATGGAATCGTCGCCTGCATCCGCTTGCTCTGTTGCCTTTTCGCCCCGCCCTTGAGCCGTACCTGCCGCGGTTTCCTTCTTGGGTAGTCGGTAAGGTTTGAAGTTCAGGATCGCTGCATCGTCGAAATCAATGTCGAGGATGACCGTTTCGTGCCCGTCCTTTTCCTTGGACTTCAGAATCTTCTCCTTGTCCAGGGACTTGACGAATTTCTTGATGTTCTTCCAGCTCGTCTTCTTGATCTGTAGTTGTTGTGCTTCTGCAGGCGTGAAGGCAGGTAGAAAGGGGAGAACCAGATTGGACATGACGAAAGATTGTGATAGCGGGAAGGCCAGTCCGAAATTGGGGGTGCCGGGGTTCGACGTTTTGTGATGATGTACGCCGTAGAGGAAGGCGCTGCGGAAAGCCTCGTCGATCTCTTTTTGCGTCAGCTCTCGGGATTGCGTCTCATCTTCCGCTTGTCCGGCCTCGTTCACTCCCTGACTCTGCTCTTTCGACGGTTCGATCCCATTCAAATTGGCTAGAGGAACACCCCCCTCATCACCTTCCTCACCAAGATCCAGTCCCCGTATCTTCTCAACCAGACCCCTCGTCTCCAACACCTTTGTCCAGCCGTCAATCTGCTCAGGAGCCGCCTGACCCGGCCGTCCAGTCACTCCAAAATTCCAAGCCTCGTCTCCAGACCAATGCATATTCCTCACCGCATGGCCTTTCGTCCCTTGCACGCTCCCAAGCGTCGAAACGTCAATCTCACACCAGCCCACCACCACCGGCACGGAGGGCTGCTCTATGCTCGCCACAGCCACGACAGAACCCTTCTTCGCCGCCTCCGGAAACGGCGGGCCGCCAAACAGACCTGGAGTCATGAGATCCGCGCCCCCCTGCAGCTTCTGCATCGCGATCGGCGCGGTGTGTAATAGCGGGATGATGTCCGCATTCCTCCATAATGTGTACACGGAGGGATATAACCGCCCCTCAATCTGAAACCACAGAATCCTCCCCTCACCTCCATCCTGACTGCCAACGTATACTGTGCCGGAAACTTGCTTGAGGTCCGCGCCTTGGGTGGTGGTAAAGCGGGCGGATTGCACGTTGTCGGGGAAGAGGGAGTTGCGCAGGGCGGTGCGGGCATTCGTTGCTGCCGCTTTGTCTTCTGCAGATTGTTCTTCTGCTGCTTCTGGCACGGTGTCGGGCTCGAGGTGGAAGTCGCGGATGATTTGGTCGGCGAGTTTGCGGCGGTCGGAGGAGCGTAGAGGGGCGAGGGGCTTGATGGTTGGCTTCTTTTTGAACATTGTTGGCGATTTTGGGGATATTATCGAGGGGTAGGGAGATGAGAGGAATGGAGAGGATTGCGTAGAGCTCTACAAAAAGACACGCTTCTCAGGGAATAAAGAAATAAGAGAGAAAGTGACGAGTCATAATGGATCATGAAAGTCGAAGCTGTACCTGATGAGGTCAATCGCAGTTATTGATGCCTGAGGCAGAAAGTGTACTTAAGCAACGACGCTCTCTATTTCTAATGAATATTACGCCAAATAACATCAAGGCACAAACACCAGCCTCTCACTGCCTTCACTCGCCCACTCCGTCTCCACATCGGCCAGCTTCGCCACTCGCACAGGCTGCTCGGGAAGGGTTCTTAACGCATCCAGCAGACTCGGTATCGCATCTCCCATCTCCGCATGACTCCACGCCCCGGCGCCCGATCCAGTGATTGTCAAATTCTTCGAGCGAAGCACCGAGCCTGGAAGAGTGATGTCTGGGGATGAGATGGCTCCGATGTGGACGTATTGTAATCGTTTCGCAGGCTTGACGGTCTTCAACAAGTGTTCCGTCAGCGGACCGTAAACATAGTCCAGTACGACGTCGACATCTGCGAGAGAGCCAAAGTCGGTCTCGCTTGCTTCGTCTGCGATGACGATGCTCTCGTCGAGACCGAGAGTTTCGAGTGCGGATCGATTCCGAGCGGCGCCTATGACTTTCTTCGCCCCGAACACGCGCGCAAAGTGGATAGCCACTCGTCCAGAAGCGGAGGTCGCACCGAGAATCAAAATAGTAAAGTCCTTGGGTAAGTTGCACACTCGATTCTGCAACGCCATCCAGCTCGACATGGCGGGGTTCATGACACCGGCAGCCTGGATGGGGTCGACGCCTTCGGGGAGCGGAAGGCAGGTACGCTTCGGCGCATTGACGATATCCGCCATGGCGCCAATGGCAAAAGAGAAGAAGTAGTATCGCTTGCCTTCGGCGCTGACTCCCACCCCGTCGATCCCGGGAACGTGAGGGAGGGTTCCACTGGAGTAGTGCTTGCCAGCTGCTCTGCTGCGTACGACTCGGTGGAGGCCGCAGGCCAACACTTTGACCTGGATCTCGTCGGCGCTGGGTGGGGGAAGTTCGTCGACTTTGGTGTATACAGGAGCCTGTCCCCATTCGTCCACTTGTGCTTGATACATGGCCGGCTCGCAGAGAAGTGTGGTATCTCGGATCTCCGTGCTCTGTACGCAGTGGTAGAGTAGAGGTTCGAGGGCGGCAAAGACGGCAAGTTTAATGAGATACTACGTTATGCCTACGATGCTGGACACCTACCTTTTATACGGGCCCAGGCTGGTCGCCGGCGGCCTTGACCGTTACATCCTGGCGCGTGGAAATTTCGGCGGCCGAGACGCGATGGGTCGACAATGTGCGTGGGTTGGGAAAACAATTTCCATAAGTCGGAGGGCCTCGAATGCGGTCGGAAGAAAAGTTCGGCGCCGAAAAGACGGAATGAAGTTGGGGGAAGAGATGAAGAGCGCGCCGGGGAAGGTTCCGCCGTTTGTTGATGCCTCAGGCTTCAAGTCGAATCTCTGCAGCAAGAATTGCGTGAATCCAGCGAGTTTCGTGCCCGGATTTGCCACGCGAGATCATCCCTCGGGGAAGTGCCATTCGAGGACAGCCGCTAGCGCCCGCTCTGCTGCTGCCAATCATTATCCGTCGTCTGCTTCGCCGGCGTCAGGCTGCTTTTGCCAACTCCATGCCTTGAGGTGCATTAGCAGATCATGCAAGCCAATAGGAATCATAGCGAGGCTGTAGTTTCAGGTAAACCTGTTTCATTCACCATTTGACGTATCCAGGTACAGTCACGAGAACAACCCGGTATTCGATCGTGACCCAGGCGTTATATTCACCCCGTTCCTGCCCGCCGTCAGGGCTTTGACAGGGAAGGGACGCTCGACCATATCTTTGGTATGAAGTTGTAGCCTTGCTACAAGAGAGTGTCCTAGGAACGATGCTGCTCCAACTCGTCTTCGTCTTTCTGCTCGTGCAATTCTGCTCCGTAGTCATCGGCTCTGTAACGACAGTAACGAAGTTCATAGGCGTTACAGAAACGGCGACGGTGGCAACGCATCACGGGGCATGTGAGAGCTTCACTGGACTGTGCTTCGTGAGTAGTCCCACTCTGACCCCTTACAATCTATCATCTAATGCGCTGATACACCTCTCTCGAAAGGTCCTCGGACCATCCGCCGGCCCACCATCGACAACGACCGTCTACGAGACCCCAGCTCCTCCAGCACCTCCACAATCAACCATAACAACACTCACGACATCCGTCATCTCGACCACTACCGACTTCGCCACGACCTCCGTCCCCAACAGCAATGCCTGTGAAAGCTTCACTGGCGCCTGCGTGGTGTACGGCACAGATCAGTCCACCACCACCACTTTTTACGCCACCAGCACGGGCAACAGCCACGGCGACCTTGGACAGAAGAAGAACGTTGGCAGCGGATCAATCAGCGACCTCTTGCAAGGAGCCTGCTGGCTAGCCTGCGGTGTCATATTCGCTTTCGCTGCATTGCTGTAAACCGCTACAGACACTCTCCATCATCAACTATCGAGAATCTGCACTTTGACGGCCTTGGCCGACGGCGTTGACGCAGCGACGAATGCATCTTTGGCGTCTTCGAGAGAGAAACGATGGGTGACGAGCGGCCTCAAATCAATCAGCCCTTCCGACACCAGCGTGATGGCCTTGGGATACGTCTCGCGGTACCGGAACTGGAAGCGGATGTCGATTTCGCGGAACGAGGCGTAGGTGAATGGGTACTGTTGCGTCGTCTGGTTTCCGAGTCCGATGATAAAGACGGAGCCGCCGAAGCGCGATGCCTAGAATGTCCTCATTAGTCAATTCTGCTTCTGCGATGCAAGCCTTGTACAGGTAGACGCACGTAGATGCCCGCGTGAATACTGCTCTCCATCCCCGTACACTCAATCACCAACTTTGCCTCCCGCCCCAAAGCCTTCTTAATCTCCCCCGCCACCTCCTCCGCCTTCTGCTCCCTCTCCACCTGCACCGTCCGCACTCTCGGAACAAGATCCTTCGCCATCCTCAACCTATTCTCATCAATATCCGTAATGACAATCGGCGCCGCCCCCGCCGCGTGCGCAGCAAGCAACACCACCAGCCCAATCGGCCCCGCACCACAGATAACCAGCGGATCCCCCAACCGCAACCCAGACCGATCGATCCCCGCGAGCGCAACGGACAACGGCTCCAGCAACGCTCCCTCCTCAAAACTCACATTCTCCGGCAACTTATGCAACCACGCAGCCGGATGGCAATGATATCTCCGCAGCGTGCCATCGACCGGCGGCGAAGAGTAGAACACAATATTCGGACACCCGTTGTACTTCCCGATCCGGCAGAGTTCGCACGTGGGCTGCAGGCACGGGACGCCGCATTCGATTGCCACGCGGTCGCCTACGTGCAGACTTGTGACGTTGCTGCCTGTCTTGACGACGATGCCGCTTGATTCGTGGCCTAGGCCGAGGTCAGTGGTGACGAGCGATTCGCCTATTGCGCCGTGCTTCCAGAAGTGGACCTGTGGTTCGTTAGTGGCTGTGCTGTATAGTTGGAGAGGGGGGCGTTTCGCACATCAGAACCGCAGATGCCTGTTGCTCGGACATGCACGAGGCATTCGTCTGCGCCGGGCTCCGGGATGGCGGATTCGATGTGTTTGAGCTCATGGTTGGGAGTCGTGGCTACGGAGAGGTTTGTGGGCTTTGCTGTGAGCACTTCTGTGCATGAAGACATGTTACTAAAATCTGAATTGGGAGGATGATGGGTTTCCTCGAAAAGGAACAGTGGTTTTATATTCCATTCGGCCAGGCGACGTCGGAGTTTGATGTGGAGTCGACGGCGGCCAATTCGGGCAACACCGACAATCAGCAGATCTTACTCTTCGCAACACCGCCTACAAATTGGAGTTCAACAAGGTTGATCCCTGTGAATGTCTTGATTGAACTTTACACTGTTCATCGAATAGTACACACTATCAGAAAGCGGTGTCCTTCCCACCTACATCCTCGCCACCACCCTCTCAGCAACCCACTCCCCCCTCTGATCCCTCTTCTGCACAACCTTCCACTCCGTCAAAGGCCATCCCATCCCTACACTCCCCGGAGCTCGAATCGCCACGCCAACCCAGCATTGGCGCTGCAAATACCCCACGTCCTCAATCTTCCCAATCGGCTTGCCAATTTCCAATAATGGTGATTCCTCCGCCAGAACAGCCAAAGCTTTCGGTCCAATCGGCGTCAGCGGGTGCATGCGCGTCTTCTTCTGTTTGCCTTCTACTGTTGCCGCGACTGCTTTGCTGAGGTGCGAGTAGACGATGTACGATGGCATTTCGCTGGGGCTGAGTTTGGCCAGCACGCTGGAGGGGTGGATGAAGACGCTTCTTTGCACTTCTCGCTCTGCTGGGCTGGCGGTGCGGTCGATTCCTGCGTCTGAGATGGAAGGCTTGAGAGTCCGGTATGCCACTTCGATTGCGCGTTTCGGCTTTCTCCCCGCGGACACGCCGTCGCTCTTGAGCAGATCTGCGCGGATGGCGACCGAGTCGATGAAGCCGGCGGCGACGAGTTGGTTCAGCCTTTGCAGCTCCTTTCCTTTTGGCGCAGTTGGTACAAGCGGATGATCGGCAAGCGCGCCGTTGCTCTGCGCCCTCGCAATGGCATGCAACTGCTTTCGGAGTTGTTGCACCTCGACCATGCTTTTCTCCCGCAGCCAGTTATTCCTGCAAAACTCTCTCGCCTCTGCGGCCCCATTGCTGTAATGCTCTGCATGCAACGCCACAGACCTGAGCATCTTGACCGCATCTGATCTATCATCCCACTGGGACAACAAGGCTTGCGCTCGACCATAGGCTTGGTGTTGTGTATTGACGGCAGCGGTATCATCTTCCTCATTCGTCTGCGCCTGAGGGATATACAAATCCCCCACAGCCAGTCCAGCAGTGAGTGCAATGGCATGCTGCAATAGTCCGTTATTGCGAGCCAGCACCAGAATCTTGCCATATCTTGGATCAACAGGAAACTTCAGAATCTGCTTGCCCGTCTCCGACATCTGTGCACCCTTCACAGCTCCAAGGTTCTGCAAAAGCGCCTCTGCCTTCTCCAGCTGGAGCTGTTCAGGTGCAGTAGCAAACGGAAACGCTTTGGCGACATTTTCAATCGAGAAGGCCTTGAGTTGGAGGACGACACTCTCCAATGGCGTGCGAAGGATTTCAGGCACCGTGTGCTCCTCGAAATACCGCTCGAACACCGCGCTCGAGTACAATCTCCAGACATGTCCGCCTGGACCCGTACGTCCAGCTCGACCTTTCCGCTGATCCGCAGAAGCTTTGGAGATCCAGTCTACTTCAAACGTCTGTATCCCAGAGCGGTGATCGTATTTCTTTTCTTTGCTTCGGCCGCAGTCGAAGACGTATCGTATGCCGGGAATGGTCAATGACGTCTCGGCAACATTGGTGGCGAGGACGATCATGCGGGTGCCTTCTGGCGGTGGTTCGAAGACTTGCTGTTGCTCTGCGACGGGCAGGGCAGCGTACAGAGGTAGGATATGAGGCCTGAGAGCGCCCTTGGGTTGCTTGTGGTCTGCTTCGAGCTGCTCAACTGCGAATTCATCCTCGAAAGTCTCGTCCACTTTGATGTCGGCTTCGCTTCCCGAATTTTCGTCGTGTGCGTCGTCGTCTTCGTTTTCGACAAATCCATCGCGATCATCGGCCTTCTCGTATCCATCTTCGTAGTCATCTGTGCCGTTCGATAAATCGAATCCGCCGCTAGAGGATCGATTTAGTCGCTCATTCAACTTCTTTGCCACAAAAGTGATCTCCTGCTGTCCAGTGAGGAATACTAGCATAGCACCAGGCGGTAGTTTCCGATGGCCTCGCGCAACTTTATCAATCATCTCCTCGACGTAATCCCGCTTCGTTTTCCGCGAAAAGTGTTCTGTGACTGAGTACTGTCGCCCTTCCACTTCCAGCACTGGTGGCTTGACGGTAGGGAAAAGTCGCTCATTCGATAGGAAATCGTCCACTCTCAGTGTCGCCGACATGATGATCAGCTTTAGTGGACAATACTTCTCCGGCTGCTCAAGAGCAAGCTCGGCACGCTGCGGCACAATGCGGCTCAACAACCCAATGAGCAGATCAGTATTGACACTGCGTTCGTGCGCTTCGTCAATCATAATGCAGCTGTACTTGGAAAGCGAAAAGTCCATCTGGATCTCGCGCAAGAGGACACCGTCCGTCATGAACTTGATGGCGGTTTTCTTGCTGACGGTGGTATCGTAGCGGACTTGATGAGCCACTCTGTCCCGGTAGGTAGGGCCGAGCTCATACGCAACACGTTCTGCGGCTGAAGTCGCAGCGATCCGACGCGGTTGGGTAATGCCGATCATGCCTCTGCTCTGAAGGTCTTTGGCGGGTGATGAGTCTCCGATCAAAGAGCCGTAGCCGTTCTCAAGTAGCATCTGAGGAACTTGAGTAGTCTTTCCTGAGCCGGTAGAGCCGCAGAGGATGGTGACAGTGTTTGCGTGGATGGTCTCGATGATGCGTTGTTCGTCCTGCACCACTGGTAGTGCTAGTCTGGCTGTCTGCACGTCTTCTTCTCGCTGGATAGTGAGTGTGGCAGCTGGCCTGATCGAGCTGTTTTGTTGAGCAGAAGCGATGGAGTCCAGAAGTGGATCTGGAGAAGGTGCTCGGGGGGTAAAGTTTGCCCTGATTATCGCATGGGCATCGTCGTCCGCTGGCTTTGCAGATGGAGTGAAGCCAACGGCGGTGTTCATTTGAGTATCTGCCCAGGCTTTGAAGGCGGATATTCGGACGGGTTTGTCGTGGTCGGACTGTTCGCCATTACTCGACGTTGCTAAGTCCTCAGAGTCCTCGTCTTCCTCACTCGCAGAGTCGTCGGTAATCTGCTCATCCGCATCAACTGAATGGTCGTCATCCTCGGAAAATCCATGCCATTCGTCCTCATCATCTTCATCGGAGTTTTCAGCAATGGGAAGAACTTGGCTCATTGCAGGGATGGCAGTGTGCTGCTTCCTCCGCCGACGCTTGACGAGCACCGGCTGACCATCGGCATCCACATCCAACGGCCTCTTGAGACCGCTCCCAAAGCCAGAGGGCGCATGGAGTGGTTTCACAGCCGGGATGCGATGAGGGTCAGTACCTTGCCCGTCAACGATATCTGACTCTGAACTGGACGGGCTGGAGCTTCTGTCCAGCCGGTCTTCAGTCACCTCGCTCTCGCCACCGAAAAAGGAAAGTTCCGCAGCATCGCGATCGCGCTTCTCTCGCTTCGTCTCATGTCGCCTTCCCAGACTCTTGGAAGAATGTAAAAGACTGGTGTCGAACTTCTGGTCGCCGAGTTGTCGAATCAGATTGGCCGTGGCGTCCTTCTTGAGTTTCGTATCGATGTACTTCTCCAATCGTTTGCGCTTCTGACTCGAGATCTTCTCGGGCTGCTGCGCTCGGAGTTCCTGCTTCAGCGCCTCTCGTCTCGCCTTCTCCTCTTTGGACACCGGCACGATCTCTGCGGCATTGCTATCTGTCTGAGCCGGTTTGGGCTTGCTGCCCAGTTTCCCCTTCTTCCTGTCGCGCGGAACAAAGCGCGCCATCTCCGTAGCACTGAGATGGGAGCAATCAGCGAGAGGGACGCAGCATTGGACGAAGCAAGTCTTGCGACAAATCTTCGAATGTCGTCGAGGCGCATGTCGAACTTTTTAGTGGGGAGCGGATAACGTTCCGCCCGTAGCTTAACCTTAACTAATCCCGCCGGCTGAAGCGTAATTCGCCTAATCACTTTGGAAACTCATCAATTTGCGCCTTGCTTTGCTCGCGGATAGCAGAGCTCTCTCTGTACCTCTGTTGTATACGAGCGGCTTCAGAAGAACGTGGGACCTGTTCTTCCATACTGGACGGTAAGATGGCGACGGCAACGATCCAGCCAACGCCCTTCCCAGCCGCATCAAAATCAGCATCCGGCGTCGTGAACAACACCCTCACGACCGTCACCAGCACCTCCTTCTCCGACAAGATCCTCCTCACCGTCACCTCACCGGCATCCAGCAACAAGCTAGCCCATTGGGTTCACGTCCCACTGGCGCCATCGGCAAACACCATGGATCCCAGCTTCCTCTCTACTTCCGCTTCGGGAAACCCGGACACTTCGCTCCTACCGCGCACGAACTTGACCGCTACGACTGTTCTTGGCGGTACAAAGCGCGAGGAGGAAGTCATTGGGCAGACGCTGGCGACTACGATTGCCACTGCTATTCTCATGAAACGGCCGACGGAGGAGAGAATGCTGGTGCTTGCATCAGGGTTGCAGGGTGTGTTGGAGAAGGAAGGATTCGAGCAGGTGGTGGGGTTGATGTTGCGGGTGTTGTAGGCGTGGAAGGCAGCAGATCTGGATGAACTCTATGCTGGAAGCATTGAGGTCCTGCGAAGACATCACGCCGGCTTTCCCCAATGGCCGTGCCGAAACGAAGCGGACCAACCTTAGATCAGTCCGCGAAACACGCTCGAACAGAGGAGGTGCTAGCCTCTTTACGACTCCTTCGGATCCCGACTACTCCATGGACCCGAAAATGCGGCTATCTGCTCCTACGAGGAATCCACTGCACATCGGTTTCCATGTCGCAGCTCTGACCAGATTCGCATGTGAATACGGTCGGCGCCTAGCTGATCAATGATGCTGTGCACGCTTACATACGCCGTGGTGGAGCTGACAAAGTTCATCGCCATTCAGCGCGGAACTGGCGGTTGCATTTAGCGAGCCCGAATGGAGCTAGGACTCGTCCAAAACTCCGTCTAATTCGCAGCATGATGCATTCTGGAGCGCAATCTCCATCAAATCCAATGGTTTCATGCGTATAGAGTGAAGTATCTCCTGCAGCCGGCCACGTCGTTTTTCGGCCGTGACGTAGCGCGGTGATAGCGCCTGAAACGGACGAAGCGGAAACTGGCGAACTCCCGGCCGAGAGGCTGACGTCCTGTGTAGCTTTCCAATGCACGACAGATATGTATATAAGCCCTCAGGACGGGATGGTCGGCGGAAAATACTCGAATAATCACTTCACACAATCAAGAACAACCGTCAGGCCACACCCGTCGAACTTCCCCAACCATGTCGTCGTCAATGAACACCATCCTCATCATCGGAGGCACGTCAGGCATCGGAGAAGTGTTCGCCAAACGCTTCCAATCGATGGGCAAGAAAGTCATCATCACCGGCCGACGCAAAGAGCGCCTCGCCAAGCTCGAGAAAGAGGGTTTCGGAACGTACGCCTTCGACATGGCCGACCTGTCCTCGGCCGCGTCGCACGTCGAGAAGCTATTTTCAACCTACCCGGACATCGACACCGTGTGGATCAACGGCGGCATCCAGAACCACTTCGACGTGACGGACGTCTCCAGCATCGATGACAAAGAAATCGAGCGCGAGATCACCACGAACTACATGGCGCCCGTGATCCTCGCTCGCCACTTCATCCCTCGCTTGCTGGCGCAGAAGAAAGAAACGCAGCTGATGATCACCTCTTCCGGCCTCGGCTTCGTGCCAGTCGGCCGCATGTTCCCCGTCTACTGCTCGACAAAAGCTGGCATCCATTCGTACCTGGTCGGCCTCCGGCAAGCGCTCAGCGACACGCAAGTCAACGTCATCGAGCTCGTGCCGCCTTTCGTCGGCGACACAGAGATTGTTCAGAATTACGACGGCAAGGTCAAACTGCCGCCTGCGTTGTCGCTGCAGGACTTTGTCAAGCAGGTGTTTGAGCAGTTGGATAACACACCCGCGAAGGAGTTGAAGGAGGTTGTGGCGGGCACGAGTGCAGATCGGGTGAATGGGTGGAGGAGCGGGATTGATCCGTTGCTGAAGAAGCTGGAGCTTGGAGGTTGAGATGTCAGGCCGGTAGGAATAATGCGGCATGAAAGCTTTCAGTCATAAGTATCGTTAAGCGTTCGTCAACATCGTCCCACCCTCAAATCTTCGTAAATCATGCCGAGCCATCGAATACCATCTTGCTTCCCAATACACATCCACCCTCACCCACCACCAAACTCCCCAACCCCCTTGGAGCACATCTCAATGCACTCCATCATCCCCTCCCTCCGCTCCGCCTTCTCCTCCGTCCACACGCGGAACCAATTCTCCGCCGAATTCACCGCCGCAGCACCCACCACCGCGCCCCCAAGCATCTTCAGCCGGCGCACATTCTTCCGCTGCTTCTCCTCCTCCTCCGTCGGAATGTCCTTGTCCATCACCTCGTAATCATGCCACCGCTTGACCGTCACGACGCCCAGGGCAGCGCCCGCGCTCGCGGCTATCAGCCCGTCCCAGCTGGTGTCGAAGTTGCGCTCGAAGAACGTGCCGTCTTTGCGCGTCTTCATGCTGTACCATAGCCGCCCGCCCGTCTGGCCGTCGAGCAGGTCTTTGTTGGGCGAGATGTGGGACTGGCGCGGGGCGCCGGTGGCGTACAGGCCTTTGGGGTCTTGGGAGTTGTTTTCGTTGTCTTTGTTGTTTTGTTGCCCTCCTCCTCCTCCTCCTCGCTGCGATTGTTGGTCGCGGGATTGAGACTGTTGGCCACGGGATTGCGATTGCTGTTGCCCGCGTGACTGCGACTGCTGACTTCGCGACTGCTCGCTCTGCGCCCGTCGACTCCGCCGGCTCGACGATCCCCTCGCATCCCTCGAAGCATAGCTTCCGGAAGGAGGCGGAGAAGAACCACGTCTCCTCTGGCCCTGTCCACCACGCTCATCATCCCCGCGACTCCTCCCCCCTTTCGGCACCGCATACGCCTCATCCGCACCCCGCTGCTTAGCCCCTTGTCTCGCGGAGCGCGAGTCGCTGTCATTATTATCCGAATCGCTCTTGCGGAGCACAAGGCTCTTCTCCGGCTCGCCGTAGAAAGCGGCCAATTGCGCCTGCCGGATTTGATCGATTTGGTCGCTTGACACGTCGATTACTCGCGTGGTAGAGCGTTTCGATGGCCGGGCGCTTGCGGCCGTCGACCCGCCGCCGCCGCCGTAGCTGTCGTTGTAGTAGGCATCGTAGTTCCCGTATTGCGGCATGTTGAATGGTCGCGATGGGTTGAGGGGAGGAATCGGAAAGGATGAGGATGTCAGAGAAAGGAGGCCATGAATGCGATGAATGAATGAATCTTGCCCGCCCGCCCGCCCCGTCGTACATGACGGCCGGGGATTGCGCGGCAGGGAATGTGCGGTGTGGCTGCATGCAACCCAACCAGCACGCACGCCTACGTCAAACTGCAGAAACAAGCTCTTGGGCAAGCTTTTGCCCTGCAAAGACCAAGCTCGATTGGGCAGTTGCCACGAGGGTTGTGGCCACGCACGTCACGCCGCATGTCTTTGCGAGGCCTGGCCTTTTGACGAGGAGCGTGGATGTGGAATGGATGTGTAAGTGTGTGATGAAGTTTCCGTTCGTTGATTTGCATGCTGAGTATATAATCGTTAAAATCTGACCGTCGACTCCGCCCCCAGCCTTGCCCTCAAGCACCGGCGTCCATAACCTCGTAACCCGTAACTCCGTGCTCGTCGTACAAATCAATGCAATCTAGATAGGCTCATCCCTCGGCTCAATCAAAACCTCATTAACAGCAACGTGATCCGGCTGCTTGAGCGCATACACAATCGACGCCGCTACATCATCGGGATCCAAAATCGCCGCCCCAGACGGCTCGCCATACTGCTTCACAGCCTCGGTATCAGTCGACATGTTCAGCAAATCCGTCGCCGTGTTGCCCGGCTGCACGCTCGTGACGCGCAGCCCCTTGCCCGCCGTCTCAAGGCGCAGACTCTGCAGCGCGGCTTCGACGAAGAATTTGCTGGCGGAGTAGACTCCAAGGCCCGGGAAGACTTTGCGCCCTGCGTCGGAGGAGATGGCGACGATATGCCCTGCGCCGCGCGAGAGCATGCCCGGGACGGTGGAGGCGATGCAGTGAAGCAGGCCTTTGCAGTTGACGTCGACGGTTTGCTCCCATTGCTGCGTGTGCCCGTTGGCCATCATTGTGAAGTACATTACGCCCGCGCAGGATACCAGGATGTCGATTTGGCCGAGCTCTTGCTCTGCTGTGCGCATGAGATCCTCCACTTGATCTGCTTTGGTGACGTCCGTTTGTTTTGTAATCACTTTGCCCGAGCGGACTACGAGTCGGCGTTTGACGGATTCGAGGGCGTCGGTGCGACGTGCGGCTAGCACAATGTGGCATCCTTCTCGTGCCAAGGCAGTAGCGACTGCTGCTCCGATGCCAGACGAGGCGCCAGTGATGACCGCCACGCGTCCGGTGAGAATACTCTTGCGAACGGGCTGGGCGGCAGATCCGCCGAGTGCCAGGGTAGTAGTCGGCGGCTTAGACAACCATCCTCTTGCGAACCAATGTCGAGCATAAGTCTCTAGCAGGACCAGGTCCACCTTTGGTCGCTCGACAATGGCACGATATGGCCTAGTCTGGGCGTTGTTGAGCACCACAATCCCTCTCAGGAACTCTACGCTCGGCATGCCGCTGCGCAGGACATCGACGGTGAATGCGCCATCTCCGCCGGATACGGATCCGCGCTTCTCATTCCAAAGCGCAACCCAATCGTCGAAGGGGATCCGCTTGGTTGGGTAGCCAAGTGTCTCCAAATCGTCAAAGACGACCGAAGTATCGACGGGGTCCGGGTCGCCGAGATGGAAGACAAGCTGCTTCGCGTGCGTCTGGTTGCCGAGGTGGACGATAGCTTTGCTCACGAAATCGACAGGAGTCATCTCCGCGCGCCACCCTTCGACGTCCGGTGCGCATCCCAGCCGCATGGATTCCACGAAGAGAGCAGTGAGCAGATCCCAGGCGTTGGAGGCGCCGGTCGCACTGTGCCCGCTGATGGTACCACAGCGTAGGATTCTTACGGGCAGGCCACGGCGGCCAGCCTCGTACACGAGCTGCTCCGCGACCCATTTGGATTGGCCATAGCCATCAATCAGCTTCTCCGGAACGGCATCCACCCAGATCATCGAATCCTCAGGCCAGCCATTGCCAGACGGGCTCGGGGGCAAAACACCATTGGTAGAGACATATTGGACGGTCGCGCCACCGAGGCAAGCCATTCGCAGAATTTCTCGCGTGCCTCCAACATTGTCATTCCTCAGAGCTGCGTAGGGATAGACGAGGTTGACGTTGGCGGCTGCGTGGACAATGACTTGCACGCGCTTCGCTAGGTCGTTGAATTTGTCCGGAGACAGGCCGAAGCGTTTGCTTGACAGATTGCCGGGAAGAATCTCGATGCGTTCCATGATGGAGTCTTTCCAGACCTAGATTCATGATATTAGCACTTGTTTCTTGGAAATGAATGCAGCTGTTGACTTACCCCATAGTCGATGAGATTTCGTCGGAGCTTGGCAATACCAGCAGGAATTTGATCTTCACCTGTTTCGCGGAAGCGGACGAGACACACGATACGAGCTGAAGTGCTCTCCAGTAAGTCGTTAAGCAAGAAGGCTCCCAGAAAGCCAGTGGCACCAGTCAGCAAAACGGTCTCCGCTGACTTGAGGGAGATGATCTTGGAGCCGGTGGGAGGCTTGATGTCGGCGTCGAGTTGGCTATCAGCACGAAGGGCAGCAACGAGGTCTGACTGTACAGCCTCGATCTGGCCGTTACGCACTCCTCGAACTGTCGCCAGATGACCGGAGAGTGTAATGGGATCGGCAAGTCTTGCGACCGGGATGCGGAAGCCAAAGTTGCGAGAAAGTCTCGCGGCCAGTTCTGCTAGTGAAAGCGAATGGCCGCCGAGGTCGAAGAAGCTGTGCTCCGATTGAATCATGCTTCGCGGGATATTGAGTGTCGAGGCCCAGACCTCCGCAATGTCGTCGATGCTGATAGGGTCTTTCTCCTCCTTCTTCCCGTTTCCGGCGGGTGAGATCGGTCGGGAAGGTGGCGGCAGGCGGTTGAGGTCGACTTTGCCACTCACCTCGTGAGTGGGAAGCGAGTCGAGGCTGACCCAGAGCGCTGGCAGCATGTATTGAGCGAGCGACTGCGCCAGTGCCCGACGACCAGAAATGCTGTGTCCAGCCTCATCGATCTCAATGAGTGGTCGCTCGGTGGTGGCTTCAGCGTCATCTCGGACGATGTAGGCAACAAGTTGTCTTTCCAAGCCTTCTCCATGAGCGACCACCGCGCACTGCTTGACAGCAAGATGCGAGACGATGGCGTTCTCCACCTTGCCGGGAACGACAGAGTATCCTCTCAATTTGATCATGTCCCCAACTCTTCCAGTGATTTCAAGGAGGCCCGAGGGCAGTATTCTCGCCTGATCTCCAGTCTTGTACATGCGTGCACCGGGGGTGGAGTCGTATTGATCGACCGTGAAGGCTTTCGCCGTTGTCTCCGGTCGATTGACGTATCCGCGCGCGAGTAGAGGTCCACCAACAAAGAGTTCGCCAATCGTGCCATGCTCGACGCGTTTTCCAGCGTCGTCCAGCACATAGGCGTGCTTTGGGTCCAGAGGCGGGCCGACTGGGCAGTAAAGGGCTTCGGGATCGAGCATCTCTTTGATTTCGCCACATGCAATCTCGTGTGTTTCGCAGGCCGAGTAAACATTGAGCAATCGCACTTGGGGGAGAAGCTTCATTGCTCGCCGTGCCAGGTCTGTTGTGACGACTTCTCCGTTGAGCCATAGCGTTCGTAGTTTGGGTAGTCTCGATCCAATGTCGGAATGGCGAGACAATGCAGCGGCCAGCAGTGTCGGGGTCATAAGCGTCTCCGTGGCATTCGTAGCAGCAAGAAGGTCGACCAGGGCCACCGGGTCGTAGCTCGTCTCATCGGGCACACAAATGACTGTTGCCCCTCGGAGCAGTGGGCGGAGAATCTCCCAGACAAAGAAAACATTACATGCGACACGGTCTCCCTGTTGAAGATTGGAGACACGGAATCTCAAATCATAAGAAAGGACCGCAGCGCGATGGGGGTTTGCAATGCCTTTGGGGGCTCCTGTGGTTCCCGAGGAGTATGCAACGAACGCCAAACGATCCAGATCATCCTCGTTGGGAAGAGGAGCTGGATCCTTTGCGTGTCCGTTGACTTCTGCGCGCGGCTGATCGAGGGCAATGGTGGGAACGCCCTCTTTGATCTTACCAACCTCGGAGGTGTAGGTGAGGACGACGGCGGGATTTGCATCCTCGACCACATCGGCCAGCAGCTCTGGGGGGTATGCCAACTCGAGCACCAGAAATGCACCGCCAGCTCGCAGGGCAGCGAGACAGGCGATTATGTAATCCGCGCCTCGAGGCAGCAAAACGCCGACCAGCGTATCTCGCGACACTCCATAGTGCCGGATCAGGTCTGCAAGCTCTTCCACTCGGTCGTCGAGGTCGGTGTAGGTGAAGATTCGCTCGCCATCGTCGACTGCGATGGCATCGGGGGTCTGTTGCACTTGTTGGCGGAAAAGAGCACACAGATCTTTTCGGGTATCGAGGACGGCCATGAGGCGTGGAATCCAAAAATATCCCAAAAGAAGGGTATAAGGAAATTGGCTGGAGCAACAAAGGACGAGATATCAAATGCCTTTTCTAAGATGATTGCGGATGTCGGGGATCAAATAGGAGTCGGCAGAGTGAATCGCAAGCATCCTTGGCTTCAGGACAGACGACCCCATCGTTGAGTGGTGGTGGGTTTATGAACTTCCTCGCCCATGCGTTACCGGCCACTACACATGCACGGAGATGACGTGCCTAATGGAACCAGGCCCGTACCAAGCGTGCCTGGCAGTGCTGGCAGACGCGGTCGGCATCGCATCGGGTGATTTTATCCCAAGGACGACGCTCGGTCGGCCCCCAGGATGACGCGAGATGCCATGGAAGATGCACGTGTGGCCGCGAGCGATCGCTCGTCAGCCCGGCGCGGCGATGTAGATGCGGGTACCAAGCTGCCCGTTAACGGAAGAGAAGAGTGCACGAGTGGAGGTTGAGCGCGCCGTTTTTCTCGGTCGCGGTTGCCGTCATGGGCCGAGCGTGTGGCGCACCGCCCAGAAAGTTCCGCAGAGCGCCTCCGAACACCGAGTCTCCGTCATCGCACTAGGCCTCGCGCGCGTGGCAAATCCCAAGCGAACGTCTTGCAGCTGCGCCGGCCGGTTTGGACAACTCTCGTCACTGCCGAGTCCTGCCTGAGGCATTCAAGGGCTCCTTCAATTGCTGGATCACACAGAATGAGCCAGGCCGGGGGCCTTGCCACATCAACAGCATCACCTGTAGTGGAACATGCGCAAAGGAAAGATCCACCAGAACCTTGATCGAAGCATGACAGCAATAATATAGTAATAGAAAGCTCTGCTCGCCTCACGCAGGCGGAGTTGACGACTTGCCCCAACCACTGTGCAGCAACGCCTCAGCCCTCTTCTCCGGTGTCTGGAAGAACTCAACGATAGCAAAGACCCCCGACCCAATTGTCGCCATGCTACCAATGTAGACGCACATCCAGCCGACAATCTGGAGGACATCCGTGGCAAACCAGCCCACCATCGCCGCGATAAGTGTGAAGACGAGCGTGACCAAGAACACAATTCCTGTAATCAGCGTCAGCGGACTGTAGATGCAGTGCGCAAGACGATCCGAGTCGTACCTGCAACGAATCGCCGAAGCGGATGCTCTTTGCGCTCCTGCGTAAACCTCCGGAGATGCACTTCGCGACACACAACCCAGCTGCACAAATTCCGATTAGCAAGTGTATCCAAGGGAAATTAGACCGTAGCTAGAAGACGTCTTCCACTTACCCGTCCTCCGCCCCAAAAATATCACGATACATAGACACAGGATAAGTGCGCAGCTCCCGCCCCGTGCCAGCATTCCACTTGCTCGCCACCCTCCTCGCATGGTCGATGCCCGAGCCTCGCGACCGCATCACGGCCACCAGGTAGTCGCGCACCTGGTCCGGCGTCGCCTTGTCCTCGGGCGTCTTGAGGTCGTGCTCGCTGACGTCGTGGTGCTCCTCGTACAGCGGCAGCGACTCGGCCGCGTCTGACGACAGCCGAGACTCTTCGTCGTTCATGAGGCCCATGGTGATGTGTGCGATGAGGGGATGCGAGGTGTATTGGTTGTGTACAGGTGGAGAGTTGGGAGTGGGAGGATGGAGGGATTGAAGTTGGTTACGTTGCTGCCTTGCGGAGGGTGGCGCAGATGGAAAGCCAAATCCCTCAAAGCCCGATCCAGCGAATTTGGCCGGATTGTTCGGAATCGCGGATACGTTGAGATGTTGATGTTTGTCCAAGATACGAGACAGTTCTACAACACTTGCAGGTGTCCCTGAAGTTTCGCGATGTTACTCGGTTTGAAGAATTGCTTCTGTTCACTAGATACTCCTGCGGCCACACACGGCAAGCAGGACACATGGTATCTTTCCCCCAACGCCATCGCTAAACTACAGACAAAATCCAATGCCTCCTCAATCCTCGCGATTCTCCGGCAGCATAGCCAACGGCACCGGCCTCCCGTGAAAGTCGCAAGAATTAAACCTCCACGCCCCGCGATGCTTGCCAGAGAAGTACAGCTTGACGGCGCAGCGCGTCGACGTCGACAAATGCGGAAAGTTGTTGCCATTCTCGTATGACCGATCGCTGTTGCCGAGCACAAACGGCAGCACCTTGTACTTGACTTTGTCGTCTTCAAACTGCACCGCGACCTTCTGCGCTTCGAGCCAGCAGCGCCGCAGCCCCTCGCAGTCGAACTTGTTCATGCTGAGGAGAAAGTCGATTTCGTCGTGCAGATGGTGGGTGAGCGCCGGGGCGAAGTCCATGATCATCTTGTTCATCGTCCGCCAGCGGTAGAGGTAGGGTCTGTCGACGGCTGTCTCGGCGTATTCTTTGAGGTAGTACAGGCCGAGCGAGAACTCTTCGTGCTGTTCTTCCATTTCGTCCATCAGGTCGGGGACTTCGGCCATCTGCTCGATGTGCGGGAAGAGCGTGGAGTGCTCGACGTTGTGGTGGTGTTCCAGGGTGTCGCACCAGGCCGTGACATAGACCAAAAAGTCGGAGACGTCTTGCGCGTGGTAGCCGGGTTGTCTCGCGTCCGGAACGTGAGGGCCTTGTTGCACGATCGAGTTCAGGCCGCGCAGGATCATGTTGTGGATGGAGGCCATTTCAGATGCGACGAATACGGCGCCGCTTTCGGACTGACACGGGCTGTCAGCTTACTCTTCTGCGATCTCCACGATGCTGGGGAGTAGTACCATGGACTTTCTAGGGGTGGGTATGAGGCGAAAGGGAGTGTCTGCCCATCCTGTGGTCGATGAGGATGGTTTGGATGTGTGTCGGTGGAGTGGCCTGAATGATCGGGGTGCCTTCTCGACACTCTCGACACTGCGCTCAGAGGCGAACGAGGTCTTGGGCGAGCGGACATGCATTGTGATGGAGAGATGTGGTGAGTCGTGGAGAGAGAAGAGGAGGGGTGTGTTGCAAAGGACAGTCGGGTTGATGAGTGAAAACAAGAACAAGCAACTCAGAGCGCAGCCAAGATAGTTATACGGCCGCAACACCTACCTCTCGTATCCAAATATACTCCTTTCCCCGCCATGGATCCAGAGACAAGGGCAATGGAGCCGGTGGAGAGAGTCGCATCACGAGCGTTTGGCTGTCACCCATGATCAGGCACTCGTTTTACGAGCACACCTAAACTTAGCCCCTCCACAACTCGCCGCCACGAACTCAAAAGGTAGGAATTGACGACAGGGCTGCTTGCCAAGTTGAAGCGACGGTGACATCCCGCCAATGAGGCCGCAGAATAAAAGAATAGCGTTACGGGGTACCGCCGAATGGACCGCAGAGCTTCGCCAGCTAATTGCCCTAGGTTGCATTGGTTTTGGCAGTAAAATGTCTTGAGTTGCATTGGTTTCGCCAGCAAATACCCGAGTACGGCTAGACTCAAATCTCGACCGCGGAAGACGGCCTCCACATCCCTGCGGCTAGATGCTGCGGTCTTTTTTTCGGGCGTTTCCACCACAATCACGCAACGCGCCACCTTATGCAAGGAACGAGCACATCACTCCACGTTGTTCATCGGGTTGATGTGACGCAAGCCTGTCCTGACCCCTTGATTTTCTTCCCGCGGTGACGAGCTGGCGTTCAGGAAAGGAATTGCTCCCATTGGATCACGGGTTGTAGCATGGCTCGTCTGGTCCCTGGACGCCTAGAACGCTGGCACGCCGTACCCCAGAAGCATGTGAGAAATACGTCCGGCGTTACATTTTGTCCGCCAAGGATCTGCTCTCGTGACAAGTCGCCGATGTCTGAGCAGGTTTGCACGCAAGGAGATACCAAACCGAGTGGTGACCCTTGTTGGCCTGCAGTGCGATGTTGGGTTGCAGTGCGATGATGGCAACGAGGAGCCCAGAACCAGTCCTGACCAGCAATGATCCAGTCATCATCCAAGGCAAACGTGCTCATTAACGTCACTCCGAAAGGCCACGACGTCAATACTGGTCAGGACTCGGGGGGATGAGCAGGGAACGTAGTCAGCGAATGGCTGCAGTCACGTTCGTTCAGCTACGTAATCATAATGCAAACTCATCATCATCGGAGTCCATTCATCCCCTCGTACAAAGAGGTAGTGTAGCAGGCGTCTACCAGAACTTCGAGCTCGGTTTAGCCCACAGCTTCATCGAGCTCGGTTTGGCCCACACCGTCTTTGGGCTCGGTTGGTACCACAGCATCGAAACCTGCCCGAAAAGAAGGCCAGCAAGGAACGTGAAGCCGAGTAGAAGAAGGAGCGTCAGGCATCCGAGCATAAATATTATCTGCTTTCCAAGAGTGCGGATCGCCAGCGATACGATCCAAAAGCCGAGCGCCTGGCCACGAGGCGATGGGGTATGCTGTGCGGATGGCGAGCTGACCGGCTCGGTCTAGTACATGAGGTCAGATGACGTTCTCGCAGAAAGGTACATATACAATGGCGCAACTCACGTGGTGCGGCTCTGCTGGAACAGTGTGCGGGATATCGGCAGACACGGGCGGGACTTCCTGGATCGATATCAGCATCGCGATCTCACTCATGATGAAAGAGGGACTGACCGCTTCACGACGGTTCAGCTTGCGTTTGCGCTCCTTCATCTTGCGTTGCCGGACTTCGAGCGGTGACGGATAGCGTCTTGTCATTTTCCTACGCAGAAGCTGATTAGCAACCACATCATCTGTGTGCAGTAAGAATATCAGACTCACTCTCTCGCACTTGGTCATGCGTTGAGGAAGCGTGGATGATTCCGATGTGAGAACTGTGGCGTTTGTGTGTGTGAGAAGAGTGACGTTGAACGTCTGTGCTGCGTGCGAGTGCATACGCCAAACCCAAGATGTAGGGAAGGAGCACATCACTACGAGGAAGGAGCATACCCTCCAACCCAGGGAAGGCGCGTCCATCACCTCGCACTCTCACCCAACCCAACCACACCACCCCCAGCCCTCGGCCCGCCTTCATTAGCCATACTCAACCTCGCACACAACCCCAAAAACACCACCGTCTCCGTCGCGGCCAAATAATTCAGCGCGTCCAGCAGAATCTTCAAATGCCGGGAAAAGTGGTCTTCGTATTGCTGCAGGATGGAGAAGAGCTTGTCGAGTTTTGCCGGGTCGTGTTGGATGGAGGAGGAGGGTTTGGGAGATTCTGGGTCGGCGGCGGCGAGGTAGCGGCTGAGGGAGGAGGTGTAGTTGGCGAACATTGTGCAGGTTGCCATTACTTTGGAGTTGATCTGTGGTCTTTGTTAGTGCTGTATGGGAGGGTGAATGGGGCTCGTTGTGGAGACTCACTCTCAAGAGCTTGGAGTTGGTTAGCATGCATTCTTTCAGACACGTCGCCAAGAAGTCGACATGGTCCTGCATCAGCTCGTCCACGGTTCGTTTGACGCCTGCCCCAGATTCTTGCGACTGGCCCTCAGCTTGCGTCTTCTCACCCTCTTCTTCTTGGTTCAATCGGCTCATAAAGGCGACCCAGTTTGGCTCGATGACCTCGCTCGTACAGAAATACAGCAATTGCTGGACGAAGCAGAGCATCCGACTTCGCAAGCACCATGCTCTTCGCTTCCAGTCCTCCACTTTCTTCGCGTGCGCGTCTTTGGTTTTGTTTCTCCTCGTCCACACGGGCACTTTGTTGTGCTCTGTCCACGCACTCGTCAACAGCGTCTCGAGATGTCTCAATGACAGAAGATACCGAAAGAGGAGTTGATACCGCGTGAGGGTGACGCGGCTCACGACGAGAGAGAGCGGGAATGGAACGGCGTAGTCCAGAGTCAAAGCCTCGTAGCCTGAGATGTCTTTCTCGCTGTCTCCACTAGTGCTCACCGGCGCCGGTGTGTAGGTGGAAAGGGTGGTGGCGTCTGCGTCCATGCCTTGCACGTTCACCACTCGCATCAGCCAGCCCGTCAGTCCGACATCGTTCATCACGACTTTGACATCTTCTTTGAATGGATCTTCCGCCGCCACGGAGCCCGGCTGTCGAAGTACAATATCGAGCAGGCTTTGTAGCTTCGACACGTTCACATTCTTTGCCGGTTTCTTGAGCTCGGAATGAGTGAGCTCCAAGAAGTAAGAGAAGAAGTCGGAGCGATCGAGGAAGAAGTAGTGCTTCAGACTCTTCAGCCGAGCGGGCAGCGCGTGTGTCGTCAAGAGCAGGCTCATCAAGCTTCGATTCGCAAAAGCGTATGCGCCGCTCACGTTCTCCAAAAACCGAGGATCATCGAAGGTGTGGGGAACATCCGTGCTGGCGTCGAGGTCGCGGTTGGGGTTCGCGATTCCGCCGCATTCGCGCACCACATTCAGATACTTTCCAGCCAGCAGCACCTTTTCCTTCACCCCCTCCAATTGTGACGGCATCAGGTCGGGACGAATGGTGTACCGCTTTTCCCAGTACTCGTCGGTGTAGTCCTGCTCCAGCCCTTCCCTTCGGATAGACTTCTGCTCCTTGATCAAGAATTCGCCATGGGGGTCCCGCACATTGCCATGGTGCAGCCATTCGTTGAGCATAGCCATGTACGGCCGGCTCGCTTCTCGAAGCAGAGTCGTGAGCAGCTGACGAGCCGCAGGATCGCCCGACATGGTTGACAGTCGTTTGCCGATCAGTCGAAGTATGGAACCTCCTTTACAGACCTTCTTTGCGCCTGGCAGCGCTGTATCTCGGCCTTCTCGCAGAGATTCCAGAATGTTCTCGAATTCGTCGTCGGCTTCCAAGGAGTCGTCGGGGTTGTCGAGCATGCTATTCTCTCTCAGTACCTCGTTGGCGACGGTATAAAGCTGTAGCATCATGTGCGACGTCTGCTTCGTATGCAAACTCAGTTGATGAAGAGTGAAATCAGAATTCGTCAGTAGCTGGTGTTCGAGCTGCGCAATCAGAATGAGATAGTCTTTCAACAGTTTCCTCATCGCCGCACAGAGCGCATGGTTCACGCTGCCAAAGTCCTCCCGCGACTGCACCTCCACAAACGCTTCAACGGCGCAGTAGTGAGTTGCGGTCTTGAGCATACTATGCGCCAGATCACGCAGGCTGGGATCCAGGCCATTCTCGATGCGAAAGTCAGGCCCCGATAGTCGGCTCTTCTCATCCAGAGGTTGATATGTGTCGGTGTAGCGGATATAGTTGCCTTCGAAGCCCATGAAGACGAAAAGTAGATCCTCGATGATGGCTGTTTCTTGCTCGGCTAGAGATAAAGAGTTCAGAGGCTTGGGTCGGAGAGCCTCCGGGACGTGAGAGGCCAGAGGGGGCACGGAGATGCGGGAAGCCAATGGAGCCGTGGACGGCGGAAGTAATGTGGCCTGCGGACTCCATGATGAAGACACTACAGCGGGAGTCACTTTCCTGCCGTAGGGGCTATCTGATTTTGAAGGCTGAGAGTTTGACAGGCGGCTCTGTCGTCCAATGGAATTGCTCTCTGTCGGCTTCAGTGGGCTCCTTAACGTTCTTCGAATAGCGGCCTCCTGCGACACGATATTGCGTTGGGTCTCGGTGGTAGTCGTCGTGACGGTGGCCGTCTTGCGCTTCTCCCCCGCCCGATCGTTTGCCCGATTTTCCTGATCTGAAGGAGAGACGGCGGCTGTCATGCGGGCCTTTTGGCGCACGGCGGCGGATGCTCTGCGCTCAGCCAGGCTGGCGGCTCGCGAGTGCGATTGGGTAGACATCGCAGCCTGGAAGCATTGCCCGCGCCGAGTATCCTCGCGGTTGCTGGCGTCAGTGTCGCATTTGTTGATTCGCGGAGTGAGGTGCAACTTGGTGGCCCCGCGACGCGATTAAGCTCGGACGCGTGTGAATTGGCCCGAAGTTTCTCCGGCGCAGCCAGGCAGCTTTACCTGACGACTGCCATCTGCCTCGAGCAAACGGGCAATTCATCCATCATCTCGCCCTGTGTCACTCTCTCATTCTCTTACTCCTCAACCACACCACCTCCATCGTCGCCCTGCTTTCAAAGGCACTGGAGCTGTCATCACCCGCTACCCTCCCTCTCAACAAATCTCACACACACCGCCAACATGTTCATAGCACGATCAGAATATGGTAAGCATTCATAGCCCGTCAATACCAATCACAAGCTAACCCGGTCTAGATCGTGGAATCAAGTATGGCCCCCCATCACACCTCCCAACCCCCCATCTAACCCCATCGACAGCACATTCTCCCCCGAAGGCCGCCTCTTCCAAGTCGAATACTCCCTCGAAGCCATCAAGCTCGGCAGCACAGCAATAGGCGTCTCCACCGCCGCAGGCGTCATCTTAGGCGTGGAGAAGCGCATAACCAGCACACTGCTGGAAACCTCCTCAGTGGAGAAGATTGTCGAAATCGACCGCCACATCGGCTGCGCCATGTCCGGGCTGCAGGCCGATGCGCGCAGCATGATTGAGCACGCGCGCGTCACGAGCCAGAGCCACGAGTTCCATTACAATGAGCGGTTGGGGGTGGAGAGCTGCACGCAGGCGATTTGCGATTTGGCGTTGCGGTTTGGCGAGGGCGCTGAGGGGGAGGAGAGTATTATGTCGCGGCCATTTGGTGTGGCGCTGTTGATCGCTGGGTATGATGAGGAGGGCCCGTCGCTGTATGTGGATGTCTGCTACCCTGTCGGCCTTCTATTTTACTAATCTGCTCTAGCTACCACGCCGAACCCTCGGGCACATTCTACCGCTACGACGCCAAAGCCATCGGCTCCGGGTCCGAGGGCGCCCAAGCCGAGCTGCAGAATGAATTCCACAAGAGCTTGACGCTGGAGGAGGCAGAGGTGCTGGTGCTGAAGACGCTGAAGCAAGTGATGGAGGAGAAGCTGGACAGCAATAACGTGCAGCTGGCGAGCGTGACGCGCGACAAGGGGTTCAGAATCCACACGGACGAGGAGATGGCTGGAGTGGTGTCGAGGCTGGAAGGGAGCGGTGCGTGAGGTGGATACGGAAAACGTAGAGTTTCATTTGGCTTTGTAGATGTGGCTGGCATTGCGGTGGCGCCGGGACTGAATCACTTTGCAGCGCTGCACTCTAACTAGCTCTCTTTTCCTCCACCGAAGACGCTACTGGAGCGTGGGTATTGTGCTAGAGCGGGCTGGTCGTTCAAAGATTGTCCCGGCCGGCTTTCGCCTCTCTACACAGAACCCTGGCAGGATGGGTTCACGTCTTTGGTGCGTTGGGTTTCCTGTTACTGATCGCTTTCGTCCACGTGGGTCACTCATTCATCTTCACTGCTCTCCCCAGCCTGCTGCTCCTCCCTCTGCCGCCGCGCGAGGATATTATGCCAATCCCTCGCAAACTCCCTCAGTCCTTCCCCATTCTGACTGGCGTCCACCACATCTTTCGGAAGTTTGTGAGCGCTGTACTGCGTGGAACTGAACGCATACGCTTCCGGGTCGTTTTGACGGACGAGGCGGAATTCCGGGTGCCAGATTTCTTCGTCGACGTCTGAATCGTCTTCCGAGGAGCCATCCTCATCGTCATCAGCGTTTTCGCCATCGTATTGATCTGGGATACGACTCGCTGCTTCTCGCAACGCTTCCCGGATATCCTGCGGCACAGCGCCCATCTGTAAGCGCACCACCTCCGGACCCTCGTCAGCTTCGACAGCAGGCGGCTCAGGCATAGTCAGGATCTCCAGCCAGCTGAAAAGCAAAGGGTCGGTTCGTGGGGCCCAGGGGTTGAAATCCACGAGCCAGACTCGATTGTACGGATTCGGGATGTAGACGTCAAAGGTGTAGTTCTCGTCGGGGAAGGTGCCTCTGATTCGCACGTCGAAGAATTCTTGAATTAGAGAGCGGAGGTTGGGGGTCATCTTGAAAAGGAAGTCAAAGTAGTTGAGGTCGCGCTGGCAGATGCAGAGGAGGCGGTTGTTGCGCACGAAGCACCGGAATTCAACGGAGGGATTCCATTGTGGGACTGCTTTGCGGAGAACGAGATGGTAGGGGATGGAGTCCGGGGTGAGGGTGAGGTCTGTGGAGTCCTCGGTGTCGTCGAAGGCGTGCTCTAAGTCGTGCGTGACGAAGTCGGAGCTTTTGAGCAGGAGGTAGATGTCGCTGGGGTTGCGACACTCCATGCTATTGGCGTTCATCCAGGTGGCGTCTTTCGGCGCGGACCAGTTGAGTTTGGGATAGACCTTGCCGCCCAGCTCGGCGATGGTGGCTTTGATGGCGTTGTGGATGCCTCGCCACTCGGCCGCGACGTCGCCTTCGTCATCGTCGTCGACGCCATCGGTGTTGTCGGATGCGGAGAAGATGCCGCTGTCCGTGTCGGACCACTGGGGAGGTGGCTCCTCGTCTGAAGGCAGCAAGATGCCGTCTGCGCGGAGATAGTCGAGGAATGGTCGGGACAGGGGGACCAGCCGAGCCTTGGGAGTGATGTTACGGAATCTATGGCATATCGTTAGCTGCGATTTGGTCGATCAGGTCGCATGGTGTGGCGCATACTTTGGATGCCAGGAATGGTATGAGCAGTGGAGGATGTGCTGTTTGGTGATGGGCGGAAAGGGGAGTTCCGTGGGTGTTTCGGCGATGTCTTCGTCTTCTTCCAGTATTTCTGGCATCTTTGCTTGAGTGATGTGTGAGATATAGAAGACAGTTGGAAGAGAGACGAGCGAGAGTGACTCCATCATTTTGTTCGTCTTCAGATGATGCGCCACCGAGCGCCGGCCGAGGATTTGCCGAGTCGCCCATCTTCACGACGAGACGACTTCAACTTCCTCCACCTTCACTACTACATACCTCTCAACGACACTCATATCCCCGCTGAATACGCCAAAATGTCCTCCAACGTCGGACTCAGCACTCCGCGCGGCTCAGGAACGTCCGGCTACGTACAAAGCAACAAAGCACACCTCCGAGTCCGCGATCCCATCCAGCCCTACCCCAAAGACTTCGATGCGATCAAGCACAAGCAACGCCAGCCCGACCAGGAAATTCTCGAGCACGATCGCAAACGAGAGGTGGAAGTGAAGGTATTTGAGTTGAGGGATAAGTTGGAAGATGAAGGGTGAGGCACATATACTCGAAGGCGCAGTGCTCCTGTCCTTTCACTAACGTCAACCCAGTGTCGATGAAGACGAAATAGACGATCAGTGCGATGCGCTCCGCAAAAAGCTGGAATCTGAGCGAGCAAGGACTGGTGGAGGACCGAATACGAAGAACCTCAAGAGCCATCAGGTGCATGAGTTGGCTAAGGCGAAGATTGATGAGAGCGAGAGATTGCGGAAGGCGCTGGGGATAAGCAAGGATTATGAGGAGGGCAGTCATTGGAAGCGGCAAGACGAGAGGAAGCTACAGCTGGAGCGGGAGAGGGGTAAACCAGCGGAGTGAAGGGCATTGTCGACGGACATGTTGGTCTTAGCGAGGCGTTGGGGTAGTTTGACATTCATTAGCCAGCGATTGAGAAGTCTCGAACAGTTGGCGTATACTGCTATACGTGTACGCCACCTCTACGTGCATACATCACGCAATGTTCATCGCTACGGTAGCGCTCGACTCCTTTTCCTGCACAACCTCCATGAATGCATCGAGTCCTTCCACCGTTGCGGCATCCGTCACCTCCACCGCCGTCTCTTTGATGGGAATCCAGGAAATCTCAGACGACTTCATCTCGAGCCCAAAGGCATTCGTGATGGCCTGAGAGACAGCATTGGTATCGCTCGGCTCGCAAAGCAGCGTAATCTCCCCATCCTCCGCCTCTTCAATGTCCTCGACCCCAGCATCGAGAGCAACATCCATCACCTGCTCCAGCCCCTTGCCCGGCGCCCCCTCAAACACCAGCTTCCCCTTCTTCTCAAACAAATACGCACTCGGCGTCGCCGTCCCGCCTGCATCCTTCAGCACATGTCTCAACTCCATCATCGTCCGCGCCTTGCTATCCGTCTCGCACTCAATCACCACCCCAATGTTGCCCGGCAGGATGCCTTCAATCGTCACATTCTCCAGCTTCTGCCCGCTCGTGCTCTTGCCTTGGCCGCGCGCAATCGCCGCTTCGATGGAGGCTTTGGCGAAGCCTTCGCGCTTCGCTTTGGTGATGATGTCGGCGAGGCGGGGATTGGAGTTCGGGTCTGCGCCGTAGTATTTGGAGGCGTGGGCGATTTCGTGCGCGAAGAGCGAGCGCTGCCGGTTCTTGGCTGCGTCGACTTTTTGCTTGTCGTGCTTGATTTTGCTCCAGCGGTTGTGGCCTGATTGATAGGGCGAGGTGGTGATGAAGGTGCGGCTGCTTGATGCGGTGATCCATTCGCTGCGGAGGAATGAGAGAGGGCGAAGTGAACATGTCTGATAGCGCAATGATGACGAGGTGGCCATCATGGCGACACTGGTGATGCCTCTACTGGGCGCCATGTTGATTTCGAGGTCATCATGCGAGCTGCAAGAAATTTGATGTTTTTGAACTTCCGCATTCGGCGGGATTTTGATGCGGAGTTCGGGCATGTTCAACCTCATCTCATAGCAACTTGGCCACATTTCATCCACATCCCACGACCGCACGTCTGGGCCACGACTCCGCCTAAGCCTTCAATGCGGTGATCAAAATCCACCATGTCGTCCTCGCGGCCTTCCACGCCGGCCAACGGGACGCCGACCGCCTCGAAAGTCGGCTCTCCTGTCTCTCGAGTCGCAACATTGGCCAGGGTGCGATCGGAGACCCCGACGACCTCTCCCTTCCAGCTCGACGTTCCCAAGCTGCATACCTTACCGTCCGAGCAACAGGCATTGTACCTTCTGACCTTCACCACCAACCTCGCCAAGCACGCCGAGTCCCTCTCCAGCGACGCGATTTCCGAAGAGCAGGGAGTGCTGAAGAAAGAGCTTCTACAGATCATAAACTTGACACAGCCGGCGCCGACGAGAGTCATACGGAATAATGTGGGAGACTGCTTTACTGCCATCTTCAGCAAGGGCAATAGAAAGCTTCTCTATGAAACCATCAACGATTTGGTGGCCCTCCTCAGCGCGGGGAAGGAGAAGGCGGTAGATCAAAGGACGAAGCATGCTGCTCTGTCATCCCTTGGAGCGGTGTTCGAGGCCGCCGGAGACAGTGCCATCAGTTTGTCACCATTGGCATGCACCGCAATTCTCAAACTCCTCAAACCCGTGGCGAACGAAACGGCCTTGCGCGCGGCCATCTACACCGCCTTCGCCCGCATCACCATGGGAATCAATACGCCCATAGACGAGGAGCTTGGTCGGACCATCTTCAAGGCCGCACGAAAAACCGTAGAGAGCGATCGCGCCCTTCTGGTTCAGCAGGCTGCGTGTCAAGCCTTGGAGCAGTTGGTTCGATGCACATCGTATTTCGACAACAGCAATGACTTTGAGAAACTGCAGTCGTCCTTGTTCAAAGCCATGGATACCTCCTGTGCTCCTCTTCGTCATGCTGCTGCTTCGTGCCTTGCCGCGGAATTCGTCAAGAGTTTCAGTCAGGATCCTAACAAGGAGATCGTGCCCAAGGTCCGCAAGCCAAAGAAGACCAAGAAGGGCGCGCAGCCGGACGAGGACGCCGACCTGCCGGATCGAGCATCATCACCTATTCCTGATAAACCAAACACGGCGCTGTCTTATAGTCTGGCGGAGATCCTAAAGATCCTATCAACTCATTATTGCCGCGGCGGCACCACCAATCGTGCGCGCGCGGGCATCGCAGTCTGCTACATCAAAACGCTAAGGTCGTTGGGCGAAAGCGTAGTGGAAACCAACTACGGCATAATCGCCTTGCATCTTTTCAACGATATCCTCGCTCACCCCGGTTGGAGCTACACCAACAAGTATCGCTTGCTCATCAGCCGCAAGTTTGTTCGCATCATTCTGGAACGGACTGTTGGGCGTATGCTCGGGGAGAGCGCACAATTGAACGCCTGCCGCTTTCTTCTTAACGACATCATCAAGGACTACCCTCAAGCTGTCAAGGAACGAGCTGAACCCGGGAAGCAAGTTCTATCTGGCGCCATCAGCGCTCTCGAAGCCTTGATGGATCGTTTGGGAGCCGCCGTGGGCAGCATCGCGGACCTCTGTCGTGAGGGCTTACTGCAAGTGCTTCAGCACACGAGCTTCACTGTCCAGATTCACGCTTCGCGTGCTTTGCGAACCTTTGTGCTCGCCTATCCGCAGCAATTACTGCCGACTATGACGGTCTGCATGAACTCCGTCTCCCGCGAGCTCAACCAGTTAAGTGGAGGGCGAGCGAGCATGAGAAGATGTCTCGGATACGCTCATGCTCTAGCTGCCGTCTTAAGCACAAGCAGTCAGCAACCACTTTACGGTTCGGTGGACGTATACGCCCGTGTCTTCCAACAAGCGACTACTTTGCTCAAGACCAGCGGCAGTTCGGATCTGAGAGTCAGTAGCTGCCAGCTCCAGGTTGCCTGGATCATGATCGGCGGTCTCATGTCGCTCGGGCCGAACTTTGTCAAGATTCATCTGAACCAGTTGATGCTGCTGTGGAAGAATGCTCTGCCGAGGCCCATGTCACGAGAGAATGTCAGCCAAAGGAACATGCTGGAAGTCAGCTACTTGGCTCATGTGCGAGAGTGCGCCCTGGGATCTATCCGGGCTTTCTTGGCCTTCAACCAGCGCCTCCTCACGTCCGACATTTCCAAGCGACTGGCAGTCATGCTAGAGAACACCGTGGCATTCCTGCAAAGTCTGCCCGAGAAGAAGACATCGGAAGAGCCGGCCAACAGACTCAGCGCAAGCTTACAATTGCAGGACTACGATGTTATGGTGCGCCGGCGGGTATTTCAATGCTTCTGCCAGCTCCTCACACTCAGTCCGCTCGGAGCACTCGAAAGTACGGCACACTCCACGGTACTGCCGCTCGCCGTCGCTAGCTTTTCCGATGTGGACTACTACGTTCCGAGCTCACTCAGCGCTTCAATCGCGAGCGCTGCTGCCAACTTTGAAAGCATTTGGGAAGCCGGAGACAACTACGGATTCGGAGTAACTGGTCTAATCTCAGGCCTGGACGTGAGGAATCCCGTGAGCAGAGCACTGCAACCACACTGGTCGACAAGAAACGACAAAGAGACAGATTCGATCGATGCATCTGTCCTGAGTCCCGTCAGCTCATCTGCAGAAATGGACGGCATGAGCTGCTATCTCCACTCAACCGCGGAATCCGAAGATGCAGAGTTGCCCAATTCATCCTCCACCGAGACTGTCAATGCAGCCATCGCCGTCTTTGGTCTATGCCTCCCTTTGCAGACGGTCAAAGTACAAGAGAGCATGTGCGCGCAGATTTCGTCTTCTCTTGCTTCCTCGGCGTTGCAGAAAGACGCTGCACGCAAGTCTGCAATCACTGTGAACGTGGCGCTTGCATTGTTAACTGCATCCAAGGTGACGACGGGTGAGACTGGTGCAGCCAGAGGCGACATCAAGCACCAGAAGACGGAGAAGGCGTTGCAGTCCCTCCTTCACCTTTGTCTGATGGACACAGACGAGAGTGCCCGGCAGCTTGCCGCCAGTGCAATTGGCCGTGTCTGTTGCAGTGCGGGAACGGCTTTCACGGCTTCGGAAGTCACGTTCTTAACAGAGACTATCGTTAGCAATCGCGAACCGCATGTACGAGCTGGCTGCGCTGTGGCTCTCGCAAGAATCCACAGTCAGCTGGGTGGCATGGCCGCCGGCTTCCACATGAAAAGCATCGTTGGCATCCTCATGAGTCTCACAGCCGATACCCACCCGCTCGTCCACTTTTGGGCTCTAGACAGCCTTGCACAAGTCGCCGAGTCGGCCGGTCTGAACTTCTCGGGCTATGTCACCAGTACGATTGGCATTCTTAGCCAGCTATACGTGAGCGAAAGCCATAACCCCGAGACGAGCTCTCTCGCATCTTCCAACATGAGCATGTCCCTACCAGTGACAGCTGCGATAGCGCGTGGACTGGATGCTATCGTCAATGTCCTAGGACCGGACTTGCAAGATATGACGAAAGCGAGAGAGCTCATCATGAGTCTCGTCATTTTGTTTTCGAGCGAAAGGGATGATGTCAGCATACTCCTGGAGAGCTTGCGATGCATGGAGCACCTCTCGCTGTATGCCCCGGGTTTCGTCGATTTCGCCGACTACGTGTGCCGCTTGCAGGCGAACGTGGATCACGAGAACGTCGAGATCCGGCAATCCGCGCTCCACGGGCTGTTCACACTTATGCGTCGGGACGCCGATGATGTCGTCAAGGCTGCGAAGCCTGGGTTGGAGAATCGACTGTGGGACTACCTCAATACCAGCCCCGATCAAATGCATATCAGGAGCATCTTCATGAATTGGCTGCAACAGACTGGGCTGAGTGATCCCGCGGGTTGGATACATCGATGCAACGCCATCCTGACCAAGGCCAAAACGAAGGCGGCAGACCCACAACAAGCCAATCCGACAATATACAAAGACACCGCTGGCCCTGACCTGCAGGACGAGGAAGTTGCTGGCTTCGCAGCGGCCGCTGGAGTCCACAAAGAAGAAGACGGCGAGGCTGCCTCGAGCTCCTCTCAAGAACTGATGAGGTGGCAAGTTCGGTTCTTCGCCATGGAATGCCTGCACACGCTCATCTCGATGATCTCCAAAGAAGCAGCCATCAGCTCGGACGAAGGGCCAGGCGAGCGAGCACTCCAGCAGAAAGTCGGCGATGTAATCCGCATTGCATTCTCCGCCTCCACCGCTGGCGTACCCACGCTACGCGTCGTGGGATTGCGCATCATCGAGCAGATTCTGGAGATGTTTGGTCGCACGCCCGATCCTGAATTCCCTGAGGCTATGTTGCTGGAACTGTACCAGGCGCAAATCTCCTCGGCACTGACGCCCGCTTTTGCCGCTGACTCCAGTCCGGAGCTAGCGGCGGAGGCGGTCAATGTGTGTGCCACGTTCATCGCCACTGGCATCGTGACCGACGTGGACCGCATGGGGCGCATCCTCAAATTGCTGGTTTCTGCTCTCGACAGTTTCTCCCGGGACACCGAAGTCGCATCCATTGGCGACTTGAAAGGGCTGAGCTCCAACGCGCAGGTGATGGTCCGCATGGCCGTCTTCTCAGCCTGGGCGGAGCTGCAAATCGCCAGCGGAGAGCAGAAGTACCTCGACGACGTGGTGAAGCCGCATATCGCGCAGCTGGTGCCGTTGTGGCTCACGAGTTTGAGAGAGTACTCTCGCTTGCGATTCGAGCCGGACATCTCGCAAGCCCTTCCAAGCGGCATGTCGTCTGCCGAGGGCGATTTCAATACCATCTATGCGGCGCTCAATCGGCAGACGTTGCTTACTTTCTATCAAGATTCTTGGTTGAGCTTGGTGGATGCTATTGCGAGTTTGATTGACGAAGATAGCGAATTTGTCTTTCAAGCGCTGGATGACAAGCAGGTCAAGGAGATTGCCACTGACGGCGAAAAAAGCGAAAGGGAGCCAGGCGTGAATGGAATCGTGCGAAAAGGCAGCGGCATCAACTATCGCGAAGAGCCAGTGGCTTTCTTCTTCGTCCTCTTCGGTCTGGCATTCGAATCGCTCGCCGTCCGAACTGCAGACGATGATATCGTCGCACGCCAACGCAACCTCGACATCCTTCGGGCGTTGAAGAAGATTCTGCGTCCATCCGTCTCGGGCAACGCGATTTACCAACAAGTCATCTTCGCCGAGACAATGGACTTGCTCGACCGCATGGTGCTGACGGAAAGCCTAAGCGTGCAAAGCGTGATAGTCGAAATCGCGCGCAATCTCTGCGTCATCCATCCCTCGTCTCGCCAAAGCGACGCGGTAGAAGAGGAAGCCTCGGCCAACGGCGAAACGCTATCCGAAGACATTGAGCAGCTCTTCGAACTCACCCGCATCATCGTCCTTGTCCTCGCAGGCCTCATCCCAGGCCTGACCGACGGCCCCGTTCACGCGCGCCTCGAAACGTCCGAAGAAGCCGTCGGCCTCGTGCGCTCTGCTCTGCAGGCCCTCGTCGACGTCTCCGAGGTCTTCCCCTCCATCATCAAAACAGACCTGAACGCCACGATTCTGCACATCTTTGTCGCCATCTTGGGCACGGGAGCGTGTCAAGCAGCCGTCATCCCACAAGCACTCCCGATCTTCCGGCGCTTCGTAGCGAGCATAGCAAGCAGCGAGCAACCCGAAACTCAGTCGCAATTACGAACCACGCTCGCGCGCATGCAACTCATCCTCCGCAACGCGCAGCGCAGAGAAACGCCCGCCAGCGTGGCCTGCGAGAAGAACACGCTGCTGGCAATCACAGTCCTGCTCTCCGTCGCCTCCTCCCACCTCCGAGATACAGACGCGCTGGTGAGCCGCTTCGTCTCCGAGCTCCGCGACTGCCTCGAAGTGCCCCTGACAAGCCGCATAGCCGCTGGCTGCATTCGCACTCTTCTGCTGACGACGACGGGCCATGCCGTCGCGCCGCGCACCTTGCTCTCCACGTCGGTGGAGTTCCTGCTCAAACCTTCGGAGTTGGAGGGTTTGGAGGAGAGTAAAGGGGTCATGGCGCAGACGCTGCTGCTGTACGCGGGCCGGGTGCCTGTGGCGCAGCGTCCGGCGGTCGTGGCGCTTGCGATGAAGACTTTGCTGAGCCGTGCTACGGCGCAGGGAAGTGCACTGTACCCCGAGACGGCGGGACGATTACTTGAGCTCGCTGCTTTGGACAATGCTGCTTTCCGGGGTGTGGTGGCGGGCATGGATGGCGAGGAGAAGGCGGTGCTGGAGCGGGTGTTGAAATCTACGGCCGGGGCGAGGAGGAAGAGCGAGGATTTGGGGCAGGAGAGCGAGCCGACGATTGCGCTGAAGATGAATTTCGGCGGTGGATCGTGAGTGTGGACAATGCTGCACAATCTATAGATGCATCTAATGTGAAAGTCACATCGTATCATTTTCTTCCTTCATTTTTCCCCTCGCCTTCTTCTCCCTCCTCTTCTCCTTCCTCGTCGTCATCATCGTCTAGCGGTTCCAATGCGAATTGCTCATGCTCCTCTTCATCCACCTCGGCCCTCCTTGCCCCCTTATCCCCCTCGAGTTTCAAATTGACAAACATAGTAAGCATGCCAAGATCATAAAACGCCTTCAGACTCCCCGCCACCACAAACGCAATCCAAAAGCGCGCCGAGGCAGCCAGACTACCCGTGATCAGTGGCCCGGAACTCTGGCTCATCGTCTTGACCGTGTTCACAATCCCCATCGTCACCGTGCGCTCCTCGGGCAACACGACGGCGGACAGGAACGCACTGCGTGGCGCTTGGTCCATGGAGCCTAGACTCGCGCGCGCCACGAGTAGGAAGATGGTCCAGCCTAGCTGCGGCGGGAGAGGGACTAGAGCGAGGAAGATGGCGCTGGGTAGATGCGTGAAGACCATGGCTCGCACGAGGCCGATGCGCTTCGCCACCGCGGACGCGAGTAGGCTGCCCATGCTGCTGACGAATTGCGCTGTCGCCATGATGGTGCCGAGCTTGCCTTCGGGCATGCGGAATTTGCGTTCCATGAAGAGGGCGATGAGGCTGTAGGGGACCATGCCGCTTGCAAGGGAGTCGAAGAAGAAGAGGGCGCAGAGCTTTGCGAGGGTTTTGCGGGAATTGGGGGAGAGGCGCGAGACGCTTAGGGGGGAGGGTTTAGGCGGTGGTGTGGGTTTGGCGGGTGATGAGCTGGGTGCTGTGGAAGATCCATTCTGAGGGAGGAAAGGCTCTTCGGCTTCACTGTTCTCGTTCGAGTTGCGTCGTTGTCCGGCTGCGGATGAGGATGGCGCAGCGGTGGCGGAAGGCGCATTCTGCACCTCACATTTGTCGCTGAGGAGCACACACAAACTAGCCTTCAAGAGTCCAACGACGGCATAAATCCAGAAGATGAACTTGTACGCGGTGATGGGTCTCCAGCTGCCTTCCAGGAATTGTACCAACCAGCCTCCCCCGAACGATCCAGTCGCGGTGCCCAGAGTGCCGATGACAACGTACCAAGCAAAGATATCCGAGCGGGTATCGGCGTCGGAGAGTTGCGCGAGCGTCGATTCCTCCACCGCACGGAAAGGACCGATTTCGTTGCCACTGGGACTGATCACTCCCACAATAGCAGCGAGCAGGAGGATGGTGTAATTGGCGAACATGGCAAAGATGCACCCAGAGAAAGTCATGAGGATGGAGCCAAGGAAAAGAACCATACGCCGCCCCAGAGCATCGGCAATGAAAGTAAGACCCAGGCTGATAAGCACATCCCCAGCAAGAGTCAGGGTCATGAAGAGGCCGATCTGCGTGTCGCTGTGCCCGAGGACTTGGAAGAAGAGGGCGAGGATGAGGGTGCTGGAGCCGTAGGCGGCCATGCGTAGAAAGCGGGCCAGCAGGAGTAGATGCACATCTCGACTGCTGTTGCGGAGGGTCCGGAAGCCTAGTTCGGAGGAGAGTTTGGTGAGGAGATTCCTGCCGCGGCGATCCATGATGGATGTTGTATGGTAGCCTTTCTTGTTGCCTTGGGGGGGTCCGCGGAGGTTTCTGGTTTTGCTGTAACGGGGGCTGGGTTTACATGTGCTGGACTGTCTTTGGTGGGAACTGGACGAATGCAAGGAGTGGAGGAGACATTAGAGGAGTAGTTGAGGGCATGTCGATGAAGGTGTGAGCTGAATTTGGGATGCAAGAAGAGGAAGGAGCGAGTTCAAGATGAGGTGACGAGCAGCTCGGCCGAAGGTTGCTGGCTTCAAGGCAATCCGAGCCGAGCTCCACGCGTTTCGTCTTGTCGCCTCTGCCTTGTCGGATGACTAACGACGATCAACGCTCATCAATCAGATACATCGTGTACAGTACTTGTGAAAGGATATCGTAATGCCTCCAAAAGTGTCATGTCACAGCTCTAGCGAATCACACAACACCAACGCTAAAGGTACATCAAACGCTCGTCAAAAACGCTCACAATGCCTCCTACCAACAGACGAATGCCCGCCCATAAGAATCCCATCATCATCGTCGTCATTCCCATCATCCCCCTCCCCACAGCAACTCTACTGCATATCGTCCTCCGCAGCCTTGAGAGCGAAATCCTTCTGCTCGTAAAACCACTCCGTCCCCTTGTCCCACTTGTACACCTTGACATCCACGCCGTACGGCTTCGGCTCGAGGCAGTACAGCATGCCAATCGGCACATCCAGCTCCGCGACTTCTTCCCGCTTCAGGCCCATGAAGTATGCCAGCAGCACGCGCGCAACGGAGCGGTGGCCGATGAGGAGCACATTGTCCGTCATGCGCTCGAGCTCCATGATGACGGGCCGGAGGCGGTTGATGATGTCTAGGTAGCCTTCACCACCCGGGCCCGGGTAGCGGTAGTGTAGTTTGTTCTCCCGTCGGCGCGAGTACTCTTCGGGATACTGGGCGGAGATGCTGTTGTACGTCAGACCTTCCATCGTGCCTGCGTTCAATTCATCCAGCATGCGCATCTGCTTCACGTCGTACTCTTCGTCGTTGAAGTACTGCGCCGTCTCGATGCTGCGGTTGAGCATGGATGTCCACACGCAAAACGCCGGCGCGTGGAATTCGTGTCCGTCGGTGCTGCCGGAGGTCGACGAGTTTCCGTCCGAAGTGCAGCTGGCGGGGTAGTGTAGCGCTTGATAGTAGGGATTGGGAGGCGTCACGTCGCCGGGTTGCGGCGGGAAGTGCGAGTTGACGTGGGAGAGGAGTTGCTTCATGTCCCACTCCTTTCGCATCATGTCCATGAACTTCACCAACGTCTTGGCGTATTGGTGTCCTTCGGGAGCCAGGTGGCTGTCGCCGCCAATCTTGCCGGACACGTTGTCCATGCTCAACCCATGCCTCGTGATCCAGATCTGGCGCGGCGCGAGGTTGAAGTTGAGCAGGTAGTAGTTCGCCTGCGCCATGAGGAAGCCCTTGATCTGGTGGCTGATGACTTTGCGGCCCACGTCGATCATTTGGATGTACGGCATGTTGTGCCGCTCCTCGTAATCGCCCAACGGAACATATGCCTTTTCATATGCCTGAACGCGCTTCTTGAAGTCCGCCAAAGCAATGGTGGGATCCATTTCCTTGTAATCTGGCCCGCTGAGTTTCAAGCGCATGTTCGCCTCCAACAGCTCTCGGTCGACACATCGCGATTCGAGAAAGAGAACATTGAGGTCTGGACCTGCCCGCTCTCGAATGCGATCCATCACCATCTTCCTCCGATCGAGCGTGCTGTTGGTTGCGTCGAGAATGCCTACACTGCCGTTCTGATTAAGGATGTAATCAAGAAGCTCGTCGAGGGTCTCGCGAGCGAGCTGTTCACGAATTTGAGAAGCCTTTTGGTTCTCCGGATCGAAGAATGCAGCACTTTGATCCACAGCCTCGTCTCCCACCGTCTTGCTCCTAGAAAGTCGCGGGCTGCTCGGCTCGCCCATGTCGGGTTGATACAGATCTCGCTCTTCCTCTTCGTGGACGTCGCGGTGTCCGGTTCCATTCAATTGGCTAGCGGATACTTGCGTCGGGCTCTGCGTTGCGGCGGGAGCGTCGATCTGAGTATCGTCGTTCAACAAAATCTGCGCGGCACTCGCTCGGTCGGGTAAGGCGGGCGAGTCCAAGTTCAGCTGGTCGATGATCGGCGTGAGCGAGCTGTGAGAGTGTCTCAGCCTAATCCGATCCTGCGAGTGTGGACCGCCAGCAGCCACACGTCTCCGCTCTCCAACGTTGAAGATCTTGGTGTCGTGTTGCAGCCAGTTGAGATATCTCGCCAGCTTCTTGGTGATATAACTCTTCCCTCGTGCTGGCAGGCCGACCATGACAATGACCAGCTTCGCGCCTACATCTCGCTTTGCTATCTTGCCGTCCGGCGATACCTTGCTCTTGGTCAGACCGGGGATGTCGAGGGTGGTGGGGCGGATGCGAGGGGTAGAGGTGCCGGAGCCGTTGAGCCTGCCGGGAGCGCCGAGGTGGAGGAAGGTAGCTCCTTCGCCGGAGTAGGAGCGACTGCCGTTGAGGTGCGGACTGGTGGGTGCGGAGGAGGTTGGGGTGTCGTTCATGGCCATTGTTGTGGACGCAGTCTCCGATGGGGAGGTCACCGTGGTGCTCGGGGTACTTCTCGGATGCGCGTTGCTTGGAGGAGGCCTGAAGTCGAAGGGAGGAGAGGGGAGGGGCGGAGAAATGCTGTAGGCCGAGCCCATATGGCGCGCATGACCGTTCGCCAGTGTGCGATCGAGTTGATGATTTAACTGATCGAGCAACTTGTCGTCTCCTGTGGGGGCGTCGTTGGCGGGTCGCGGCTGGCCATCGTGGTGCAAATGAGTGCTGGACTGCATTGCGAATTTGGCCAGGCTGGATTGTTGAGACTGGCGGCGAGGATGGGTGGTGGTGGCGCGCGCGGTCGGTCGGGCATCGGTGGTGAGGGAGAGGAAGAGGTTATCGCCGGAGTTGGAAGATGTGAAGTGCCATGGCGCCGCCGAGGGCATGATAGGTCATGCACAGGTGGACAGGTGGCTTGCGCGCGTAGGATGAGGATGTGGGTGAGGATGGATGAGGCTGGGACTTTGTGTGGGAAATCGGTCGGGGTTGTTTGTGGGAGGATTGGCGCCGCTCAACCAAGCTGCGAGTCGGTCGCGAGTGCCTCGAGCAGGTGTGGTGTTGGAAGGGAGAAGCGGAGGAGGTGCGATGATGTAGTTGCCACCGGATTGTCTGTATTTCTCCTTGATATCGGGTGTGACTCGATTGTTAATCAAGGCGGAACGGTCGAAATCAACCCGTCGGGCGGTGGATGATTGAGATTTCCCCGGCGTTCGCTTGCCGTTTTGGGATGTGGCCGCGCCGGATTCGGGTGGCGCGGGAAGGGTCCAATGGATGAGTCAGGAATAAATAAAAAGATGGAGGCGGGCAATGTGGTCGAGGAAGGTGTGACAGAGCACAGAAAAGGAAGGCGCGTCTGATGAAGTGGTGGAGGAGGAGTTGGGTCACGACAATGTTGATCCTCCGTCTGCAGTCATGCTGCAATCAGGCCTAGACTTTGAGACGGTCGAAGTTTGGTGAGAATCTGTCTGGCATGTGAAAGCGGCCGCAAGCGGACCAACGTGGGCGCGCCACGCGGGTTGAATGGACGGAACCACGCAAAGACGACACGCCCAGCCGCGATGGTCTTGCACCACAACTCCCTTCATGCACTCCCGAGAATGTTGACGAAATGAAACATCTTCTCAGCCGGAGTTGCCATCTGCCGGGTGCATGATGCCTTCGACATTTCGCCTCTTGACTAGCAGCACATCAGGCACAGCACGCGTGCAGCCGATGTCGGCGAGCCTTGCGCGTCAATCTCGATCATACTTCACCTCATCCTGGCTTGCGGTGAACATCAAATCTAGCATCACCTTCTCCAGAACCCCAAGGCTGTCGTGGTCTTCGACCAGAGCATCCCATGATGCTGATGGATGGCCTCTTGAGACGAAGCAGCTGCTGTTTTCTGCCATCTACTTTGCCTCCTTTACGGTTTGCTGACTTCCGTCCACAGCATCTCCACAAACACACCACCGCATTGCAGCTTACAACTAGGTGTCTCACCTCTGAGCGCAATGGCGGACGTAGCGTCTACATCGATCTCGACGGTAGGTAGGTGGAGTTGTCATCTCAAGATTACTTCCACTTTGTTCATTGTTGGCATTTCATCTGATTGTCCCAATATCAACTCTCATTATGTTTCATTGTCCTTCTATAATTCTGATTGTGCTGCAAAGATTTGGCAATATGAGTCCATTGTCACAGACAAAGACAATCAACATGCAATCTCCATCGCAAACTCCTCTCCCCTCAGTTATAGTTGTCCAAACATTCACAGGAAATGCCTGCTTTCTCGTCTTCGCACACATTCCGCCCCCTGATATCAGTAATATTTCATCAATCATGGTCCTCGATCCCAACGTCGCACAGACAAAAGCATTCTTTCAGAAGCTCGGCGACGAAATCCTCCAAAACAACGAGGATGGCCCGCCCCTTCACATCACCATCACCAAAGGCGACATCCTGAAAGCCAACATCCGCATCGGCAGACCACAGTCCGACCCTGTTGATGAATCAGATGGCTCCGAGAAAGATGGCACGGACGAGGCTGATAGCGATGAACAAGGCGCCACTGACGCCGTCGGGAAGGATCAGGAGAACGGCGGCAAGAAACCCAAGAAGGCGAAGAAGAAGACAAAAAAGCGCCAAAAAGCCCCACCCGCTCGAGACTTTCACATGAAAGTGACCACCGGGCGTGTCAGCAAGAGATTCGACAGACCGACCCAAGCCCACCCGCCGCGAGGCCTGAAGAACTTTGGCAACACGTGCTATCAGAACGCCTTGTATCAATGCCTCATTCACCTTCCGGAGTTCAACGAGTATATACTCAATCACAGCTGCAACGAGAAAACAGACCCGTGCGTCGCCTGTGCCTTGCGCTCCCTCGTGACCGCCTATTGGCATGGGAACGGCCTCAGAGGCATGACCGGGCCGGAAACACAGGCCAAGGATTTGTACGAGGCCGTCAGAACGGCCCTTCCACAGGAGACCGCGGCAAACGCCAAACTACTCGGCAAGGTTCGCCCGAACAAGGAGCAGGCGTTGGAAAAGAGTCGGCTTGCTGGCTTACCCGATGCGCTGTTTCACGTAGACATGTGGAACAGAAGGCAATGCGACCCCTTCGAGTTCTTCCAACACCTCCTACGCGAGCTCGACAATTCAGAGCTCGACCCCGTTGCCTCCACCTTCAACACCGCCCTCAACATCACCGGCAACCGAGTGTGGACCTGCGACGACTGCAAAACCGTCACTTCCACCGCCATCCAGTCCTCAGAAATGGGCCACGGAATCGGCATAGCCGTCAACCTGCGCCAACCCAAGCCCAACCTTGACCTCACCGCGTACCTGCGCGGCAACGCTTTCGTGGACCCCGACGAGCTCACCATCCGCTGCGAGAGCGCGTACTGCAGCGAGCATTTCCCCAAGTACGATCCGAAGGAAATGCACCTGCCCGAGAAGGAGAGGAAAGTGAACGAAGGCAAGCCGCGCAAGCGCACCAAAGTCGTTACCCACTTTCCGGAAGTGCTCGTTATCCGCCTGCAGCGGTACGAGTTGGAGAAGAACACGCGCAAAGGCACGCAGGAGGAAGTGAAAGTGTCGAACCACGTGGACTTCGACGAGTACATCAACCTCGGCGAGTTTGCGCCGGCTCCTGCTGGTGACGACGACGACAAGGACGAGGAACAGGAGCCCGTCATGTATAAGTTGCAGGGCGTTGTTGCTCATTACGGCGACACGCTGAAGGCTGGACATTATGTTGCTGCTGTTCGGCACGCGGACGGGCGCAACTTTTCGATTGTGAATGATGACAAGAGCGTCCGACAGAATAATGGGGGTACGGCGCAGGAGGCGCGGTGGCCGAGCACGACAGACGGTGTCGGCAAGAATAGTACGGAGCTATTTGATCCGTATTTGTTGTTTTACTCCAAGCTGTAGCCTGATGCATAGATAGGTGAATAGACGATCAGGAGAGCTGAAAGAAGCAGATATAGATCAAAAGGGTATCCGTGTTCATAAAGTTAATCAATCATGAGACCATCGAAGGCAACAGTCCAGTGCATCACACGTTAAGGGGTTAACCGGAAAAGAATCATCCAACCCATTCATCATCCATCATTCCATCCAAAAGAGGAAATAGAAGTTGCATCGTAAAGCCCTCTCGCCACACCGAGCCCTCTCGCCACACCGATCCTATCCAAAGAGCGCCGAAAATCCTGACATCCATCACATCACATCCAAGCGTAAGCATTCATATCATCATAGGTAAAGAAATCACAGAAACAAGCGCATTCCACCTCTCACGACCACCCTCGATAGGCCCCCGGACTCCTTCGGACCGAATTCCAAGCCCGACCAGGTACACCACCAGCGACAGACTGCATCTCCGGACTCGGAGAAAAGTCCATGAGATCGGAGTGCGGACTCTGCGGCGCCGCGCTCGCGACTCGTCGATGTCCACCTTGCTGTGTTCGCTCCGGGGTCCGGATAGGGTGAAGCGGCGCGGCAGTGCTGGGTAATGATGCGAGGAGGGGCTGTTGGCTGCGGAAGAGCGGGTGCATGTTGGGTAGCGGTTGTTGTTGGTAGTCTACCACGCTGCCGCTCGGGGCTCTTGAATGCTGCGGCCGGATGGGGAAGGGGTGCGCGGCTACGCTGCTTGTATTGCGGGAGTGCGCATACACTCGCTTCTCTTTGCGCAGGAGCGTGCTCTCTTCCGACGGAGGCGAGGTGAATGGCGACGAGGGAGTGAAGGCGTTGACGTCTACGGGATAGGCGCGGGACGGCGTGGTGGTTTGCAGCGAGAAAGATCGAGGAAGCGGCGGCGAGTCTCGCAGGAGATCGAGCTGAGGAATGTCAGGAGGACTGCTGGGTTGCATCGACTGCGGGCGACTGCCGGGGATCGGTTCGAGGCCCTGCTCTGCGTAACGGCGGAGGAAACGGTTGTCCGCCACAAACGGCATGGGCGGCGGGCTGACTTCCCAATTTTCGAACCCGTCGTTTTCGCGCGTTAGATCGACGGAGCTTTCTCGTGTTGACGCCAGGCCGTTGGATTCTTGCGAGAAGTAGCGGTGGTGGAAGATGAGTCGTGTCTTGGAGGTGACGGGTTTGATCACGCGCACGATGGAGTCGCGGAAGGAGGGCCGGATGTTCTCGGAGTAGGCTGAGAAAGCCGATGACATGGGCTCGGTGGTTCCCCAGGCGCGCGTGGTGGGCATTGGAGGAGTGAATAGTGGGGTGGGGGGCGAGATGATGCTCGGCGATCTCTTCGCCAGTCTGGCTGGCGTGGTCGTTCCGTTGGACACTTGAGTCATCAGGGTTGCCGCTGGCGGTTTTTCCTTGCTGCGAAAGATGAGTGCATGAAGCACAAGTTCGGAGAGGAGGGCAACGGCCCAGATGCCATAGCCGACGTAGACGAGGGCCACGGCGCTCTGGTAGATGGCGGTATACCTCTGCGACTCGAGGCGGGTCTTGGTCAAAAGTAGTGTGTACAGGGTCAGGCCGGCCGCGGCGGCTGTTAGGGTGGCGGAGGTTGCGCCGAGAACGCGGATGAGTTTGCGGGCGAATCCTATCTGGTAGAGAATGGCGGTGATGATGGAGGCGACAAGCGCGACAATGTTGGCCAACGACGCGGCGAGGACAAAGTAGTAGATCAATTCATCCGGTGGGGCCAGCTGCTTTGCGATGGTGATTGCGATTGCGACCAAGGCTGCGAACGAGAAACAGGCGAGGAAAGCGCTGGTCCAGAAGACGCAAGTGGCCAGTCTTTGGCCCTTGGTGGTAGTCATGATGAGGTTGTATGGCGAGTGTGTTGTGTGGTGAGTGTGGTGGTTCCGAAAGGCACAGCCGGTTTCGTGAGGTCGTTTATATCATTGCCGCAGCTCGTCGCACCTTGCTTCCTTTCCCCAGTCAATGGAGGGAGATAAATGCGGGTCGGACAGCTACATGAAAAAGCGAGGGGGCATAAGAAAACGAGCAGCGACCGAGGCGGACGGCAAAAGATAGTAGGACTGGCAAACGCGACAGCGCAGCAGACGTGGATGAAGAGAGGAAAAGAGCGCGTTGGAGCAGAGGTGTACCAACCGAGTATAGTTATTAGACGAGGTACAAGCCCGCCCTTCCCGTGCGAGGCTGTGTTTTTGTGCTGCGTTCGAAAAAAGGCAGGACTCGATTGGCCAAACGTTCCACGACAGGCCGGCCATGGCTGAATCGGGCGGGGAGGGGCGAGGGGCATGCCGCCGTGTCAGGCGCACTGTGCAGGGTATCGGTGGTTCGGTTAGGATGATAGATGTGGCGGGTGGTGTGTAGCAAGTGGAGACGTCGAGAGCCAAAATCAACCGCGTTTGTGGCCGGCGAATCCTGCGACAGGTCACAGGCCGAGTCTACGACAGGACATTGGCCGACGGCATGCAGGTGGGCGAGAAGCTGGGGGATGGATACAAACGTGTTTGGCGAGGCGTTCATTTGCAAGGTGGAAGGATGCGGCTGCGTTCCGAGGCGCTGCAGTCTTGGAGCGTGGTTTGTCGTGGGTGGTGCTGGTGTGTTATGATTTTCATCGCGGCGCCACACTCACGTCTGCCGCAGCCACGCGAATCCCGCTCCATCGGCGCAGGCGAGATGAGTGACAAACGGCTTTGCCAAAAAGATCTGACGCCCGGGACCAGACTCGGAGATGTCCAATATTCGCGCGTCCCGCGTTGGATTTCGTCATAATTCCTCGAGATCCAGGTTGTTCTGCAGCCATAGGGCGAGGCGAAGTACGAGGTGGCAGGCGGCGGGGGAGCCGACGTCCGCCCAGGCGTTGACGTACGGGCAGCTGCACGACATCGCAGGACGTACCATACCTCGAACGCTGTGATTTGTATAGTTGTCGAAAACGGCCGCGACTCGCTTCTGTGCCCTGCATACAGCGTGCATCGGTCCAAGTCCCTCCAAGACATGCAGTTGGCAATAATGACGTGAGTTCAGCGTCCAGAACGGCTTCCATCACGATCTCGACGAGACGGAGCATGAGTATTCCGCGAGGCCTGGGCCGTCATCCTGCCGCAAAATCGCACGAGTAGTAATAATTTGTCCGTCCCGTGCGTTGCTGGCGGCCAATCCGAAGGCCTGGAACCATCTGCAGGCGAACGATTGTTTTGATTGAAGTAGGCGGAAGGAAGAGATACACGTTCCATCGCGGTCCGTGCGTCTTTGCCGACGCGTATCGAAACGGGGATGCATGGTCGATCTGCCGAAAAGTGTGGAGTGCCGCCGATCTGCGATCACCTCGCGATGTACAGTACAGTATCCAAACGGTCGAGATGCATCAATTATGACTCCATGGGATGATACTGAGTGGAAAGACACCTGCAGGCAATACGTGCTCTGAATGGCAGGAGCCTTGGATCACGTGCTCCTTGGCTGTGCTCAAACATACGTCGTGTTCTCGTGGCTACACACCACACTTGCACTACAGCTGACTACAATCACTGCCCTCGATCGAGCAGAAGAATTGATTCTCACGATCGATGATGACTGATTGATGAAATGCAATGGCCAAGGCGCCTCCCCAGCATCACACTCTGACTAAACGCCACGTGCAGTCGCATGGCACAGGCAGACCAAGCCCCGAAAGCCACAAACACCCGCTTAGCCTCGACTGCCGCAAGCCCGCCAACCCCCCAGCCTCGTCTCGTGTCGTCTTGCCTCGCTCACCTCTTCGACTGAGTCACGGCACTTCGCTGCGCAATCTTCCGGAACGCATCCTCGCCACTCGCGCCCATCTTGCGATTCACGCCGCCGGCATTGCTCAGATTGTTCACCGGCGCAATCGTGTACGTCCCGACGCCGCCTTCCACACGCGCTCGGTTTCCGGGCACCGGCTGCGCCAGCACCTTACGCCGCCTCTCCGCCGCCAACTCCGCTTGGCTTGCTGCTGATCGCGCTGCACCTTGCGATGCTCGCAACGGATCGTACTCTCTCGTCTCGACTGGCGTGTGCTTCATGTTCTTGTGTTTCTTAAGCACCACCCGCATCCACTCGCCCACCAGCTTCTCTGCCGCGCGTTTGATCTCCGGTTGCGGTTGCGAGCTCTTGGTGTAGAAGAGGACAATGCGTCCGATCCCCGAGGCAATCAATGCCTCCTTGCCAATGTTCAATCGCCCCAGTATGCTGAAGAGTTCCCTTTGAATACGATAGTTGGGCAGTGCTGCGTCGTGGTCCGCCGGCTCCAGCATGAATTTGACGGCTTCGAGAATGTTGATGTCCGGATCGACCAGCTGCGCCTGGATGGTGTTACGGTTCATGAGCTCGACAACTTCAGGAAGGATGGCCAATTTGTGCGTGGCCACTTCGCCTCTCGCACGCGCGGCTCCGTCCAGCTCACAGGCCTTGGCCATGCGTTGACGCATGTGCTCAATCTCCGCGTCGGCTGCGGCTTCAAGGTCAATGCCTCCGCGGCGACGAGGTCGTGAGCGGTTGGCTGCGATAGCTGCATCCATCTTGCGGTCGAGAGCTCGGCGACGGCCTGCAAGGTTATCAGTTTAGCACCAGCATGCAACATGCGTAGATACAATCACTCACGTTCTTCCGGCGTCAAATTTTCATCATTCTCATCCTCCGCGGGACTTCTCGCCCTCCTCTGCTTCACCGGCCTGCCATCCGCCCCCAGTTTGCTCTTCCTCGCTCTCTTGCCTTCAAGTTCCTCTCCGCCCTCGAAATCCGCCTCATCGACATCACCCCTCGACTTCTTACTCTTCTTGACCTTCTCCCTCTTCCCCAACTTCTTCTTCCTCTTCCGCTCCCGCTCTTCTTCCTCCGTTCGCTTGCGTTTGTGCACGCCCAGCTGCCCTACATTGCTCTCGTCCACAGCCACAGGCTTGTCGGGAATCTGCAAAGCAGAGGGGTCAAAGTCCTGAAACTGCGTCTCGTCCAACTCCTCCAGCTCAGATTCCGCATCGGAGTCGTCGCCGCCGCCGAGATCGTCAGAGTCATCGCCGCCAGCAGCCAGTTTCTCCGCCGCTTCGTTCATCGCTTCCACCGTCTCAGGGGCTTCTTCATCTTCAAAGGCGTCGACGTCGGCTGTCGGATCGCCGAGAGGGGCGTTTGGACGGCTTTCTTCTTCTCTGTCGGGATTCAGGGTGTCGTCTGGGTCGTTGAGGCCTTGTGGCTCTTCGTCAAATTGGAGTGCTGGTGAGCCGGGGGCGCCTTCTAGATCATCCATGTTTGCAGCGTGCAGTGCGAAAAGAGGGGATCAGGTGATGAGCGTGAGATCTACCACGTATGCCTCTCCGAAAGCTGCGTGTAGATGTCGTGAAGTCAGTGAATGAAGGTGTGTTCTCCCTTTCAAAGAACATCTTGAATTAAACCAAGCAGTCGCGAAGGGCGGCCAAGCGCAAACTCTAAATTTTGAGCCGCCGCGTGCAACTGCTTCACCTCTCGTCACCTCCATTCGCAAACTTCACCGGACAATCACAACCGCAAACAATACCGAAACCAACCCCTCTCCTGCCACTGTTCCAATCACATCAAAATGTTCGGCGCAGGTATGTCTCAGCCTCACCGCTCCAGCCCACTCTGAACGCTCGCTCACACCCTCTCTTCACAGCACCACCACAACCTACAGCAGAAGAGCTCCGCGAGGCGGAAGTGACGGCGCAACAGACCATCGTCGGTGCCGTGAGCACGTGCTTCATTCTGTACATGTGTAGGTCGACATCCATGCTTTCATTCGAGACTCAGAACTGCGGCTGACGAGGATCTTCTAGCACCGTACGTGGTGGACTATGTGCGGAAACTGGTGTAGAGGGGGAAAGATGAAGAGACGGGACCTTGTACGATACTGTATACCGACATAACCGGCAGCGAAGCGCAGTGAAGCACCTCGAGGGAGTTGGTGGGTGGAGAGGATGGGATGGGATGGACATCTGCATTTCCGTCTGAGGAGGTGGATAGATATGTGTATACAACTCGCTCCTCAAAAGCATGGCGTGGAGCATTACTATTTGATCATGGCGTATGCTGTGAGTTACGATCCAGCATCTACATTCCCTCTCCGATGCGCTTCTCTGCGCTCACCAAGCATACTTCTCGAGCAACGGCAGTCCCACTCCATCGTTCCCTTTATCTACTCTGCTCCCACTCCTCAAATTGCCCCGATACCTCTCCCAGCTCCTTCGCCAGATGCCTCAATTGCCCATCATAGTCGCTGAGAATCCTCTTCGTCTTCTGCAGAATCTCATCACTGACCCCACTGCCATCCATCTTCTGCTCCTCCAGCTGCACCCCGAGCTTCTTGCTCTCCTCGTCCAACCACCTTGCCCGCTCGCGTAGTGCCACCATCCGCGCCCAAATCTCCTCTTCCCTTGCTTGGAACGCCGGATCGAACACGCGCTTCTCCAGCTCCATGAGCGTCTTCCGCAGCGACTCCTCCGCTGCATCGAGGGGGTAGTTCTTGTGCCGCAGAACTTGCGCTTTGACCGCCAACCGCAAGCATCGCTGCGACAGAACAGCATGCTGGCGTCGCGCATTCTCCACCCTCAACGTCAGGCTCTGCTCGTGCCGCTTCATCACCGCGTCAAGCGAGTTGTTCATCTCGTGCAGACGCGCGCGCATCTCATTCACCACCTGCGCTTGGTACTCCACCCTTGCTCCCAGCGCGCGAAAGCCTCGCACAAGCACTGGCACAAAGGCGACATCACCGCCGTCGAGCGTGATGTTCTCTGGCTTCTTCGCCATCGCAGCTTCCCATCCCTCTTCCTGCTCGTCGGCATTGCGGTAGTAAAAGGGCGCGTAGGCGGCGTTGACGGCGTTGTAGAGGTATGCTTCCAGAATTGTATCGATGCTGTGCGGATCCCACTTGGAGATGAGGGTGCGGATTTGATCGTAGACCGTTTTCTCGTTCGGGCGGGAGGTGATGTTGGCGGCTGCGAGGCGCGAGCGAGCGAGGTCTTGTTGGGAATGGGAGCCTAGCGCTCCGTAGGCTGAGGTTGGAGGCGCTCCGAGGCCGGATTGTAAGAGGGTAGAGAGGTGGGTTTGGTGGGGAGCGGTGGTGGAGGAGTTCATGTTGTTGTTGTTGGATGCGGATGCTTGTTGCGGGTTACCGAACAGACTCGTGCCGGAGTTGGTGTTTTGTGCTGATTGACCGCCAAAGAGACTTGTACCCGTGTTGGTAGGCTGGTTTTGGGCGGTGCTGCCGCCGAACAAGCCTGTGCCGGTGGAAGTGGTCTGATTCGCGGTGCCTCCGAAGAGACTGCTGGTCTGCGGTTGATTCTGGGCGGTGTTGCCTCCAAAGAGACTGCTGGTCTGCGGTTGGTTCTGGGTGGTAGTGTTGTTCCCGCCGAACAAGCTGTTGCCGGGATTGGACTGCTGTGTCTGCGCGTTACCCCCGAAGAGACTGGTCCCTGAGCTGGCCTGCTGTGTCTGCTGCGCGTTGCCGCCTCCAAACAAGCTGCTGCCGGCCTGATTCTGTGCGGGTGCAGTGGTTGTGCTACCAAACAACCCACCCCCTCCGGACGTCTGGTTCTGCGTGGTGCTGCTTCCAAACAGCCCAGTGCCTCCCGACTGAGTGGAGGTGTTGCTTCCGAAGATGGAACTCATGCTGGGCAGTATCTGTGGTATGTATGATACCACCTGAGTGTTGATTATCAAACTCCATTCACTCCAGCGTCCGCCGATCAAACAAAAAGTCGCGGCGCGCGCGCCTCAGGAACGCAGCCAATCGGCTGCTCCCGCACCTTTACTCCCTCCGCTCCGCCATCGACTTCAAAGCTCCCTCGCTCGCCCGAGCGCACACAACATCCCACCTCCGATCACTCCACCACCGCTCCCTGACCTCCAAGATGACTTCACGGGAGCCACGGTAAGCTTCACTGCCGCCATTGTCCCGCGGGCATCACAGCTGACTTCTCCAGCTTCAACCAGCACGTCCTCATCGACACCACTCCCCTCCCCGACCACATCCCCAAGGTGCAGGAGATCGGCGCTTCCTCCGCTCCCCTCTTGAGCGCCAGCTACTTCATCGGCGCAAGATGCAAGGCCTACAATGACGACTACATGCAATGCAAGACGGAGGCCAATGGCAGGGGTGAGCTGGACTGCATGCGCGAGGGCCGGAAGGTGACTAGATGTGCGGCGTCGGTGTAAGTCTGAGACCAGCAACAGTGACTATATTGGAGGAGAGCACTGATCATGGGAATCACAGCCTGGAGGACATCAACAACAGCTGCCTCACCTACTTCCGAAAGCATTGGGAGTGCCTGGAGAACAACAACCAGCAATTATGGCAATGTCGAAGATTCGAGGGCAAGCTGAACAATTGTGTATTCGAGAAGCTGGTGAGTTGGTGTTCGTTGGCGGTAACCTGTCCATAATTGTCGCTAACACTCGATGCGCAGGGTCTGGAGAAGAAGATTCCCGGCGCGCCGGAGAATGAGGTTCAGGTACATTTGAGGAAACGGCAGATCTTTGCGGACTCCATTCGTGACCAGATCCCCTGGCCCGAGGCTGTCGAGAAGGCACGAGACGAGAGGGACTTTGGGAAGGCACAGTGAGGTCATTAATCTTGATCGTAGCGGCCAGATGTACAGGCATGATCAATGCATACCACAAAGATGTGCCTCGCGTTTCACTGAGTTGCATGTATGTGCAGGGAGAAAGCTGTGTGTCTTTGAGCAGTCATGCCCAGGGGCTGTAGCACCAGAAGTGAGTCACTGATCTCCGCTGAAAGGAGACCCTTCTGTTCTTGACTCTCTTCTCCTGCTCCGCGACATGGGGCTCACCATGAGCGTCGATGCTGAGTGCTTTCTGTTTGCACGTCAATCTCACAATCGTCTACTGCAAGCCCCATGACCGCGAAACAGCAGGAGTATTCCAAGTGCGCGAGGCGACCAGAGCGATCTTGATCGAGCATTCTACGACGCTCGGTCTGGCGAGTTTTACAATCATGATGAGCGCCGTCTCAAGACGCTTGTCTCCGAACTTGCTGCGCAGACAGGAGTGGACCTTCGTACGGAAGTCAGCGTGGTCAATAGTGCGACAGGTGCGCATTCTCAGGATTGCAAGCGATTTGCGGTTCTTGAGATTCTCCATTACAAGGTGTCAAGTGTTCAAGTGTATGCCATACAATCGGTTAGGGTTAGGGTAGAGGTTCACGACCCAAATTTCCGAACTACATGCATCACCCTCGACCACTCTACTGTGTTCGTTCAAACTCTTTTACAAATCGTTTCAGCCAACCGACGGAGGGCAGATATGGGCTGGCTATGGTCGTCGCCGCCTCATAGAGAGGGCGGCGCAGAAACCACAATGGATGATGGCCATGCTCCCACCAATGACCCAACGAGCAAGCCTCAATCCCCTCCGCCCTCCTCTTCCTCTAGCTGGGGCCTCAGCGTCGCCCAGCGCCAACGCATCTTCGGCAAATCCAGCGTGCTGCAAGAAAACGACGAAACGCGCGACAAAGCCGCCGACGCCGACCTCGAAGCCTTCCTCTCCTCCCTCTCCCCCGGCGAGCAAACCACAACCTCCGATCCCACCACCGCCACCTCAACAACAACCCCAGCCCACCACGACCGCATGCTCCCCGACGGCACCCTCAACATCCACCCCTCCGCCCTCTACCCGCGCACAATGTCATGCCGCCAAGCCTTCGACTCCGCCTTCTACTGCCAATCGCTCGGCGGCAAGTTCAACGACATCTACCGCTTTGGAAGTCTGCAGTCCTGCAGCGAGCACTGGGGCGCCTTCTGGTTCTGCATGCGCACGAAATCGCTGCCCAAGGCGGAGAAGGAGGCGCAGATTGCCGACTACTATGCTAAGCGTGAGGAGCGGCGGAAGCGCGAGTTTGGGAGTAGTGAGGCTGTTTGGGATGTGAGGGAGAAGCCGGTTGTGCGGGCTTTTGGGCGGGATCCGGATGCGTTGGATGAGGAGGGGGTGGATGGGGTTGTGAGGGAGAGACAGGCGGGGAGGATGCCTTGAGAAAAGGACCGGTGGATCTTTGAGATGGACTGAATTCCTACGCTGTGCTGGTCTAATATCTGGTCTGCGCAAAGATGGATCCGATGCCGAGACTACACATCGTCATCACTCACCAACCCGACGAGTCTCCGCTCCGCAAGTTGCATAATCTTGTCGCCCAACACGTCGCGGTGGAATCTGGACGCAATCTTGCCCGCGGCCTCCAGCATCTTGCCCGTGCGGTCTTTCATCAATGTGGCAATCTCCAACGCCTTCATCCCGTGCTCCTCGCCTTCCCTGCACTCCGTCGCCAACAGTTGCAGCAGCACTTTGTCCACCTCGCGCTCCAGAGTCGGCACTTCCTGGCGCTGCGCGTGCGTTGCGTTCGTGTTCTCCAACAAGTCCATGTGGAGAGAATGCTGCAGACACGCGCGCACGTATTGCTCCTCGAGCGTCTTCTGATGCGTCGTCTCCTTATCGTCTTCCTCTCCGGCCGTGGAAGCAGAGACGGGAATGCTAAAATCGAAATCGGAGAGGAGAGGTCGAGGGAAGTAGGGATACTCCTCGCCGCCCTTCAAGATGATGCAGTGGAATTTATTGTTGGCGACCGCAATAGGCCAATAGCTCTCTTCCTTCTTTCCGCCCGCCAGACGTTCGAGCGTCTTCGTGTCGAGTAGCGGCACCCACTTCGCTTGTCCGGGAGTGCGCCAGTGGTGAAGAATGAGCAGGACGCCGGCGGTGTCGTAGATGCAGGGGTCGCCATTGTCGCTAAAGAAGACACTCTTCAATTCCACGTCTTCGGGCAGGGGAAGGACATCCTCGCTTTGGCAGCTTTCGTCTCGCTTCACGTTGTCGATAGTGTACAAGAGTCTGGTTCTTCCATCACCGCCAATCGATCCATTGCCGACCGTCATGACATAATCTCTCCAGCTCGCACACGCCACTGCCGGCATGCTTTTCTGGCGGTAGATCTTCAATGGAAGTCCGAACAAGCTGTACACGCGCACGTATCCGGCGCTCGTGGTCGCAACAATACAAGAGTCGCTCAAAGACATGGAAGTCACTTGTTCGCCAGCCGGCAAATGCGTTCGCCAGTCTGTGCGCGAGGTCCATGTCTCGTGTGGTCGGTAGTGGAGGACAGCTGGGTGGCGAGTCGACGGAGGGCACGAGAACAAGGCACCCTTCTCGTTCAAGCATGCCTTGTCGTACATATGCGGATCGGTGAAGTGAAAGTCGCGGTGTTCCTGGCGGTCGTAGAATTCCACCGTCACGGTGTGATGAGTCTCTTGGTCGACTGTCCATACGAAACCCGTCAAGTTAAGGCACAGGTAACGACGATTGCCCTTCCACGGTGTGCTGCCGGGCTGGAATGATTCATGGATCTTTGGCTGCCAGATTGCTTGCTGGACGGGTCGCTTTGCCTGACGGCCTTCGATGGTGTTGGCTACGCGCTTTCCATGGCGATTGGGCTCTTCAGCGTAGCCAGCTCCGTCATCGTCTTCAATGAAATCCGCACCGTCCTCGGACATTGCATCGTCTAGGAGCGAATCGATGTAATCGTTTTCGGAGGCGTGGGTTCCCGGCTTGAGGCCGTTGGTCATCGGTCGCTGAGCATTGCCCGAAATGTCTGAGAGAGGATCGTTGTTGAACGGCGCAGGTTGGAGGACGATCTTGAGGAGTTTTGCATGCACGCCAGGTACGAAATCCTCGCGGATGAAGAGTTCGCCGTTGTTATTGGTGTAGGACAGTACGTTCTCCGTCGGATGCCATGCCATCTCGAGAATCACATTCTGCACGTCGTCGAAGCTCTTGAGGATACTCTGAGTCTTTGTCTCCCACAATACCAAGCTCTTGTCTGCTCCAGCCGTCACTAACAGAGCCCCATTAGGCGACCATGTAGCCGCAGTGATATCGCCACGATGGCCGCCCTTGAACGCCTTCTGGTGTGACCAATCGCTGCGGGCCACAACCTGGAAGTCTCTTGTGGCGGTCGGTGCTGCAAATGCTCTTCCGTCAACGTGCCAGGAGACTCGAGTGTTGGTGTCTGATTCCGTCTCGGTCGTCTTGATCAAGCCGTCAATTCGCTTGAGGAGCTGGGGTGTCTGAGAGCTGATGGAGTACATGTACACAATGCCGTCGGTGCAAGATACGGCAATGGTGGAGCCCGTAGCATCGAAGGAGACGTTTTTGGCCGGGCGACGATGTTCTCGAAGGTACAGGACCTGTGTCATGTCCTGAGTATTGACGACCTTGACTTCAACCTCACTACCACTTTCTTAGCATGTACTTGCCATGCATGTTTGATCGAATCACTCACTCGCTTGACACCGCAGCCCACGCACCATCAGGCGAGAGAGCAATGTCTCTGACGGGCAGTGTGCACCGCACCAGCATCTCTTCCATCTGGTTCGTGACCAGCGAGTATTTGGTGACCGAGCCATCCTCCGTACCCACCAGAAACCAATCGTTGGCGGCCGCTACAGCCAAGTGCTCTTCGGTATTAACGTCGATGGTAGCCGGCTCGCCGTCGTAGCCATGCTGGAAGACTCGGAGGGCGCCGTTCAGGCCCACGGTGACGAGTTTCTTGCCATTCGGCGTGTAGCTGAGAAATGTCGGGCCCGGTGCGTCTAGTTGGAATCAGCATGCTGCTATTGCCATGGCAATTATCTGGAACATCTCACGAGCTGGTCTGCCACGTAGTCTGGCTGCCATGGTGTCTCAACCTATGATCGGGGACGAGCGTGGATTGTGTGAGCGACAAACAATGAGGTGGTCGAGGCAGGCACAGCGCCAAACGTCGGGGAAACGCGTGGGAAAAACACCGACGCGTTAAGTGAGCGCGACGCACGGACCATCACGCGAGGGTCCAAAGGACTTTCGCGAACTGAAACTCGGGACCTCACTTTCATTCTCACTTCACATTCGGTTCGAGGAAGTCTTCCACACTCTTCAGATCCCTACTTTTCCCCTCGTTCTCACACACACGCTCTCTGAACCTCCACCACAACACAGCAACCATGAGCGCAACGGAGCCCACCACCAGCGCCGACACGCCAATGGAGTCGCCCGAGAAGCTCGACAAGGGCAAGGGAAAGATGGCCGCGCAGGATCCCACGCAAGAAGAGGAGGACGACGATGAAGAGGAGAGCGAAGAAGACGAAGAGGTATGGCATGCTCTCTCCCCTTTTCCCACAGCTATCCACTAACATCATAACTCGCAACAGGTCGGTGAAGGTAATCACTCACTCACCACGGCATCCCCTGCCCAATGCAGCATCCACTGACATCAACGCAATGCACAGCCGAAGCAGAAGACGCCGACGAGGACAACATGGACGAAATCGACCTCGACAACATCGTGGGCACGCGCACGCGAGGCAAGAACATCGACTATGCGCAGGCGGCCAAGGATTTGGAAGCCGAGCAGGCCGAGGACGACGAGGATGATGAGGAGGATGACGACTTTGAGGATCCGGATACCGCTATGGAGGAGTAAGGGGCACGTCTCTGGAGGGCGCTCTTCGTCGCATACGGGAGGTGTAGCTGCTGTGCGCTTTCGGGTCTGCTTCGATCGGGTATGTTGGTTCTTTCATGGATTGAGGGATGGGTGCTGATGCGTGACAGGCAATCTGCTTCTACGCATCGAACGTGACAGTACTGCATCAAACTCGAACTTCATCAAAAGCATCGACTGATAGACATCATGAATCTTCCACACACGTGCCATGCCTGAATTCGTGAATAATCTTCAGTTAAAGCGCACACTCCATGCAATGCCCCCAGACCCTTTCCCGCAGTCAAATGATCGCGACTCGTCTAAATGTTTCCTCACATCGTATTCCCTTCCACATTGCCCTCACATTCTCAGAAATGCACATGCCCAAATGTCCCCTCAATATTCCAGCCGCAACTTGGTCCCCACCGACCCTCGTCGCTCCGCGCGCATCTTCTCCGCCGGATCCTCCTTGTTCTCCGCACTGTTGGCCTTGATCGCCTGCATAAGCATGCCAGCGTCGAAAAAGCCGTCTGCAACGCAACAAAAGTCAGCATAACCCACAGCAACACAGGAAGCAGGCGAAAAAACTCACATCCTCCCATATCATCGTCGCTCTCCTCCGTACTCTCATTCTCCAACTGCTTCCCAGCCGCAGTCGTGCTATCCACAATCCGCCCGCGACTCTTCACCCGCTGCCCCGCGCCACGCGGCCGCTTCGACTCCGCCTCGCGCGCCCGACTCGCCCCCTTATCATGCCCCCCGCCCTGTTGCGTCTGGCGCAACAACTTGCGGATCTCGATAAAGTACGCTTCGATAGCGTCGACGAAGCGCTTCGTCTGCCGGTGCTTGCTGCTCGCGCAAATGGAGATGGAGCCGTCCTTGATGATGTACCCGATGCCGAAACCGTCGCCGGACGTCGGGCCGAAGCCAAAGTGGCGCAGCGACGGATTGCCGCAGTTGGAGGTGCTGAGGATGGTGTTTTGGATCTTGTCCCAGCCGGCGTCGGCGAAGATGGACGGCAGCGAGTTGTTGTGGTAGTGGTTGGAGCGCAGCGGGCTGGCGTTGGCGCTCGCGCCACTGTCGTCGCTGAGCAGGCTGTTGCGCTGCGAGGGCGACTTGGATGTCGATGCTGGGCTGGCGCGGCCGTTGGTCCCGGTGCTCGCGCTGTCGCGGTCGCGCAGCGAGTTCTCCGCCTCGCGTTGCCATAAGCAGCACAGCGCGTACAAGTGGCGGTCATGGCCTTCGGCTTTCGAGCACTCTTTGGTGATCTTGGTGTGCTTCTCGCAGGCTTTGCGGAGGGCGTCAATCTTCGCTTGCGGCTCCTTGTCCGCCCAAAAGGTGCGCACGAACTCGGTGCTCTCGCGCGTCACCTGTCGAATTGCTTCTGTGCGGCCGTGGAAGTAGATTTTGGTCATGGCGGGCTCATATTGAGACTCCAGCCGGCCGTACATGCCGTAGTAAGCTGCTTGATAGGCCATCTGGACAAACGCGTCGGGTGAGAAGCCGTTGGAGGTCATGAAGTTCTTGCCGTACGACATGAACTCTAGTGTAGCGAATTCGTTTTGTTGAATCAGATCTGCCAGGCGTGTCTCGGCGAAACGGAGGGCGGTCGCCATTTCCGGGATCATGTCCCACTCCAGCTTGTGTGGGGTGGTGCTGACATCGCCGAAACTGTCGGGATCTCTCTTCGAGGGATCCGGAGAGGTCGATGTCCAGAGCGATGGGGCTTGGCCGTTGATGCTTTTGGCGAATCGGAGGATGGTGTCGGTGTAGACGTCGGAGGCGAAGCGCAAGACGGTGTGGCCATCCACACCAGTGTGTTCAAAGTTGATACCGGCACTGCCGTTCTTGCACACGATGATTTGCAACTTGTCATACCATCGGTTGGTACACGTGCCCACCTGGACGCCTTTCTCTACGACGGAGGTTCCGCAGAGCATGTTCATACACAAGTCGGAGCTCGTCTTGGGCTCGGTGTAGTCCAGACATAGGATGAAGAGGGCGGAATCGACGATGTTGAGGCAGTCACTGTTGTTGGAGCCCTCGTCTTTGCTGATGACATCTCTCAAGCCGGACCACACCTTGCGGTTCTCCGTGCTCAGGACGCCAACGGCACCTTTTGCCGCTTCATAGATGGGTGTGTTTTCGGCGTCTTCGACACAAACCCGAAGATTCACGGCCAGATCCTTCTCGGTCATGATCAAATCGCTGTTGTCATCCAGAGCATCGAACCAGTAGAACTGGCCTTTGCACAACACGACAATGTGTTTGCTGCTTGGATCCTGGCCGATCTGGCATCCGTTCTCCGTGGGAATACGAGCCGTACCGAACAAGCGGGAGTACTGGTACATACATAATGGCTGATCCCGGAGCATGTCGGGCGGCAGCTCCTCTTTTCGGACCGCACGGACGAAGGATAGAGCGGACATGACGAGAGACGCGGCGCGGGTGACCTGATTATCACGAGCCGGGGTCGGGTCATCCTCGAGCAAAAAAAAGGGATTGAGATTCAGCACGACGGGGTTGTCGAAGTTGAGATACGAGTCGTACCCTGGATGGAGGATTAGTGGGACGTGCAAGGCGAGAGGAGGAAGGTGACCTTACAGAACTGTTCGATATAGCTGGTCTTGTCAGCGGAGTAGTACTTGAGTTTGTCCTGCAGGCCAGGCCCGTCGGTTCGCAGAAACTCCTCGACGGCATTCTCGCTGTCCTGGTGTTCGCGGTGGGTTTGGAGCGGATAGAGAGATTCCAAGTAGCGTTTGCACGTCGCCTCGAGGTCAGGAATGGGCAGCTTAGGCAGGTTGTCCTGGGCGGCGAACGTGATGCCGGATTTAGTCTTGCCGCTATTGTTGGTGACGGGATTATGGTCGTCCTTGGAGTACTCGTTGGCGGCCTCCTTGGCACTGGCCTCGGAGCGATCCGCCATCTTGGACGAACCCGACTTGCCGCGGGTGCGATTGAGGAGGGTGGAGTCAATGGATTGCAGAGTGCGTACTGTAGTCATGGTGATGGTAAGCGGGTGGACTTAGGAATGTAGCATGCAAACGTGCGTGGCGATGGACAATCCACGCAGAGACGTTCGGAAGAAGTAGTGGCAGTCCTGGTGGTAGTAGTGCGGCATCGAGCACGCGGAGATGAGCTTTGGTGTAGGAAGAGGGCAGAGGCGAGAGCTTGGTAAGGGAAGCAGGAGGGGGGAGGAGAGGGTAGAGGTGAGATTCTAATAGGTAGCAGCACCCCGCAAGCGAGAGGGAAGGCAGTAGATGTGGTGATTTGGAAAGGTGTCGAGGTGGGATGGGGTGTGGTGTCGGTGCAGCGGAGCCTCCTCGCAGGGAATCCAGGGTCGCCTAGAACGAGCAGAGAAGGGGAGCTCACCTTAAAACAACGCGCGATGCTCCACGAGTTGGGGAGTGTAGCCGGCAGAGAGGATCCACAGTGCTGGCAGCTGGTGTTGGCAAAGACTGCCGTAACCGGCGCGCCGCGTGGAGGGAGGAATATCCGCGGGCAAGAGGAAGCTGGAGGTGCGGTGCGAGACGAGGCTAGTGCCGTCTCGTCTTTTTCCTCGGCGATGGAGGAAGGAAGATGGTGTAGCTGGCAGCGGGAGATGAAGAGAGATATGAGTAGGATGAATTAAGAAGGGGTCTGTGAGACAACCCAGGGCCGATGTTGAAGCAGATCGATCAAGTGCCTGGCGCCGATTCTTCATCTACGCCTTCAAGGTTCCCTCCGGTCGTGAGGCATGACGTCGGCGCGGCCTCGGGGCGGGAGCCGAGCGCAGGCACGCGCTTAGAGTTGCCTGGAACGTCGCACGGAGGAAGGGAAGCATGTGCGTCTGCTGCCTCCTGCTCTTTGACGTGCACGTGCACGTGCATCTTTACTCTCGAGCACGTGCATCCCCCATCCCGAGCACGTGCATCTTCCCAATCACCGCATCCACGTCGACATGAGCTGTCTCCATGACCAACCTCTTGACCGTCCTCCCCCACTTCGACATCCTTCCCTTCACCCATCTCTTGCCGTCGCTGGAAAAGGCGCTCGTCTCCACCGCCGACTTGCTCACCCTCGAGCCGCTCGATGTCGCCAAACGCGCCCAAGTCCCGCCGGCAGAGGTCAAGAAGCTCACGGATGCCTTGCTGGAGGCCTTGCGTGCCGGCATCTCCCTGACCGACGAGAATGGAGCTGGCGACACGACGAGGCTGCCTTCCATCAGCACCCTAGATGATTCACTCGATGCTGCCCTGGGCGGTGGCATTGCTCCCAACTACATCACGGAGATTGTTGGCGAAAGGTAGGCTAATAGTGATTACTGCTACGAGGCCAGCGACTGACGGTATGCAGCGCCGCTGGCAAGACGCAATTTCTCTTGACGTTACTTCTATCTGTTCAACTTCCCCCATTGAAGGGTGGCCTGGGCAAGCCCGCGCTATACATCTCCACGGAAGCGCCTCTACAAACATCACGTCTGGCCCAGATCCTTGAGCACCATCCGAAACTATTCGCCTTGCCTGAGGATGAACGTCCCTCCCTCTCCCGCATCCAAAGCACCCACATCCACGATGTCGAGGCCCAAGAACACATCCTGCGCTACCAGGTCCCGGTCGCCATTCAGAAGCAGAACATTGGCCTCGTCGTCGTCGACAGCATCGCCGCAAACTACCGCGCCGAATTCGATCGCACCAAGGCACGGAAAGGCGCCGAGTCGTTCGCCAAACGCAGCCACCAGCTCACCCAACTCGGTGCTCTTCTAAACGACATTGCCCAACGCTTTGGTGTGGCCGTAGTTGTCGCCAATCAAGTCGCCGATCGCTTCACTTCCCACGATCAGCCACCACCCAGCCAGGCCTTCCTCTTCACCCAGACCACACAACGCTCACGACCCCATTCTCCCCAGCAAATGCCGCCCTCGCTCCACGCCCCAATGTCCACCAACGCACCGTCCACCGCTCCCCCAATCCTCTCCACCGACGACCCCCTCGCTCTCGACTACCAGCAACGCTTCTTCACCGGCTGGGGCGACGACTCCACCATCACCAATCTGAAAACCCCCAGTCTCGGCTTGACCTGGACGAACCAGCTCGGTGCGCGCATTGCCTTGCTCAAGCTCCCGCTCTACGATGACGACAGGGCGTATGAAGCCGGCGAGGATCGCGTTATTGCGGCATGGCGGCGGACGGCGAAAGTCGTCTTTGCTGCTTGGTGTGCTGAGGCTCAGGCCGATTTTGAGATTTGGCAGGGTGGGGTGCGAGGTGTTGTTAAGGATGGGGAGGGTGTGACTTGACCATGGGGACTCGTCTTTTGGCATTTGGCGTCTTGTTGTTTAGCAAGCGACAATGCTGGAAAGCTCTCTGAAATGCGGATAAAGAGGATAGACCGATCATGAGGAATACATCAAAGTGTGCGCACCGTTCGTAACACTACAAGCCTACAAAGGGTATCCTATGCACCAGTCTCCAACTCCTCCCTATGCATTGGACCTACCATCACACCCCTCTCACCTTCCGATAACTCGGCGGATGCACCGCCATCCGAATCACCTTGCCCGCATACACCGGCACCAGACTCGCCGCGCTAATGGCCGCAAAGCGCCACCAGAACCCCACGCCGCCCACAATCCAGCCAAGGTCAAAGTACTCGCCGAGGAAGGGCAGGCTGCCAAAGTACACGAGCGCCGTCTGCACGATGGAGAAGATCATCAGCGGGTGCCAGGTGGTGATTTCCGCCGCGACCATGACGAGTTCGTTGATGACGAGCACGGTGTAGGAGACGGAGACCATGCGTTTGAAGCCGGTTGTGGAGGTGAGATTCGGGACTGAGACGCCATTGGTGGATGTGAAGCCGGGATCCAGCAGCTCGCTGCCGCCTTGGATGATGAGGCCTTGGTAGACGCTGATGCCCACCCAGACGAAAAACGTTTTGTAGCTCAGACTCCTGCCCGTCGTGAGTTCTTTGTAGAGCTCAGGGTACAGGTTCGCGAGCCCCTCGTCGACATCTTGATCCAGCACGAGGCTAAACACCGGCATCATGGTGTAGATTGTGGCGTAGCCGACGAGCAGCCAGTCGCGGTAGAGCGCGATGGGTTCGAAGTGCGATGCGACGGAGAAGACGGTCTGGCAGACGCTGATGATGAGGCCGCGGTGGATGACGAACTGCGCGAGCTTGGCGCTGCGCTTGTAGCTGTTGCGCCCGTGCCAGACGAGCAGTTTGGTGAGGAAGGCGAATTGCGTGATGCTAAAGTCGGCGGCGAGCGAGGCTTGTCGCCCTTCTTTGCCGACAATGCCAACGCCCACGTCTGCGGCTTGGATCATGGATACGTCGTTTCCTCCGTCGCCGATACAGGCGATACGCTTCTTGGTGAAGGCGCGGATGAGGCGAGCAACGTCTGCTTTTTGTGTGGGAGAGCAACGGCAGGCTATGACTGCAGGCAGGCGGACGGCGAGGGTGATGAAGGCGATGCGGTGGTGCTGGAGGTAGATGGCCAGCGATTGGCCGTCGATGAGCAAAGCAGCATTGGGCTGGTTGTGCAGCACGCTCAGAGCGTCCAGAGCGGCTTCCTTCCGTTTCAAGCCGGCGATGGTGTGGATGTATTGCCCTCGGCTCACGAGCTTCGAGCTGACGGCAATGCACCTCGCCGTTTCCACCTTGTCGCCCGTCAGCATCCAGATCTTGATGCCGGCGTTCTTGAGCAGCTCCAAACTCGACTTGACGAGCGGCTGTAACTTGTCCTCCACTCCCGTCACGCCGAGTAGCTCCAGGTTGTGTTCGAGATGCTGCTTGACGACTCTAGCCATCGCCGCATCTCGCCCAACCAACTCCAACGAGGCATCAGAGTAGGCAGCAGTAAATGCAGCGTATTGCTCCGAGCTCAACGTTTTGCGTCCAATGACTAGCGTTCGCAAACCCTCTCGGGCCATGTTCGCCGTCTCCTCGTCCAGCCAGTCGTTCGCCGCCACGATAGACGTCATGACAGTGTCGGCGCCTTTTTGAAAGAACACGATCTCGCCATCCCCGCCGTTTCTAGCGTCTGCATGTCGCAGGAATCGCACGACGATCCCCATGCGCTTGCTGTCCGATGTAAAAGGGAAGAGATTCAAGATCTCCACCTTGACGACCGTGCGAGAGTCACCGGTGAATTGCAAACTGATGCTCTTGCGATCTCGATGAGCGAGTTTCAGACCCACCAGCTCCGTCCATTGCACAATGGCGATTTCATCTGGCGAAGAGGCTTGATATGCTGTGACGGGTTGGCCTGCTTCGTCTTCCTCGATTGTCGGTGTGACGTTGTGACTCAATGCTAACGCCAGCACCAGATCTCTCACGCGAAGTCCAATCTCTCTCCTCGTCCTTGTCGTGCCGCTTGTTGGATTGAACGCCATCGACGGCGTGAAGAAGGCACTGCTGCCTTGACCGTCTGCGAGCGCAAAGGTCTGCCTGATGTAGCTACTGACTTCTTCCATCGCCTCGCCGCCGTAGCTCACGGTGCCGACGTGCACCTTGCGCAGCACCATTTCGTTTCGCGTAAGGGTGCCCGTCTTATCCGTGAGCAGATACTCGATCCGGCCTAGATCTTCGGGGATCGTGCTGGTTCGGACCACGGTGCCTGGGATGTCCGGATCACGGTGAATGTACCACGCGTACACACTCTTGCCCATGTCGAGGTTGACGCGCAGAGAGATGGGCACAATGGTGCTGAACAGAATGAGGAATCGCATGACATTGACATACCATACATGGTCGTTGATCTCGTTGAAGCCTTCGAGCGCGACGAGGATGAAGGAGAGGGCGGCGGTCAAGATGCAGAGGATTTTGGTGAGGGAGTTGATTTCGAGTTCGAGAAGTCCGATTTTGGAGCGTGGTTCAGAGGTGGAAAGAGCAGCACGAGTCTGCGGTCCGGTGTATATGACGACTGCGTGCACGGTGGTGTTGGATGCAAGGACGGTGTTGGCCCACGCTGTGTGGTCGATGGTAAGGGGCGAGGAGCGGGAAGTAGCCGGTGCGGCTGGATCGGTCTCTGGTAGATGGCCGTTCGGTTGGGCCGGCTCTGAAGTCTGCGAGATGTACGGGTCGTATGCACGACCTCGCTTTGGAAGGAGATTGATGGTACCCGCGAAGTCGTTGACTCGTTTGTCTGGCTTGCCTGCGATGACTTGTAGACGGACGTATTCGGATTCGGGAAGTGCCTGAGCAAGCGGCACTGCCAGTCGAAGCTTCCAATCTGTCTCTCCATCCAGCTGATCGGTCCGTATGAAGGCTTCTCCGCCTCCGCTCGCATCTTCTGTTGTGGTTTCATTGTCCAGATCAACTCCCGAGTCACCTTCCACGATGAGCGTGTCGTCCAGAGATGCTGTACCATCCTCCTGCTCTTTCACGGCGGCATCCGCCGATACACTTTTCAGTATTGCCACATCCGCTGGAATTCGTGACCCCTTGCTCAAAACGAGCACATCACCTACTTTCAAGTCTTTGGCTGCTTTGACCATTGTCATGACACTGGAACTGGCCAGCTCCTCATCAAGCTCTGCCTGCTCTCCACCTCCTTGTTCCGTCCGCTTGCGTTTCGCCTTCCTCTTCTCCGTCAAGTGCGCAGTCTTACTCCTTCGACTCTCCCCAGACAGCTGTCCACCGACACGTCCGGGCTCGTCGAAGCGTAAGACTTTGTACGCCTCGCTATTGGCCTCATTGTCCCTCTTCCTTCGGTACATGTCGTCATACGCTTCTTTGCCCAGGGTGACGGAGATGACAAAAGCCAAGGGAGCGATATAAGTCGACAGATAGCCGATGCGCAGCGCGGGAAGAATCTGCGACACCGCAACTAGGAGGAAGTACATGTTCAGGAATAACTTGAACTCGTTGTAGAGGGTGCGGGGGAGGAAGGAGTATGCGGTATATTTGGCATGCGAGACGGCATTGAGAGGGAAGCGAATGGGCTGCTTCTGGCCGACTGTAATGGTTCGTTGGGAGGAGGGATCGTGCTCGTCTTCGGGGTCGAGGGGGTCGAAGGATTCGGCGAAAGAGGAAGGTCGCATGAAAGCGGGCAGGAGTCTCCATGGCCACTTTTGTTGCCGTGTGTCGAGGCCTTGAAGGAAGCTGGCATGGGAGGCTCTCCTTGTGTAGCCGTTGGTGAGGAGGGGAGCGTCATCTTCGCCGCCAAAGCCTGAGCTTACGACGGGTTGTCTAGCAGTGAACAAGTTCCCCTCGTCCGCCAACGCCTCGAGGTCTGCATCGTGAGCGTGCGGCGGTCGTCTCCTTCCCCCGAAACGTAGGTTGCGTAGTGGTATCCGATTTCCAAAATCTTGACTGAGGCGCGACGCGAATGACGATGGGCGTGTGGCTGAGGAAGTGTGAGGATCTAATTCGTCAAGATCGATGTCGATGTCGGAGGCGCGGTCATCTTCGTGGAAGTCGTCTTGGTCTGGAGGCTGCCGGTAGCCAGTTGGCCTTGACATGCCTCATCTGGCTGATCTTGGGGTTGACGATGAATTGTTGGGTGTTGAGTGCTTCGTTCTGTTTCTCCTTCACCACCATCTGCGCGTGTCCAAGGGATGTATTAGGGGAAGAAGAAGAGAAGGTGGCCTTTGTCAGTCTAGCCAGCAGCATAAGACACGCCCGTCGTTCACATGCGGCGTCGCTTGCGCGCACGGGCCTCCTTCCCGTTTGGGGAAACTCGTCTCCCCCGAGTCGCCGCATCGTCCGTCCACTCCATCCATCGACCTCCCTTTCTCCCACACCACACATCGCCTCACTCCCCTTCCCGCACCATCCAACACCTCGCTGGAGCTGCTTCAGACATGCATCTAATGTACCAATGATCTTCTGCTCTTGTCATTGCGCAGCGTTGTCTTGCATTTGTCCGTTCATCCCAGCATCCGCAAAGGGATACGTGGTGGCTAATGTTGGACGATTTTTAGGTACATTTCCTTTCACGCGCAATTGACGCGGCCCTCCTTTCGTAATACTGGACAATGGACAACGATACGAGCGAGCCTGCCAATGTCTTCACCTCCCACTCCGCCGGCGCGGCCGCAGCCTCCTGGCATCCAGCTTTCCGAAACAACAGCGACGCGGTCCCCGAGGAGGAGGACGACTTCTTCGCCCGCTATCCAGGACCTACTCCGAAGAAGAATGACGTGAGTGATGCTACGGACAACCACAAGCTGTTTGAGCCGGAGTCGCCGTCAAGAGAAAGGAGTTCATCAATCGTACACAATATCGAGACCGACGACTCCCAAACAGCGCCGGAAGAAATTCAGCAGGTGTCTGAAGCTGATGTGGGACTGGACGGGCACTCCAATTCGGAGTTGAATAACGGAGTGGAGCAGGAGGCGTGGGCTCAGGATATTGAAACGCCGATACTGTCACATCAAGATAGTGTAGAGGAACAAGAGCAGGCGCTAGAGGAACACTTACCGGATGATCCTGTCCTTGATGTCGAGAGCGCACAACCTGCAGAGGGTGCTGAGTACGAGGATGAAGAGGCACCTGCTGAGCATTATGAACATCAAGGGGAAGGGACCGAGATGGAAGAAGGCACGGAACCGAGCGCCGCGGAATCGTTGTTGGAGAACGAACAGCCAATGCCGACCGCACAGCCTCTGGACCAGGTGCAACAGGAACCGCCCAGACCACATCTCGATCGGTCCTTCACCACAAACTTTTCGGACTCGCCTGTCGAAGCAGTGCAGCCGCGATCTATGCCAGACGAGTGGCCTTCCGTGGGAGACGACAAGACGTTTGGCGAACTATTAGACCACGAGAGTTCGACGGTGCATGGGCATGGGCATGGGCATGATCACGAGGCTTTGGAGGCTGCCGCTGCCGAGGAATCTGAAGGAATTGCTGCTCCAGATGCTAACCCCTCCCCCGAGGAAACGACGAATCAACTTCTAGAAGGAACGGCCGCCGAAGAAGCGCAAACACTGTCAGCACCAGACGCCGATCCGCTACTGGAAGATGGCCCCGGAGAAGAGGATCTAGCTGCTGCGTGGGGAGCTGCATTGGACGATGATGATATGCTTGTAGAGGACTCGGGTGGTCTTGATCCGTCATCTTTCTTTGGCGAGGATGATGATGGCTTTCTGGACGATGAGCCGTTCCTTGAGCAGAGCCCTGCAGCCCAACAAAAACCAGCAACCGCTCAGCAAGCAGCACCGCACACATCACCCGGCATGCCGAGTCCACAATTCTTCAACCCAACTGGGCACGGCCGATCTGCTGGTACACCTTCAACCGGCCTGTACGATGTCTACAATCACTCTGCGACCCAGCCTCAAGCGCCTCAACAACGCCCCCCGGCGCTCCAGCAAGCCCAAAGCTTCTCGGACAAATCAAAGGGCGGATATCAGTCCCCGTACGACCTTCCCATGGAAGTTGTCAAGCCGAGAAGACGGCCCCAGGCATCGCAACAGCCTACGCCGCTTCAGACATCGCCGGCAATACCACCGCCGCGCAGTAGTAGCTTTGGATCACCCAGCGTGCCGCCGCAAGGCCCCGGCTCCAACTTGTCACCGCCACCTTCGAGAGACTCGACTAGTTCCAAGGGTATCGCACCCGCAAAATCCACACCGAAGACTGCCAGCGGCTTCTTTGAAGAGCTGCCTGTCACTGCCAAGCCTCGCAACCGTCCTGCAGGCACCCCACAGCCTATGCCCACGCCGCCGCTTCAAGCGGGGTTGCGGTCTCCGCCTCGTGGATTACCTCCGCAGCAGCAGGCATATTCTGCAACGAGCGCTGTTTCTACACCGCCAGCATCTCAGCAGTCGAGTGTATATGGCGGTTTGAGACAGCCCGAAAGGATGCCCCTTATTCCGGATCAACCTGTACAGCAGCAGCAGCCCGTGCAAGCCCCTGCGCCCAACACAAGATACTCTCCCAGCGCCCAGCAAGCAGGTGGTCACGCGCCGAGCATGCCTCCAGCATCACAAAGCAGATATTCACCTGCTCCGGCTGCGGCTGCAAACACATCGCACCCTCCAGCCGCTGCTGCCCGGTACTCGCCCGCTCCAGCTTCTCAGCCAATGCAAGCAATGATGCGCCAGACATCCGGCCCAATTGCTCCTCCTGCACAGCAAGCCAATCTTTTCGCGCCGCGTACCAGCAGCCCTCTTGCTGCGTTCACCGACAAGCCGCACGCTGCGGTCCCCTCAGAACCGCCAGCACCGCGGAACGTAATGCCATCCTCGTCTCCAAAAGCCTACGGACTGCAGAGAGGTATTACCGACACTCGATATTCGCCCGCCAAGAGCAATGAGATTCCACCACAAATTGGGGTTCCGTTGCAACAACGTCCACAGACTCAGAGCCCTGACCAGACGATGAAGCAAGCGAGGATGACGAGGCCGGCTTCGGGTGGCGCTCCTCTCACGTCGATGCCCACGGGTCCCGTACTGCCGCACCGAAGGAGATTCTCCCGCGAGTATTTGTTGACCCCTCCACAAGACGACCGTGCACAAGACCCACTCGAACGATGGAAAGGCTATCCCATCTTCAATTGGAGTCCAGGCGGCACTATAGTCTCCAGTATGCCCAAACACACACCTTTCTATGCTGCTGGATCAGGCGTACCTACTGCGAAGCGCACTCCGGGACCAGTCATTACACAAGATGCGGAACAACTACTACCGATGAACGAGCGGAATGCCAAGTTCCCGGGCCCACTTGCGGCGAAGAGCAAGGGCAGAAAGAAGGATGTTGTAGCGTGGATGGGTGGCAAGATTCAAGATCTCGAGCAACAGACGCAGGCCGCCACGATGGATTTTTCCCTCTCGCCTGACCTCAAAAAGAGGGCGGAGGAGAAGCTGGTCCTGTGGAAGATGATGAGACTTTTTGTTGAACACGACGGCGTCTTGGATGGCAATGCCAAGGTTGTGGAAGAAGTGAGGGCCATCCTTTTGCCCAACCTGGCTCAGCTGGCGCAGATTTCGGAGCTGCAGAGTCCCGGATCGGCGGTGGTCGAGAGAGATGCAGTGGACAAGCACGTCACGCTACAACTACGACAGGCGCTGCTCGAAGGGAATCGCGAGCGGGCTGTATGGCTTGCGGAAGACAAGAGGCTATGGGGTCACGCAATGCTCATCGCATCTACCATGGGCCCCGACACCTGGAAACAGATTGTCCAGGCTTTTGTACGGAATCAAGTCAAGAGCTTCGGCAGCGATGCGAGGAGTCTGGCAGCGTTGTACCAGGTCTTTGCCAACAATTCCGAGGAGTGTGTCGATGAGCTCGTGCCGCCTTCTGCCAGAGCTGGCTTCCAGATGATTAGCATGGCCGATGGAAGTGTGGCTGGTAACCCATTGGAAGGACTCGATCAGTGGAGAGAGACGCTTGGATTGGTGACTAGCAACCGCACGACCAACGATGCGCAATCGCTCATTTCCCTCGGTAAGCTCCTGGCTGGCTATGGCAGAGTGGAAGCGGCACATACCTGCTACCTGTTTGCTCGGACGTTTGTGAAGCATTCCGGCCCTGATGATGCGGACGCGCATTTTGTTCTGCTCGGAGCCAACCATCAGGCAAAAGACGAGACTTTTGGAAACGACCTCGACGCCATCTTGCTCACCGAGATTTACGAATACGCCACTTCTCTGTCGGCAGCGTCAACATCACCCCCTTACGTGCCTCATCTCCAGGCATTCAAGCTCGTGCACGCCCAGGAACTCGCCGCGTACGGGCTGAAGTCGAAAGCGCAGACGTATTGCGACGCCATTACCTCTGCTTACACCTCCACCACTCGACCTTCCCCCTACTATCATCCTACCTTCACCCAAGCCGTAGCGGACCTCGGTGCATTTCTGTCTCAGACGCCGCACGATGGAAAGTCTGGCTTCCTGTCTCGACCCGCTCTCAACAAGGTGTCATCGAGCGCGACTAGTTGGTTCACCAAGTTTGTCGCCGGCGAAGATGATCAGACTCCTGGAGGAGCCGCACCTAGTGGCGCGACAGGCGAGGCCGGGCCCTTTGGTGGCGTCAACGGCGACTCGGGCACCATCAGCCGAACTGGTTCGAGTAGCGAGCTCTACAATCCGATGATGGCTGCCATGTCCAGTCCGCCGCCTGTGCAGCCGATGCCTCCTACATCGATGCCGAGTCGATACACACCTGGCGCTCCGGTAACAATGGCGAAACCTGCAGCTGCACCGCAGTATAGCAGCCTTGGAACATCGGCAGCGGAATCCTCGCGACCGAGCTCCTCGCGATACGCACCCGCTTCTGCAGTCGGGTCTAATCTGGGACTTCCTGGCCAAACCTTGAGCAAGAAGACGTCAAATTATAGCCTGCCACAGGCTGCTGGTTCCAGACGAGGCTCAGGGCAGGACAATAGCTCGCAAGGGAGCTATGAGCCGCGACCGCTGCTGGCTGAGGACTCTGCTTCTCCGTATGGCTATTCCCCTCAGGTACAATATCCTCCGGATCCGTCACCCGCTGTGTCATCACCGCTGGTACTTGGAGAGGTACCTGTGTCGGCACAGCACGCTGAAGATGCCATTCCGGATTTCAATGGAATGCCCGGCCCAGCCGCATCGGACGAGCCTGCAACCGGTGAAGGCTTTAGCAGTAGCTACGAACCTCCCACCGGTGGGAGCGGCGGCTATGAACCACCCACTGAAGGCACTGGCGTCTACGAACCACCCACTGAAAGCAGTGGCGTTTACGAACCACCCACTGAAAGCAGCGGCGGCTACGAACCTCCTACTGGAGGCTACGAACCGCCAACCTACGCATACGAACCCTACGAGCCAGACGCAGACTCGCCGGAAGACGTTGCATCGCCCAAGAAGAAGCAAACCTTTGGCGACGAAGACGACAACGACGGCGGCGAAAGCGAGGTGGAACGTCGCGCCGCGGCCCTCAAAAAGAGCCAAGCGGACAAAGCGGCCGACGAAGCCTTCCGCAAGGCCGCCGAAGCGGACGCCGCGCGCGACAAAGCTGGGTCAGGCGGGCAGAAGAAAGGCTGGTTTGGTGGCTGGTTCGCTGGAGGGGCCAAGGACGGCACTCTATCACCTGGCCCCATCAAAGCCAAGCTCGGCGAAGAGAACTCCTTCTACTTTGACAAAGATCTCGGCAAGTGGGTGAATAAGAAGGGCGGAGCGGACAGCGCTTCAGCTTCTGCTGCTCCCACTCCTCCGCCTCCTCGTGGTCCGCCGAGTCGCGTGGCTAGCTTCGGCATGCAAGCGCGGCCCTCGTCCTCTGGCCCACCCTCGCGCACCTCCAGCGGTGTGGCATTAGCTGGAATGAGCAGTGGCGCTCGACCGCCTACGTCTGGCTCCGGACCAGGCTTCTCAGCGCCGCCTTCGGGCCCGGCGTCGAGGTCAGCAACACCCGCTTCGGACGCCGCACCGCCTCTCCCGCTACCGCTGGGATTGAACGGGGATCTCGCGCCGCCCAAGAGGCCTGCGTCGGGTCTGAGTGATGCGAGCAGTATCGATGATTTGCTTGGTGGGCCGGCGGGCAGCTCGCGGAAGGCGGGGACGGTGAAGGCAAAGAAGAAGGGGGGCCGGTATGTGGATGTCATGGCGGCGAAGTGAGTGAGGGATGGATGGCTTTGGATACCCCTGTCATGTCGATTAGAGGTAGGGTGAGGTATGAATATGATGCTGGCTGCATGGCAATGCTGTTGTGCTTCAGATTCTCATCTTGTGATAACGTAATCGTGTGCCTTTGGACGTCTTCGCCGCGCCATCTTCTCTGGCGCAGTCCACATCGCCGACATGGGAGGGGTCAGTCGGCGATGCTGGGTCTGGAGAAGTTGTCGTCCCAGCACAACCGAATTCACCCTTCGAGCATTTCCCGCAATATTGTACTGATGGCGTTTCACAGCCACGGTATTGGGGAGCATAAGAAGCTCGCTGGTGCGGCCGGTCTCTTCAGCCGGAGGTGGCATTTCGCGCAGCATCAGTTTCGTTATTGTCCGAGAGTGGACGTGCTCGGGTATGCATGTAGTTTTGGGTATGAAGCTATATTGTCGTAGCTCTTCGAAGGTCTACATCATTGCAGATGATGGTGAGACGTCGTGCCGGGCGCAGCAGCTAAGCTCGACCTGAGGCAGCTTGCTCTACACAGCCTTCTCCCAGCTGAGCGATATTGCGGGGACGCGGCGTTGCTGACTGCAGCATAATGGTTATTAAGGCGTCCAGCGTCGTTTCGCGACATTGAGCACAGCCCGGTCGACGAGTTGTGATAAAACGAGGCTGGCTCACGAATCGTTCGACGATCATCACTTCATACGTTCGTCCTGAAGCAAACGATACCAAGCGACCAACCTCACCCGCTCTATTATAACCCTCGCCACATCTCCCTGCCTGCGCAACCTTCACTCAACTCAACAACTCCCAAAACCGATGCCAAGTCGCCATCCCGCATGGTACATCAACTCTCTTAGCCAAGACTACTACGGCATCGACGTACCCACCCTACTGGCCAAGATCAACCGCCTTGAAGCCGGCATCCGCAGCCGCAATGAATATATCCTGCGCCGCGATGTGGAGACCAGCGAGTTGAGACGACGCCACGATAAACTGCAGAGCAATTACGACAAGCTGCGCACTGATTACAGCACTGTCTTTGATGCGTATGAGCGGGTGAGGGAGGTGTTGAAGGAGGAAAGGCGGAGATGGCGCTGGTCTCATTGAGTGGAGGCTATGAGGTCACAAGTGGGCGGCGCAGACTGTTCTCGAGGCTTCGTCAGGGCGAGAGAGCTTAGCACCGTCTCATGGCTGTTGGATGGATGATTGTCGCCGCGGAGGTCATGCTTCGTGCACGCCATCCCAGTGAGTATGAGTAAGGTTTGGTCGCTCAATAGACTGTTTCATTACTGCAAAGCATTCAAGAACACGTTCTACACTGGATGACACGGAGTTCATGCCTCAATCACCTCGAGCCGCGTCTCGATCATGAGATACCTCGGGCACTCTACGAGCGCTGCACGTGTTTTGGGCTTTTAGGCTTTTAGCTTTTAGCTTCGTCAGCTCTCGGCTTAGTTACCTAGGTATAATGCACTTTTTGCTTGTGATACACGAGACGATCACAATACCCACGACGGTCACCTCGACGTCGACCCAAACTAAGCCTTCGATTCGCCAATTTTGGAAATATTCAGCCGCCACTCTTCTATACATTTCAGCGATTTCCCCGAGATGGCCTGTGAAATATTCAATTCAGAGCCTAGCCTAATGTATAGCACATTGTCGAGCTTCTAAACGAGTGGATATCTGTGAGGCGGTACTTGTGATATTCATGAGCCGCAACTGTCGATTCTCAGCCCAGGAATGGATATTCCAAAGATTCCGTTTTATGAGTGCATGCATGCTTACACACGCAACACTGGAGGTTAGCTGCATCTCATCCGGCTCATTTCTGCTTTCCCCTCGGGCCCCAATCCTCAACGTGCGCTGACTGGCTGAGAGACTGCGGGCACTTACAGCGACTCCAGACCATCATCGCCCCATCATAGCCAGCGGTCTTCAGCGCCGTGTCCGACGGGCCAGGCGCCCGTACCCGGCGGCCTCGGTGTCCGTACCTCCGGAGATGACAGCGGAGAAGCGTGCGAGGGCAGGACAGGCGGGTACGTGGAAGGCGTCTGGGTTCAGCCTTGTCGCTATACTGATTGGCTCCGCGAGGCTTGCCCGGGCCGTGGACTCCGCCGTGGATCGGCGTGTCGCTTGCCCACTCGAGGCCTGCGAGCCGCGTTCGCAGCTTGAATGGGTCACACGCAGGCGAGGGCAGACTCTTCGACTGGCGGATTTCGCTGGAGAGTTCGCCGAGCGCCGGAGAGGTGTCCGTCTCCGTGCATTATCCCCCGCATCTGCGATTTTGAGGATCTGCAGGCGATGGAAAGTAGACGAAGTGGCAAACGCTGTTTAAGCGGCTAAGTATCCGAAACCCAGCCTTACGAGTAAGCAGGACAGACTTGAGCACTTTGATGAGAAGGTATAATACGTCCGTGACTTCGTGTTCCTACGGACTGAGTAGAAGGAGATCCCAAGACGCCTGTAAATGCCCCATGCGCCGCCGGTGCTGTATATCCTTTCCTTTTCGTTGTAGTCGCGCTTCTCATTACATTATCATTACGTGAAGGCTAGATAACCAGTGACTTGGAAAGAGATGCCGAGTGTATCGTCCTGACCAATTCCATGCACGATGCATCGGAAGTCGTGTCATTAAGTCGATGTCTTCTTGATGTGCTTCTGGGTGCGACAGTGAGCATCGTAGTGAGACTGATAGCCGAAACGTTTGTCGCAAGTAGTGCAATGAAACTTCTTGTCTTCGGGGTCGGGTGCGGGAGCTCCAGTCTTGCGGATGTGGCCTCCAGTCTTGATGTGAGCTTCCCATTGGCCTGGAAGAGTAAATCCGACGTTGCATGGATCGCAGTAGTATTTGCCATAGCCCTTGAGCTCATCGTCGCCGATGATGCGAAGATGCGTTTTGCTTTTAACGTGAATGTCCCAGGCCGATTTGTATTTGAATGACAAGTTGCAGGGTGCGCATTCCCAGTCGCCAGTGCCTCTGTCTGCTCGTTGGATATGACGGGGGGACTTGTTGTGCAGTTCCAGGGATGCATTATCGCGGCAGGAGACATTGCAGACGTCGCAATGGTAGGTCTTGTTCTGCACGGCGGCTTGCTGATTGATTTTGAGCTTGGGTGCATGCTTCGCTCGTCCAGCTCGCTGGCTTTCCTTGTAAGCTTCGGTCGGGTTGGCGCGGAGGTTGGCACCGTAGGCTCTATCGTAGTCCCGTTTGTGCTGCGCGCTGGTGGCAGCCATCGCTTCAAGTTCCTCCGCGGTAAAGTCAAGACCGTACGTTGATTCCATGAGAGAGCTGTGGCTGCATAGACCGCCGTAGGTGAAAGCATCCCGAGACCAGGGACAGACGTTGTCGAAACTGTACGATTTGGTGCGGGAACGCATAGCCCAAAAGAAACAACTGAACGCGGCCTCGAGAGCGAGAACGACAAGACGAAACAGAGGTACGTTGGCCGCAGAAGGTAGAGGACAATGCGCGAGGACAGCTGAATGGGATATCGTGTATCCCGCGGCGTAAGCCTTCTCCACGCCGCTAGGAACGGTCCTCCGCGTGGCATGGTCGCGCAGGCGAGATCGTATTCCAGTCTTGGCTTCGGTGCCAGAGCCGACGTAAATGAGTGACTTGTAACCTGGCTTTTTGAGCACCAGGACGTAAACACCCCAAGCATGCCGAGGGATAGCGGAGGGAAGAGACTCGAAAAACGAGAGAGCAGGAGGAGAACCAGCTCGAACGACATCGAGAAGACCATCAACGAAAGTGAACCCCATCAGAACAAAGACCGAACGAAATTGATCGTACGTCGGGAAGACCGTACGATAGACTGGACAAATGTAGGCCTCGACGCTGAGGCAGGCCCAACAAATGAGGAGCATGAGGCTGGAGCTGTCGGTCGCGGTGTGGTACATTTTGGCGGTCTGTCTCCTGGCGTGGCTCGGTTCTTTGGTCTGCTTGGGGTACACAGAGGAGCCAGAGTCTGAGCTGAGTTGAGAAATCCATGTTTACCACGTAAACTAGGTGGAAGGCAGGACCAGCCTGAGTGAGGAAGGACCACATCGTCTCTAGGAAGGACTCCATCGCCCCAGGGAAAGAAGTATGGGCGAGGTCCAAGTTCGCCGCAGTATTCCGCGTGACAGCTTATTCACAGTGTTTGCACAACGTGTTGCCCACTATCTGTTCACCCCAAATCGACCATCACTTTTGCGGCGGCTGGTAATACTGCTTCCAATCGTGCTCCTCCTTGAATCCCAACACCTCGCGGATCTTGCGATTGCTCAATGGCGCCTCCCACTCGCCCATCTTGCGTGAGATGGGCACATTCGGCAGGGCCTCCTTGAGGAATTTCTCCGTCGGCACCGTGGTGGTGATGCTGTCGTTGGTCGCATTGAACACCTGAAAGCCCAGGCCGCTCTTCTCGACCGCGCATGCGCACATCCGGCCGAGATCACGGGCGTCCACGTACGACCAGGCATTCCGCTTGCGCGTCTCCGGCTGTCCGACGTGCTTGGGGAAGTCGCGCGCGTACTCGTGCGGCTCGATGACGTTTCCGATGCGGAAGGCGTAGATGTCGGCGCCGTAGCGGCGGGCAAAGGTGCGGGCAGTGCGCTCGTTGCAGATCTTCGACAGGGCGTAGGAGTCCGCGGGGCCGACATCATAGTCCTCCTCCAGGGGGAGGGAGATGGGATCCGACTGATGGTCATTAGCAACTGTCTTCAATGTTCGAATCTGGACAGCAACGACATACATCTCCCTCCGAAAAGCAAAGACCGTAAGTCGTTTCCGATGAAGCGATGATGATCTTCTTCACCCCCAGCTTGCACGCGGCTTCAATCACGTTGTACGTCGACAAGACATTGATTCGGAAGCATTCATTGTCGGGCACGACGAGATTGACCGGGATGGCAGCGAAATGGATGACCGCGTCCGGAGGGGGCTCGGGGTAGCCTTGCGTATATCCATCATGGCCGTAATGAGACGTCAGGGCAGAGAAGACTTGTCCGCCGTCGGTCAGATCGGCCTTCAGCGTGTGCAGGTCGGCGTGGGGGTCGGGAAAGGGGGCGAGATCCAGGTTCAGCACCTTGTACCCTAGCTTCAGCAGTTCGGGGATGGCATGTCTCCCGGCCTTGCCACTGCCGCCGGTGAAGACGATGCGCTTGCCCGCGCCTGTCTGAGTAGCCATTGGAGTAAAGGGATTGTTCCGGCTGTCGTCCTGTCGTAGGCGAGTCAATGTTGCAAAGTCGGATTCAGAGAGTGCTTTGCAAGAGGTCATGCTTGTTGCATCCCAGAATTTTCAGAGACAGTGGAGTGCCGCGATGCTTGGACGAATATTCATGACCTGCCGCTTTGGGAAATAAATCGGCTGGACGTCATGGATGATGATTAAGACTGCTTGGTCCGTGCACGCGACTTCCAAGCTGCGCAGAGCTCACAACCGGCGACACCACCGCCTCATCACCAACATCCCGTCGCCAGCACTTCACCGTCCAGCACGCGAATGGCCCACCACTCCATCCATGACCGATGATGTCGGCTAGGCTGATGCGCGCCTTCCTGCCATCACGCCTGCTCCCCCGCCTAAACGCGATAGCCAAACCCGCGGCAACCCACCCCGCAGCTTTGTCTTCGCCATGCGACCCCCGAGCGTGTCTCGAAAGCTGCCGCTGCTTCGCCGACATCCATGAACCCAATCGACACAACCGCAACGTCTGGTTCACCTCCTCCACCCCACGCTTAAACAATGACCACCGGCCCCCAGATGCCCGGACGCTGCAGCTCGGCCGGACGGTGCGCACACTACACGAGCGCCTGCCCTCGCTCCTCCTCTCGCCGCTCCCCTCTGAGATCTTATCCCCACAAATCTCGCTGCACCTCTTTCCTTCCACCCACCCACATCTTCCCTCCATCTCGGGTCGGATCGGCTATGTGGCAGCCCTGTGGACGGCGCCGGTGGCATGGGGCAGAATCCCGCTGGTGGGGAACGTGCGGTTGGACATCCTCTCCGAGCGGATGGTGCGCAATGGAGGGAGCACGGCTGTGCCTCTCGCCAGTCGCGACGAAAAGCTCATAGTCAAATGGAAGACTTGCGGGAAGCAGCGAGTGCGGGTCTCCGAGTCCAAGGACGCCAGAGACACCATCACCACCCCCAAAGACCCCGTGGACAAGATCAAAGAATTCATCTCCGGCGCGGGGGAAATGAAGTTCTTCAAGCAACCTAGCGGCGAAGAGCAGGAATTTTGCGGCATCTTCATCTTCGAGTTTGATGACGAAGGACGCATCGCTAAGCATGTCATCGAGCACACCGAAGAGAGCGGAAGGTTCGATCATATGACGCGTGTGGTGAGTGTGACGGATTGGTTGTTGGGACGATTCAATGGGAAGAAGGACGAGCTCCCGGCGCTGGCGTTGTGCGAGGAGCCGTCGAGTGGGAGGGCAAGCAATATTGTCAGCCGACGGAGGAGCGTGGATTAGACTCTTACGACAACTATCTGTACAGTATTACGCAAACAGCACAGGGCTTGGAATTGATGGCATGGCTTTAGCGAGGAGTTTGAGGGGTGTTGATCTATGATGGATTACGTAGATGCTAGGCTAGACACTCTACTCTACCTTCAGATGCGAGTTCAATGCTCCTATCCTTTCCCAGGCCTCCATTTACTTCCTCGTAGCGAGAATGATGCGTGCAGGGAAGATACCCTCGACCATCTTGTCCTTGGGCCAAATGGCCTCCAATTCCTTCCAGTACGGATCCTGAGCATCAGGCTCCAGGCTACTCCATGGCATCGAGGCGGCCTGTTCGCGCAGAGTCTTCATGTCCGCCGTGAACGACCATCCCGCTTCTTCCCCGACGATGAGTAGATCGTTCGGTCCGATCCCTCCAGGCGCAATCTTAGCAGGATAGCAAAGAGATGAAGCTCGCAAGCGGCCAACTTACCAGCACTGAACGGCCCAAACTCCACCTCATACTCCTTCTGCAATTCCGCCGGTATGATAGGCGGCCACCTCTTCGCGCCATCCGGGCCTGCATTCAACGAGATCCGCAGCGCGCCTGGGCGAAACCACGTCTCCGGCAAAGGCATGGTATCATACCCACTGGAAGAATTGCCCAACGTTCGCAGCCGATCGCGGCGATCCGTGCTATGCTCCAGTATGGTTTTCGACCCGGCCTCCCACGTGCGATGCCACACGTCGTTCAGCGCGGCATCGCTTAAAATGGCCGTGGAGGAGCTCAGGGCGGCAAAGGTACCGCCGGGCTTCAACTGCTTCCCAAAGACCGCGAACGCCTCGTCGAAGTGCGCAAAGTGCATGGCGAAACTGGCGAAAATGAAATCGACGGATCCTTCTTCCAACCCGCTCGCATCTTCCATCCTCGCCTCTCGATATGTGTACTCGCCTCCCTCCCCACCATCGCCCAATTGTTCTTCCGCCAGCTGCACATTCTTCGCCACGACATCCGATACAATTACGTTTTGAAAGTAACGCGCCAGCCGCGGGGAATGGATCCCCACGCCGGCTCCGACATCGTGAACGACGCCGAATTGTCCACCATGGGAGTTGGTAATGCGCTCGAAGAAAACCTGGGGGATCTTCGGCCGGCCTTTGATGTACTTGTCCCAGAAGGCGTCGTCGCGCGCGTACGATTTGTCCGTGTCGACCATGGCTTACTACACTTCAATGTGGACTCGGAGGAGTGTCAGTCAAGGGAACAAAAGACGTGCGCAAGTAAAGGCGTGCCACCGTGGCTGAACAACGGGAGCAGAGTGAAAAGCTCACGTTCTGGGCATGGCTCCGCTGACGCAGTCTGTGTCATCGTCAGTCATATGTAGAGAAGTACATGATGGGTTCGAAGCCGACGAAAGCAATGAAGGGCTCGGGCGAGAAGTTTCGGGAGGGAATTGTAGCATATATACACCGCTGACACCAAATGACAGTCCTACTAACCACCCCCGCGGATTAGAAGAGAAGATTCAGATCTCTACATCGAAAGGGGCGAGGCATCAGCTCGAATGGGAAAGATGATCCACAGCCTATGCATCTCGTCAGCAAACAAAGCACGTGTCACTGACATGGGAAATGGAGAGTCTCACCTTATTAATATCATAATCATACCTCTCCAATGCCCGCAAGGCATCCGTCCGTGAGTAGCCCATGCCCGTCAAGCGTTTGAGAATCGGATCGTCATGCTCCGTGCCGGGCGTAATGGCCCTGCCCAAGTTCGGGCGCGCGGCCTTCGCGGCGGTTGCAGTTTGAGGCGTGGGCGAGACGACGGAGGACGCGGTGTTGCCATTTGTCCCGATCGGAGCTCGACCAGGTGGTGGGCCGGGAGGCGGCTGCCAGATCGTGTCGTCGTTGGAGCTCGCAAAGGCAGTGTTGTTGGTGCCCGCAACGGGCTTGTTGCTGTCCAAGCCGGAGAAGATGGCATCCCAATCATGCTGCGTATTCTCCGGGGTTTGCTGCACGCTGTTGGTGGAGGCGGCAGGAGCAAAAGCACTGCTGGTGGAGACAGCAGGAGCAAAGGCACTGCTGGTGCTGGCGCTGGGCGCGAAGTTGCCAAAGCCGTTGCTGTCAGCAGCAGTCGACAGACTCTTCATAGGAGTCGGCGTCTGGCTCGCAGCAGGGCTGTCGAACGCAGGATTGAACTCGTCATGGCTCTGCCTGCCAAAGAAGTCCAAGTCGTTGCCGGAGCGGTCGTGTTCTTGCGCTTCAGACAGATCGTGGAAGTCATCGAACTCATCAAACACGCTCTTCTGGGCAGTCGGGGCCGGTGCGGCTTGTGCCAATGATGGCACTTCCGCATGGCTACTCATGGGCCGACTTGACGCATCGACGAATGCGTCACCATCCTCAGCCTGTAGCTGAGGCTGCGTTTCAATACGTTGCGGCACGGGGCTAACAATGTCGGGCGGCCCTGCTACGGCCTGATTTTCAGGTGGCGGCGGCGGGGAGGTCGGATCTTCCCTCGCGGGCAGCAGATTCCCATACTCGCGGGGAAAGCTGTTAGGACTCGTGGGGTGACCGATGGTTCCAGCCGGTGCATCTCCAATATTCTCATAGGTGGGTGGAGATGCGTCCTTGGAGATGTCGGGCGCCTCGCCCACCGCCGCCGTGGATGTACCCCCAACAGCAGATGCCGGCGCAACAGCCCCACTATGCGAAGGAGCGCCAAAATCGTCACCAAATCCCCTTTCGCCATCGTCATCAGTGTCACTCTCGTCCCCTCCCAAATCCTGAATGGGGGGGAACTCCGGGTCGGCGGGCTTGGCTGGTACGCTCGAGCTCGAGGAGAAGGGATGATTGCTCGCATCGGCATCCCTTGACTTGTCACCCTCTCCAAAGCTCGCAAATGCAGAGTCAAAGTCGTCTGCCGGCTTGGCCTGAGGTGGCGGCGGCGGCGGCGTAGGGGTAGCATTCTGCGAAGGCTCGTTCGACGACGCAACTTCCTGAGCAGCGATGCTGGGATTACGATCTTCCGCAGGGAATGCGCCCGGGATGGTCTCATGTTCCGTCTGTTCGGGTGCGAACGCGCTGGCCGTACTCGCCGTCGAAGTGGCCCAAGGAAGTGGACTGGAAGCAGCCTCTCTCGGCGTTTCGACACCACCGGCACGACTCGCAGGAGGAATGACCCGGGTGGAGCTTGCGACGCTCTCAGCCTTGCCACTATCAGCAAAGGCACTATTGCTGAGAGGCAGGTTGGTGGGAGTGAATTGGCTACCTTCCGGGGGAGGTGGAGGCTCGGCTGAAACCACTGGAGGCTCTCGGGTGCGATCGCTGAGCGACGGGGTAGCAGAAAGGGCTGGCTCGCCAGCGGATGACTTCGACTCTGCAAGGGCCGCACCACCGATTGCCGCCGCACCCACTGCAGCGGCTCCAGCACCAACAGCAGCTACGGTGCCCGCTTCAGGCATCGATCTCCCAATGAAGCTCGTGACAGGCGGCGTGCCAGATCTACTATTTGTCTGACCAGTGGGCGCGAACGCGGTAGATGGGCCAAAGATGGAGTCAAATGCACTCGGATTGGGGGCGGACGGACCAGGACTCGCCGTCGCTTCGGTAGTGTTTGTCCTCCGAAGGAAAGGATTCATGGAAACGACGCTGGCCGCCGGGCTCACCACGGGGCTTGCAGCGACCGGCTCCGGACTTGAAGCAAGGCTGCGTGACTGCTCCGCCGCACTGCGCTCCAGGTCTGCTTTCTCGGTTTGTAATCGGTCGCGCTCGGCTTCGTTGGTCGCGAGTTGTTTCTTGTTGATGCTGACCAGTCCCTTTTGTTGTCGCGCATCCATCTTCATCTTCTCAATCTGCGGCTTGAGCTGCGTCACTTCAGCATTGATCTGGCCGATTCGTTGCTTCAAGCTTGCATTCTCCTGTTGATCCGCCTGCAATTGCTGGCTGAGTGTGTTATGCTGAGTCTGGAGGTCTTGATGTGTGCCTTGCAGCAAGGCCAAATCCTGGCCAAGCTTCTTTGTGGATTCGCGCGATGCAGTCAATTGCTGCTCCATGTCCTTGACCGCACGCACTTCAGCCTCGTACTGCGTCCTGAATTGCTGCAGCCTCTGCTCCAGATCTTTCTTTTGCGCGCTGGTGGCGTTCAGTTCGGCCGCAGTGGCAGTCCTCTTGGTCTGGGTGGTTTCCATTTGATTCCTCAGATTCCCAATCTGGTTGCTCATGTTGGCCAGCTCTGTCGAGTCATTGGTGATACTGCGGCTCTCTTGAGCATGTGTGTCGTTCTCGCCGAGTAAGTCGTCGAAATTGCTGGGCATAGGTGCAGCTGGGCCACGGGGTGATTGTTGACCTTGCACAGGTGGTGTCCCCGAGCCGCCTCTATTCTCGGCAGCCAGGCTGGCCCCAAATGCAGATGTGGGGATAAAAGGCTTGAACGTGCTGCTGGTGCTTTGCGAGGGCTGGAAGCTTCGCGACGGACTGGAAGGGGTTCCGGGTTGACTTCCAGCAAATGGATCGCGACTAGCAGACGCCCCGGTGCCTTGCGGCTGCAAAACAGGTGTGCCCTGGGTGGGAGTGGCTTGACTGGGTTCGTCGAGTCCAAAGAGGTCGTCTGCGGCAGACTTGGATCGGGGAGGCGACTGGACAGGAGCGGCGAATGCTGAAGGTTGCTGAATGTCGCGCTGGGCTTGCTGGATTTGTTGTGGCCCGCGCATGCTCGGTGGCACGAGTGCCGAGGGTAAAAAGGCTGGCAATGGAGCGGCATTGGGTGCACGTTGTTGTCGAATCAGATACATGGCCACGGCGAATTCGTCTCGATTAAGATGACCTTCGCTCTTGATGTCTGCGAGATCCCAGATCGACGCCAATGTGTCTTCTGGCAGTCGTGAATCGGAAAAGAAGCGGACCGCCTGCTCACCTGAGATGAGTCCTTGTCCCGAAGTGTCTATCGTGCTGAAGAACTGATCATATTGCGCCTTTTCCTGCTGCGTGACGAGCCAATGCGCCCCGGTCGGCTGGGCAGACTGGATCGGCGGGGTGGAGTAGCTCGAGCTGGGGGGCCTGGCGAGAGGACTTTGGGTTCGGGGAATGGTACTGCCAGCGTTGCCTGTCAATTGCCTCGGAATGACCGTGGACTGAATCGATGTCTGCCTGCTGGGGGGTCTCTGGCCACGCCGGGAAGCAGCTTCGTAGAGCCCAGGCGGCAAGGAGGCGGGGAGCCCCGTCATGGTGCGCGTCTTGACGCTGGTCAGAAGATGCATGGCAACGATGAAGTCGGTCTCGTCCAGGGCGCCCCTCTGGTCGCGATCGGCAAGCATCCAGATCTTTCCGAGAGTCTCATTGGGAAGCCCGGCTTTCTCAAAGATGCTCTTGGCAGTCGGTCCCGCGAGGAGTCCATTCTGCGCGCCTGATCTGCCAAACAACGCCGAGTATTGCTGCACTTTTGTGGGATCGAGTGGTGGGACGCGTATTGGCGCGCCTCCGGTTGTCTGGCCGGAAAGCTGCGGCTGCAGGGGAGCGCCGGGTATGGGAGACGCAGACGGGCTGGCGGTGGCGCCGGGGAGGGTCATGCCGTCGAAAACGGGTAGAGGCGCGGGTTTGAAGGCGAGCTCGGTGGAGGGATGACGCTGGCCATTCTGGTACCACCCGATCAAGCGCAGCACCATGCAGAAGCCGGGCTTGGTGAGGAAGCCCCGGTTCTCCGTGTCCGCAATCTGCCATGCTTCTCCCAGGACGGCTTCGGGGACGTGAGTCTTCTCGAAGAAGGAGACGGCGCGCTCGCCGGTGACGATGTTGAGGGAGTCGGCATCCGCGAGGCCGAAGAGGTAGGAGTATGCGGTCTTTTCTTGCGCGGTGAGGTTGAGGATGGGGACGTCTAGGGCTGGTAAGTACGATGCGGGAACCAGGAGGTGGCGGACAACGGTAGAGCTCGACGTACTCAAGTCATCGCCGCTTTGCGACATGTTGCGTAATCCCGGACAGCTAGCAGGAGGGGGGTGGTTGGCCGCCGGTTCAGCTTCGCGCAAGACACGCCTTGTCGATCAGAGCATGAGAGAGTGTGTGGGCAACGCCGGGGAAATGCAATTGATGCGGTTGTACACTGGCCACACGGCTCGCAAAGAATGCAGAGAGGGTGGAGGGGTGTTGAAGGGATGGCAGGCAATCGTATTTCCCGAATCGCCAAAGTCCGCGCAGCGCCAGCTTATTTAACGGAGCTTGGACCACCCGAGCTTGCCGGCCTCTCATGATTGGAGGAGGCGGGGGAGGTTCATCTCACGTGAAGATGCACGTGGTGATGCGATGGATACAACTATGCGCCGTTCAAAGCAGTGTTCTCCAATCGATGGTGGAGTTGCTGTTCGTGAGATACTCGAAACTACTTGGTTACTGCTGTAGCTGACCATCTGCCCTCTCTCTTGGAGACAGCGTCACGTCAGTCATCCTGTGCCTCCACCACCCATTCCTTCGCCGCTTCACCGTATCGTTCATGGTCAAATGCACGACCAGGTAGGCCGTAATGTTTCCCCCTTCCCCTTGCTCAAGTGTTTTAAAAATCACCTCCGCCTGTCAATTGTTAGCACATTGTCAGGATAGGCGCAATAGCCATAGACTTACCCATATCGCCACCACCCATGTCTCCACCTCCCATATCACCACCACCACCACCACCCATATCGCCGCCACCTCCACCATTGTCCATGCCTTGATCATACCCCTGATCATACGCTTGGTTCTGATTGTTGTCTAATGCCTCTCCGAGCATCACACCACCAAGAAGACCCGCTCCCGCACCGAGCGCCAACCCTCCACCCGTACCAAGCCCACTGCGCTGAGGCCGCTGCTGCTGCTGCTGATAGTATCCTCCAGGCGGCGGTCCACCGTAGCCGCCTCCGTATCCGCCTCCGTACGGTTGCTGTTGGGGATAGCCTCCGTATCCCGGCACGGGGTATCGTTGCGGGTATTGTTGCTGAGGGAATCCTTGCGCGTAGCCGCTAGGTTTCGACGACGAGCCACCGCCGAGCTTCGAAGTCAACTTGCCAAGCAAGCCTCTCTTTTTCTCCCCGCCTGCATCTCTTGATGGAAGCTGGCCCTGCGATGGCGATGTGGGGTTTTGGCCTTGTGCCGATGGACTCTGGCCGTAATAGCTGTGCGCCGCTCCGCCACCTGCGGACGCCGTTCGCGCTTCCTCCTCTGCCTGCAGCTGGCGCGCTAATCTTTCATCTTCGTCGACTTGGTTTGATCCGTTGCCAGCACCCGTCTGACCGTAGACCGCGCCGCCGTTGCCTTTCTCGGGGCCCGTGTCGACAGCGGAGTTGTGATCGTAGCCAGGCGGTCCACCTGAAGACGTCACATCACCTGCACCACCACTAGACGCGAAAGGATCCGGGGGTTTCTCCCATTGCGATTGCTTGGTTTGGAGGTCGACGTAGAACCATTCGGAGTACTGCTCATTCCACACCGCTTTCCAACCTTCGGGGACTTTGGGCGGCGGAGGCCCAGACGGCGGTACGAAACTCGACATGCTGGTTGTGTGGGGATTGTAGAAAAAGAACAGCTTGGAGAGGTTGGCGCAAAGTTATGTAGCTGTCGGTAGCTGGGCTGGGCACTACTGCTGCGGTCGTGAAACAAACGTCATCGCCTCCTTGGCGTTGCGCCTCAGAGGAGGCAGGAATTTGACAGATCTTGGGCCAGAGCTCTTGGCTTTTGGCGGTGGTGAATGAGGCGAGTCTGTCCAAGGTTGCACATGCTGTCTGCGAGGGAGCGAGAATGTGAAGAATGTTAAGTTCAGGTCCTGCGACGCCACACACTGCTGGCTTCAATCGCGCAGAGCAGAGTTGCGCAGAAGGCAAGGTAGGAGTATTCCGAGTGGACAGAGAAACGAGACCAAGATACACTATACAGACGAAACATGAAACGGGAACAGAAATTGATTGAAGCATTTCATTTGTGAACCTCTTCCAACTCGAGGCAAGCTAACTATCAGTACAAGCAACAAGAACCCATGATGCTTTTCCGCCCGACTTTATCCCGTCGTAATCTAAACGCCGTAGTGCCATGCAATCAAAGAAGTGATCATGCAGAAAGGCAGGTTGGTAAGGCGTTTAGTCGACCTCCTCCACAGTCGGGCCGTCGTCGCCGCCAGCACCGCCGGCACCGGGGAAGCCGCCGGGAGCACCGCCGGGCATGCCACCGCCGGGCATGCCGCCGGGCATACCACCCTCGCCGCCAGCGCCGTAGAACTTCATCATGATCGGGTTGGCGACGGCCTCAAGCTCCTTCTGCTGAGACTCGTACTCGTCCTTGGTGGCGGTCTGGCTCTCGTCCAACCAGGCAACGACCTCGTCGATCTTGGCCTTCAGCTTCTCCTTGTCGCCGGCTTCGAGCTTCTCGTCGACCTTACTGTCGCTGAGGGTGTTCTTGAGCGAGTAGGCGTACGACTCGAGACCGTTCTTGGCCTGGATACGGGCAGCCTCGGCCTCGTCCTCCTCCTTGTACTTCTCGGCCTCGGCCAACATGCGCTCGATGTCCTCCTTGGAGAGACGGCCCTTGTCGTTGGTGATGACGATCTTGTTGGTCTTGCCGGTGCCCTTCTCAAGAGCAGAGACGTTCATGATTCCGTTGGCATCCATGTCGAAGGTGACCTCAATCTGGGGGACGCCGCGAGGCGCAGGCGGGATACCAGACAGCTCAAACTTGCCGAGGAGATTGTTGTCCTTCGTCCTGGCGCGCTCTCCTTCGAACACCTGGATGAGCACACCGGGCTGGTTGTCGGAGAAGGTGGAGAAGACTTCGGACTTCTTGGTGGGAATGGTGGTGTTGCGCTTGATGAGGGCAGTCATGACACCACCAGCAGTCTCGATACCGACGGACAGCGGGGTGACGTCGAGCAGCAAGATCTCGTTGGTAGACTTGCTGGAGGTGTCTCCGGAGAGGATGGCGGCCTGGACGGCGGCACCGTAGGCGACAGCCTCGTCGGGGTTGATGGACTTGTTGGGCTCCTTGCCGTTGAAGAAGTCGGACACCATCTTCTGGATCTTGGGGATACGGGTGGAACCGCCGACCAGGACGATCTCGTGGACGGAAGACTTGTCAATCTTCGCGTCACGGAGGGTGCGCTCGACAGGCTCCATGGTGGAACGGAAGAGATCCTGGCACAGCTCCTCGAAGCGGGCACGGGTGATGGAGGTGTAGAAGTCGATGCCCTCGAACAATGAGTCGATCTCAATGGTAGTCTGGGCGGCGGAGGAGAGAGTGCGCTTCGCACGCTCGCAGGCGGTGCGGAGACGACGGAGAGCGCGCGCGTTGGTCGTGAGGTCCTTCTCTGCAGGGGTATTAGTATTGGCAGCGTTTTCTGGGGAACGGGGTTTCCAAATCTTACTGTTCTTGCGTTTGAACTGTAATAGAAGAGTCAGCATAGGTCTCAAATAAGGAGGGTTGTGGATATTCGGTTGCTTACCTCGTTGGCAAAGTGGTTCACGAGACGGTTGTCAAAGTCTTCTCCTCCGAGATGTGTGTCACCGGCGGCTATAGGTTTTAAAACGTCAGTAAACGATTTCAAAGATCAATGAGAATGACAGGTTAACTTACTGGACTTGACCTCGAAAATGCCCTCCTCGATGGTGAGCAATGACACATCAAAAGTACCGCCACCCAGATCGAAGATCAGCACATTCCTCTCACCCTCCTGCTTCTTGTCAAGACCATACGCGATGGCGGCAGCCGTGGGCTCGTTGATGATACGGAGGACGTTGAGACCAGCGATGAGACCGGCGTCCTTGGTTGCCTGGCGCTGGGAGTCGTTGAAGTATGCGGGAACGGTGACCACGGCGTTGTTCACAGTACCACCGAGGTACGATTCGGCTGTCTCGCGCATCTTGGTGAGGACCATGGACGAGATCTCTTCGGGCGAGAACTGCTTCTTTTCGCCTTTGAACTCAATCTCCACGTAAGGTTTTCCTTGTTTGTCAATGACGGTAAAGGGGAAATGCTTCATGTCGGCCTGAACTTCCGCATCGGCGAACTTACGCCCGATGAGGCGCTTCGCATCAAAGACGGTGTTTGCGGGGTTCATGGCGACTTGGTTCTTTGCAGCATCACCGATGAGACGCTCGGTGTCGGTGAAGGCGACGAAGGAGGGTGTTGTGCGGTTGCCTTGATCATTTGCAATGATCTCGATGCGGTCATCCCGAAAGATGCCCACGCAGGAGTAGGTGGTGCCCAGGTCAATTCCGATCGCTGGGGCCATATTGAGAATTTTTGTGGGTGTTCGTGGGAGATGCTAAGGTATGGAGAGTGATTCGTAAGAGTCGTGGGAAGTTGAACGTGGGAAGTTGAACACGAAGTTGGGAAGTGGACTAGATGAGTGAGTGAAAGGGTGATGCATGAAACATAACAGAGCCTTATAAGATGGAATTCTGGAAAAAGTTAGAGTTTGGCAGCGAAGCTTCGAGAAGGCTCTACGTCACTTGGGAAGGTACGCCGGTGTTCGCGAAGCAACGATAATTTTGACCAATCGGCTTAGTTCCTTCTGTGCCTGGCCATCTGACCATGTCAGCCTCAGGCAGGAGTTTGGCACCTGATAGACTAGCCGAGCACATGCTCTCAGACTTAGCATGTGACATCCCCGTTGACTCCATCACAAGTGACCCTATCACGCCGATAACGGCAATCATGCGTGGGTGGCGACAACGACCAGAGCAATCTGCACCAAGTTGTTAGCACTTTCACATCCCGTTTCACGACTCAGGAAGAATCCAATGCACATACTACAGCAGCGATGAAGAGGACCCCAATCACGCTCATGATGCGATTGAGATATCTCCACCACCTCGCCTTCAACCACGTCCGCTCCTCCCTCCACCTCTGCTCCGCATCTCCCGCTTCATGCTTCATCACGGCCACCGTCACATCCTCCGCGCTGAGCATGCGACTCGTCCGCTCAAACTCCTCTTCCGTCATTGGCCTTTTTGGCAACGCGAGGAAGGACGCAATCATCCAGCTCAAGGGACAGAGGAAGCCGAGCGCGAAGAACAATATTTGCCGGTTACAACGTGAATGCAAGAGCGTGTCCAGACTTTCGGCGAAGCTGGGTGCGTGCCATGCGGACAGTCGCTGCCCCATCCTTCTGCTGGGCGCGAGATGTGGAGCGTCATCGCCATCTCCGTCTCCGCCGCCTCTGACGGTATCGTGGAATTCATCTTTACTCATCGGTCGCGGGAATTGCATTTTGTTCCAGTGCTTTTGCTTGGAATATCGCTTGGGAAGCGGACGATGCCGCTGCGATTCCGGTGTGTCGTTAAGATGGCCATATCTTGGCTCCTCGATGGGAGGTAAAGGACGCGCATCTGGCGAAAGGGGAGCGGGCATGATCACCATCGACTCGGGGGGACTTATGCTCGGTTGACTCATGCTCGGCTGGGAGGGCTGAGAGGTTGAGATCGTCTTGATGTGTCGAATGATCCCCGTGACCGATCTCTTGCGATTCCGCGGCCGCCAAATGTTGGGCAGGAAACGGTTGCTGATTGGGCTCACAGCCTCGAAACTGCTGATTTCGCTGACGCTGCCCAGACGACTTATGGTGCTGCGATCCGACCAGTCGCGACTGCTGTAGAGGACTTGGTGGATGTTCTGCATCCGCTGTGGATCGATGGGGAGAGCCAGGGAGATCTGGCTGGACGAGAGGAGAGGCGCGCCATAGGTGTAGTACGCTTTCGCCCAGGTGGGGAAAACGTTAGCCACTTGACTGTGACGACTGGCCTCGCTGGTCTGACTAAGTGACCGGCTGCGGCTCGGAGTGCTGTGACTTCTATGCCGCAGGGAGTAGCCGGAACGCTGCTCGCGAAGCTGGCGCGGAGCGGTGAGCTCAGGGACGGTGTCGAAGCCTTCTTGGCTATCTGGACTGCCGGGGATTGGGGGAATGGGTGGAAGAGGGTGCTGCGGTGCGCTCGGTGTCCTGGCGTGGAACAAAGGCTGGGGCCAGGCAGCTCCCGAGCCCGAAGACGAGCTGTCTGACAGCTGCTGTACAAAGCTCATAGGCAAGCGTCGGGGTGACGCGGTCGAGGCGATAATGCTTGCTTCATCGCCCGTCGTGACACCGCTGCCAATGGAGAAATGACTGAATTGCTGGCTTGTGACTTGACTGCGCGCGTCGCTCTCGCTCGCAATCGTACTCAAATGACCTATGAACGGCTGCCGCGGGTAAGGCAGCGTGTCCACATCCTCGTCTGCCATCGCTTCTTCGTCGGGGACCGCAGATGAAGCCGCGGCGGCATGAAGTGCCGAAGACGCAGGTTTGTGTCTCAACTGATTTTTAGGAATGTCCAATTCCGGGGGCGGAGAACCTTCGGAAGGGGAAGGTGAGGACGAAAGGGTCACAGTCGTTGCAACGCTGCGTCCGCTCTCGATTCGAACGATCTTGGGCGTTTGGAGGCGGGATGAGATGGAGTCGATGGACGTAGCCTTGTACAATCGGTAGCGTTGCGGCCTTGACGGCGAGGAATCGTTGTAAGAAACAAAGTTGGGCGATGAAGAGAGTACTTCTGAGTCGGGTCGATCGATGGAGCCCTGACTCCGGCGGCGCGGTGGTGATGAGTGATGGAGAGATTGACGGGGAGATGGCAAGGAGCCAGTGGAGGCGGTTCGGCGAGAGAGCCTCTGGGCAAATGATGCGACACTCTCCGGCTCAGTTGGCGAGCTCCACAACTGGGCATTCGCTGAAGGCTCGGATGAAACGGAATGCTCCCAGTTGTCGCTGTATATGCTGTGTGGAGGCGTGGAGATGATGCGGACGGTGGACGGCCTCGGCGACGTCTCGTGCAACGGCTGCAGCGACCACTGGCCCGAGTTGGTATCGTATGCGGATCGGTCGGAACTCTCTCTTTCAGAAGGCGTAGGAGTGCCTCGTAGCGTAGTGCCTTGACTGGCCGTACTCTGCGTGCGCACACTCTTCGGGCCGGTCACACTCTCTCCGTGCAAGGTGGAAATGTTGGAATAGTTGCCAGAACTGCCGCTGCGACGATGCCATTCCGCACGCGACGGTGGGTTGGTGGTGTAGAGAGACGAGAGCAGGTTGTCGCGCGCAGGTTTGGGCGGTGCATGCACACCTGAAACTCGCTGCGCTGCAAGCGCGGGCTTTTGACTTTCCGGTCTTAGCGATGCAGGTGTCAGGATACCGGTTGTCGAGAGTGGCACTCGTTCGCCCGCTTGTGATCTGTCTTTGCCGAACGGGATGTTTTCCTTCTCGTCGTCGTATGATGGTGCGGGCGATGATCTCACCAATCGCACCGTCGGTTTCGGAGGAGTTGACTCCGGGACTTCTTCGACTTGCTGGACTTGCTGAACTTGCTGAACCTTTTGGTTTTGCTGGTTGACTTCTGACGGAGTGCGCTCGATGAATGGAAGATACTGCCGGCGCCCGAGCGAGCTTACATCGCGAGGCGAGACGATTGGTGTTTGCGCGTGGAAGAAGGCGGAGCCATTGGATTTCTTTCTTGCATCCGGCTCGAGGAACATTGGGGTGGATTAGAGGGTATGGTGCAAACGAGTGTGGTGTGAATTAACAGAAAAACATGATCAACGAGCGACAAGAAGACAAATGGCGGTGCATAAATGAATGCGCCCGGGGCCGGATGCCTTTTGGGAGGGTGGTGTGTTGTGCCTGCGCTCGTGCTTCTTTGGGTGTCAGGAGTCGCTCGTGCTCGCGTGCAGGGATAGCGCATGCATGTGCCGGATCCGCTGGTGGGCTGTGGAGCTGATATGTACGGGACGATGCGCTTGCGCGGCAGGTGTAGATGATTGACAGATGGATGAAGAGAAAGGGGACTTGTTGAAGATGGGAAGATGAACAAAAGAAAAAGAAAGATTGCCGTTGCCTTCCTCACCTTGCCAGCTCCCTCCCTCCCTATCCGTACTGCCCGTTTTCCCCTACCGGTCGGGCGTCATGCCGGGGTCGGGTTTGTCGTTATCGATTGGTGGGAGGAGGAGCGAGCGCCACGTCGCGCGGAGATTGGGGGACGCGCCGCACGCGCCGCCCACCCACCAGTCGCTGCATGCACGCGGCATTTCATTTCACTTCCCAAACGAGCATGGTCGGGCGGTTGATTCGGCCTCGACAGCTGGGCACGGCGATGCTACACTGCTTCATGACGTGTCGTGAGTGTCTGCACTCGTTACAAGTGTGAGAGATGGTGGGAGGTGAACACCAGCGTGCACTGCCTTCATTCCTCAGGCAGGCGCGACGCGTGATCTTGGCATTCCGACGACTTCACCCGCTTTCCTGGAATCCCCCGACCCTCCACCTCCGTCCAAGCGAAATTCGCCGCTCCCACGATGGATTCGCCATGCACCCGGGAAAATTACGACAGAGTGGGCGATGATTGATGGTTCATCTCGATTACCAGCCCGGCAGCATGGTCGGGAACATCTGGCCCCGCGAGTTCACATGGTTTGATCGCTTACGAACTCTCCCCCTACCAGACGCCGGTAAGTTCCTACGCGTTGTCCAGTTGTTGTATGAGCCGTGAACAGGCCCAATGAGCTCCGTCTGCGTGAACATAGCCATCTCACTGCAGATGCAAGTTGTCCCTGTCCATGCGGTTGCTGATCTCGCTCCCCAACTAGGTCCAATGCCGGCAATCTCAGAGCGCACCGCCTTCCTCTGCGCAGCCGCGTACACAATCTTCTATGTCGCGCCCTTCTACCTCTCAGCAACCCTCCGAACCAGTGCCGCCAACTCCCGAAATACTCCGGTCGTCATCAAGGCCCGCGTGCGCGCCGTCACTCTCACTTGCCTCACCTGCCTAGTTGTAACGGCGGCCGTTCTCGTGGCCCGCGGACACTACAATGTCCCCCAGATCCTCCGAGCTTGCGGCGTCTGGCCCGTCCATCCACTTGACCTCTTCAAGGTGCTCCTCCTCGTGATTGTGTTGTTCACCTGCTCCCTCTACGAATCCATCGTTGTTGATGGCGACTGGAGAGGATGGAGCCTGGTCGCATTCAAGCAAGGGATCTGGGACGATTGGGTCGGCTTCCGTAACCTCGTCGTCGCCCCCGCCAGCGAAGAACTGGTCTTTCGCGCGCTTGTCATCCCCCTCTTCCAGCTCGCGCAAACGGGTGTGACCAGGATCGTCTTCGTCACGCCTCTGATTTTCGGAGTCGCCCACGTTCATCACTTGGTCGAATTCATTCAATCCCGGACCCCGCCGAACCGGCGTATCCCTCCGCTCGCCCTGTGTCTCCAAGGCGTCGTCATCAGCTTGTTCCAGTTCGCATACACCAGCATTTTCGGCTGGTTTGCTGCTTTTGTCTTCCTACGCACCGGCAACATCTGGGCTGCCATTGTCGCCCACAGCTTTTGCAATCACATGGGCGTGCCACGGCTATGGGGTAGGCTCGGACAGTCTGGGTATAAAACGCTCCCTCCTCAATCTGTGACGCCGGATGTGGCGGAGAGCATGAACTCTGCAATGCAAGGCGAGCAGAGTCTTCCGATCGCCTGGACGGTGGCTTACTACGTGCTCATGGTGGTCGGGGCATATGCGTTCTCTCTTCTCCTGTCCCCGCTCACAGAGAGCAAGTACGCCCTTGTTAGATTCTAGAATAGAGAATTCATGGCTCATTGAAAGAATGTCTGATTTACAGTACAAGAATGCAGCCTCCATCACTCAAACGCCAGAACTCGCGCGCTCTATAGTCCCACCATGATCAGCATCGCAGCAGAGGCTGCAAACAACACCACGCGAAGAAGGTCCGCATTCAAAGCCAGCGCCGCATCCGTAGGCACATAAGCGCCGAGATAACTACACGTCAAACTCCCATTGATCGATCCCGAGCGCGTGCCGTACCCCACCTCCAGCCCTCGACCAGGATACGGGCAGCCGAAGCCCAATGCGGCTGGACAGCTCTGGACCAGGTTGTAGCACAAGTCTTCGCAGGGCAGGACCTCCTTGTACGGTCCGGGGGCGATATGCGCATCAATAGCAGGATTGCGCGACTGGTTCGTGGCAACCGACGATATGAGGGTCTGGACGAAAGCCAAGCTGCCTTGAATGGTAGGTGCATTGGACATCGGGACGTAGTTCTGATTCAGGTAGGCGTCGGGCAGCATGGTACCGTTGAGGAATGGCTGGCCGACGTTGCGAATTTGGAGGTAGGTAGCATCGCTGGTAAAGTCCTCGCAGCGTGGGATGGAGACGGCGCACAGCCATTGCTTGTATGCTTGGTAGCAGTCGGAGCAATTGCGGGCGAGCGAGTACTGGGAGGCGGAGTCGGTATCGCAGGGGATTTGCTGAAGACTGTAGTTGAAGTTTTGGAACCAGGTGAGGGCGTTGTTGTCGTAGAAGTTTTGGAAGGTCGCGTAGTTGTCGACTCGGTCGGGGGAGCTGGGCACGGCATATGCGACTTGATCACAGAAGTCGAGATTGTAAAGCAAGGCACAATTGCCGTCGGTCTTGGTGGTGAAAGACATTTGTGGCCAGACAATACCGCCTCCACCCACCACTCCATTGCCAGATGCGGTAGAATTGCCGGGCTGGGCGAGGGTGGCGTGGTAGTTGCTGGAGCGGTTGAGATATGTGATATAGAATTGCTCTTTGGGCTTTCCCCCAATTCCCCGGGTGATCATCTCCATCTGGACGTTCGTGAATTCCCCAGTAGGATCCATCTGCTTGCCGATGACTTGGGAGATCTGATTCAAGCCGCAATATGACCTCGATATACCCATCGTAGCCGTGCGATTCTGATTGTTGGCAAAGACGACGTATGGCGCAGTGAGATTCATCCACTGATTGTACGATTTGGAGCCCGGGTTGGCCTGCGTGAGGTTGTTCGTGACGAGCAGCGCTGCAGTGGAGTCGGAGTCGATGAGGTAGAGGTTGGAGCCATTCCCACCGATGTTATGGTAGAAGCCGTCGATAGAGACTGCAATTTCGTAGTTCCATACTCCCGTGAAGTTGCTGGGGAGCTCAGGTGCATGCACTGACATGTACCCAGCGCCTGAAACGGAGGTGGAGTAATTTGCGTAGCCTTCAGTGAGCGGAATCTCCGCTTGGGTGGAGGCATCTTGGCCAGGTGCGGGGGACGCATTGTCGGCGGAGGTGGAAACGTAGAGCGTCAGCTGCGGAGGAGCAGCGGATTGAACACCATCACCAGCGTACAGAGGCTGATTGCAGGTGTTGACGGAAATGTATATCTCGCTTGCCGTATTGTCTTGTCTGGTTTCCAGCTCGGCAGTATCACTCTCTCCAGTGTCCTCGTCTCTTCGTCGAAGGTCGGGATGGGCTGCCTCAACCTCATCCTCTTCGTCTACGTCGCGAGGCAGTCCAGGACCGCGAGCGGTATGTGGGCCGGTCAATTGATCGTTGGGGAATATCCAAACCGTCGTGTCGCCGGGTTGGAGATTGTCGGCATTCGCATAGTTGTTCCCAGCCGTCGTCTGGGTGGGCACTGCGCGGGCATGCAGGGTGTGGGAGACATCTTGATCAACTATCCCATCCTCTTGTAGTTGGACATCCACTATCCGATGCCAATTGTGGTCGTCTCCTCCGTCCCTCAACTGTCCGCTCCCGTCCACGGCCAATTCAGCGGCATACGCAAAGTGTACATCTGACAAAGACCAGTATATCAAAGCGATGGTGGCCAGTGCAGCCAACGAGGCGAGGAAACGGGATTGGAGCGGCGTCAGCTGCGGGCATTTGCAGAGGAACATTGCAGCCGCTGCGTCTCGCGCCGGAGACCCCGGGCGATGAGAAGGGTATGTCGAGCCAGTGGGGAGGAAGCTTGGAGCCGATCTGGATGTCCTCAACCCAGCGCCACCGTGCTAGACATGTGGAGGGAGTCTGTTGAGTGTGATGTTGAAGTCCAAGGAGGCGCAGGACGTCAGCGCCAACCTCATTGCCTGTTTCGGTCGAGAGCCACGAAAATTCAAGTCGTGGGACGTGAACATCGACGTGAAGCTTCATCGTACATCCACAAAGCACACTTCAACATCTGCCAGCCGCATTTCCATCCAATCATGGCGTCTGTTCGGCTCTTGTCACTGACACTCTTCGGCTTCCTTGTCGGCCTGGCCACCTCTGCCCAGCTTTCCGTCGGCGTGCAATCTTCCCAGCTTCTCCCCAACCCGTCTACCTTACCTCCTTCCACTCACGCCGTCCTCCTCGGACCCCCAGGCATTCGATATGATGTGCCCTTGCGCCGAGACAACACCTTCCACTTCCCCGATCTCGCAGAAGCCAGCTATCTCCTCACCGTCCACTGCCGAGACCACTTCTTCGCTCCCCTGCGCGTGGACGTGACGAAATCCGAAGTCGATCCTTCACAGCACACCCTGACTGCATGGCAGACCTTCAGAGGGAACGAGTGGGAGCACAAGGGCGCAGTCTACGGCTCTGCGCAGGAGTCGTTGACCATACAAATACCGTCTGGCGGAGCAAAGGACTTCTACCAGGCTCGAGGCGGGTTCAGCTTGATGGGTTTCGTCAAAAGTCCCATGATTCTCCTTTCCCTGGGTGCTGTGGTCATGATCTTCGGCATGCCGTACATGATGGATAACAGTAAGTCATACTTGGAGGCCTAGAAGAGCCAAATGGGCACATGAGCTAACTCCCCTTCAGTGGACGAGGAGACGAAGAAGGAATTTCAAGAGCTGCAGCGGAAGCAGCCATTGACCGGCGAAGAGGGTGCCGCTACGCAATGTACGTTCCCCCTCGACCTTTTTGCTCACGAAATTTGTTCCGGCTAACATGCTGCAGTACAAAATTTCGACCTAGCTGGATGGATGGCGGGAAAGAGCTCTGGTTCGAGTACGCCCAATACCGGCGGAGGCGGTGCAAAACGAAGATAGCATGATGGCAGTAGAGCGACAAGTATTCACTGGTCAATTCCCCGCCTTTCCTCGCCGTAATGCGTATGTTGTGCTTCATGTCACATTCAGCCACCCGCCGTTGACCGAGTGTGGAACGCCCGAAGCATTGCCACGCGTATCGAGACCTCCAGATACTACCTCACTTCAACATGTCGGGCAACACTGGATCTGTACTGCTCGAACTGAGTTTCGTTTCATCGAGCCGGCTCCCAACTCTGGTGCGCGGGGCTGTTATGTCTCGTATAGGTAGTCGTCGGTTGAAGCCATCTGGAGTTGCAGCAATTGAGGGGCGAGATATCCGGGCGGCCCTATCACACTGCGTAGGGTGGCGAAAGCAATCATGCTCGCATGGTAGATGACATGGGCGTGGGGCACAATGTGAACACGACAGCGCGGCTCACGGATGGTCCGCTAGCCCTATGCACATCACTTGTGCCCAACAAGGTATGAATCGTGCGAGCAGATAAGCAACATTTGAATGCTTCGGCTTGAAGCTTGATCGACGGTTGGAACTTAGCAAGGTAGTATCGCGACGTCTCGCGCTCCACTTCACCACCGACTATTCCCGCAGCTAAGCATGCATGCTCGGAGGCTCACTGCCATCCCGCGCGCGGGGTCGGTCTACGCTGTTCAGCCCTAAAGCAAGTCATGCACAGCAGCGATCTGCAGGGTCTTACCTAACGCAACGGCGAGGAGAGGCACAATCACGTACCAGCATCCTTTGCTCTTCAGTCAATCTTTTCCTCGCTCATGCAATCATAGCTGTTGAGTTGAATCGAATCACGACCTTTCAGCGCCATGGCGAGACACGACGAGAAACCATTGATAAACGGAGCGGATCGATATGTCGACGACGATAGCAGCAGCGAGCAAGGCTCCGACCACATTCCAACAATACGCCGCAAAGACAGCACTCTCAGAAAGGCACTGTGGTGGGGATTCATTGTCCTGCCCTGGATGATGCTTTGCGTTCTCGGAGTCTCCTACGGATACTCAGTGCGGTATTACAGAGATCGATATTACGTCCGTCCGGATTTAACATACAGTACGTCTGCCCCGTAGGACTGAACGAGAGAAATCTGACGACTCCAGGTCCTATGCAAGATGTTGTGAAATACGAGACGAAAATTTTCACCACTGGAAAACCTGACGACCCCGACGTCTCTTTGTACGCTCAGGAACCGTCAGATGAGGTCGATGAACTCTGGAAGGGCCTGTATCCCAGTATGTCTTTGCCTTTGAGTCGATTTGACAGGATGAAGCTCATCAATCGACCCCAGGCATTTTTCAACTCATTCCCCAACAGCAGGCGGCAAAGCTGGTCAACAAGACCAGTCTATTCCCCCATGATCCGCAGCGGAGATACATCATCGAGATCGATGTTTTCCATCAGCTTCATTGCCTGGTGAGTGCGCTCTCTTCAGCATCATGGCCATTTGGTTCAGCTCTGACAGGACTTGCAGAACATGGTTCGTAAAGCAACAAGACCCGATTACTACGGAGTGCACGGCGACGAAGATACTCTTCTCGGTCCCAGCCACATTGCTCACTGCATCGACGCCATCCGGCAATCGCTCATGTGTGCTTCTGATATTACTCCCTACACATGGCAGTGGGATGAGAAGCTGCAACTCCACGCGAACCAGGTCAAGAATCCCCACGTGTGTCGGAATTTCGACGACCTGCGAGATTGGGCGGTTGCCAACACGGAGCAAATCTATCCGGACTTCTTCTTCCGAGAGATGAATGATCCCTTGGACCCTTCGACGTGGGTGGATGGGTATGCCGGAGAGTGAGGGGCGATCAGTGCGTGATCCGGGATAAGTTGCCCGGGTAGAACGATTGGAGGCTTGAATCATACATTAGTTCGAATCGTTACCTGTAGCTTACCACCGAAGCTGACGTGTGTCAACTGGCGTGACTGGTAGACACCCGCGGCGTGCCACCTCGTGTGCTAGCCCGTCAACCCTAGCGAAGTGGGTCAACGGCGTATCAAAAGTGGAGGACTGGCGGGATGAGCTGGCCCCGTGGGGTGAAGCCCTGAAATGTGAAGAGGGTTGTGAAGAGCACTCGGCTGAAAGTTAGACATCAAGCTCACTCGTTAAAGCCACGATGTAACGACGTGCTGCACGATACTCCTCAGCCTTGGCTAGGAACGAGCAAGATCGACGTCGCTTCGGCGAAGAGGGTTGAGGCGTGCACTCATTGGCCACAGCAGCGTGTACCTCTTTCGGAGCCTGCTTGATGCCAGGAAGAGGGGAGCATAAAAGGGTGTAGTCCATCCCGTCTCCTGTATGTGTCACTGTCCACGTTCATCAGCTTTCTGCGATTATACTCAACGATTCGTCTCAACATGAAGTTCTCAACCTCCATCTTTGCTGTAGCTCTGCTGAGCGCACCAATCTTCGCGGCTCCCATTGAGTCTGCTGATCTGACATTTGACGTCGACAAGTTCGCGGGACAGGCTGGTGAAAGGTGGGTCAAGCGTGAGGGAGACTCGTTCGACGTCGACAAGGTCGCGGGACAGGGTGGTGAAAGATGGGTCAAGCGTGAGGGAGACTCGTTCAACGTCGAC